CGCTCTCGGTGCGTTGTCCTGCGTAACCGTGAAACACTTGCGAAGTCGACGCTCGCGGAAACTCGTCGAGAGAGAGAGAGAAAGAGAGAGCTTTTTGCTTTCGCAGAAACTTTCCGAGAAGAGTAGATATATTGTACGTTATCTTCCGCAATATATACAATTATACTTGGCGCGTTGTTCTTCCTTGAATATTAAAATATGTACACGCGCGAATATGAAAAAGCATGATGAAACACATATAATTAACAAGGCTATATTTACCGGGATATTGTAGTAAGATGACGATAATTATATAATTATTGCCAACTTGATGAGAAGTTGATCGAAAGAAAAAAGGCGATAATTCCTTGCTCAATGATTATTTAATCGGTATCGCCCTGAATTTTTTTCTCGCGCACACGCTCTTTCTACGTTATCATTCTTGCATTACATTTCATTATTATAATATATTATTTATATAATAAATTTTATTATTAGCGAATGGATATTAATAACCAAGGTATTATTTATCTCTCTAGAAAGATAACATTTCGCGGCTTGATTATCAGATTCTCGATTGTTTGCTCCGCGCGATACAAGTTTATGTTGCGTGAAAAATAGAGACCTACCTCGTGATTCCAATTAACAAACGGAAACAAATTAGCTCCGCAATTGCCTCGAATTGTCGCCGGTTACGATGTTCGCAACAACGATGATGTGCGTATCATTTCGTAATAAAAACGTGCCGGTGTCAAGGTAGACTTTTTCGTATCGTACCGTGTTAGCAGTCATCGCTATCTTAGACGTGTACGACAGTAATCATCGCCGCGCGCGTGCAATTATAATATTATTCATGCGACATGAATATATTGACATATATAAGAGCGTACGTTAATCGTTCCTATCGCCAATTTTACATGTTTTTATTCAATCAACCGTTGCGCATTTTGCCTCGTGTCGTGCTCGTCCAAGGTCGTCAGCCCGGTTAAAACACCGAACGTTCGTTATCTAATATTGATACGTGCCATGCGCGCTTTCGAACAATCGGCGCAACGACTTCTGCTTGGTCGAGGTCTTTCTCGATTCATCTTGCTCGTATCCAAGTATTACGTACATCGGGGACGGCCTCACCTCCCCCTACATCACCCGCGATTCCCAAAAGATCCGTATTATGACATGGAGGCTTGCACAATTACTCCGACACGTTTCTTATTGCCACACTCGCATATTCGCACATTCTTGTTTAAAGTATGCAACAGGACTTTGTGCATGTACAATTATCATCTTTAATATTGATATGATCATTAATGTATTATATGATATTGATATGATCATTAGTATGTATTATATATTGAATGGAAATATATACATAGAAAAAAAATTAATGTCAAATCAAAATTTATATACTTAAACTAACGCGTTCATTGTTTCGTATATACGCGACAATTTATAATCTTCTTGGAAGAATTTAATAATTTTAAATTTCAACAATATTATAGTCTTATTTTAATATTGTAATTGTTACCTCACGAATATATATATAATTATTTAATTCTACTTTAAGAAAATTATAATCTTTGACTAAAAATGTTATTTTCTGTCTAACATTGTTTCTTTTCCATTCGAGAAAATTAAATTTTAAATCATAAAAATATATATTTTTCTCGATTGAACTATATAAAATGACTTCATTCAAGTAAGCAATTATATTTTTCTTTAATTAACGTAATAATCTCCTTTCAAAATTTCCAAAACTAAATATATTTTCAAAACAAGAATGTCTTTTTTTCTGTGCACATATAATATTGCTTGGGATACTGTGGCATAATTTTCAAAATGTGCAACGTGAATGCATGCAACGTATCAACTTTGACAAAGATAATTATTAATCAAGTCAACAAGTTTTGTTTATCATTAAAAATTAAAATTACTTTCGCATACATGTATAATAGCAAACAATTATAGATTGGCGATTAGAAAAAAAAATATAAGATAAATGATAATGTTAGCTAAGGGACTCTGCACTTGAAGAAGAAGACGATGGTTTAATGAATGCTCAACGAATAAAAGGATAGTCTTTGTAGCGTTTTTAAACTTTCTACGTCCGCTCGTTTAGGCGGTGAAAGCGAAAAAGATAAAAAGAGATCACCAGACGAGCCGGAATATCATTGCGCTAAATGTAAGCCACGATACATTTACGTCTTCCGCATTGTTTTAGAAATTTTAAAAAATTCCTAAAGTTTCGTTTCCTCGAGTTTTTCCCATAACTTTTGTCGATTTCCTTGAATTTTTAAATTAATCAAACTTTTTAATCGTCGAACCTTTCAAGTTTTATCGAAACGTAATGTTAAATCTTGTTTGAATAAAATTCACTAATATAAATTAGAGAAATAAATAATGTTATGTTATATCTATCTTTATCTGCTTCTTTTCTAATTATTATTCTCGTCTATCATTTTGATTAAAAATTTCTTTCTTACATTTGTCAACATACGAAAGCTTTTAATTCAAGTCTTAATTTTCTCATTAAAGAAACAACTTTATAAAATATTTCTTTAAATAGATGCCTGCGCCATCGAAAAACGTAGCCTCACGAAATATCAATACAATAAGGAACAAAGAGTTTAATTTAGACAGAGACTTTTTATATTTGTCTTAATTGTCAACACAAGGTGGGTGTAGTCTTTTCCGATCCTCATCTTTTGTCGACATGGCCGCTCTGATAAATTGTAGCATCGACCACGTGGATCATGCGCCGATGTGACACGACCTTACGAAAGAGGAGAAACAAGGCGTAGAGCGCGGTGAAAGCGAAAGACGCGACCCTACCAATCGTTACGCATGTACGTACGCACGCACGTACGCACACGAGCGCGCAGCCGTCAATGACGAGCAGGACGCGTATTGTGTGCAGTAACGTATCAAGTTTCCTCGCCACGGACCAATTCTAACTTAAGTTATTATCAAAAATTCTTAGCTTCTTGACTTTGTTAATCATTCTTTGTCTTTCGAGTCGCTCGTAAAAAAATATTTTTTTTTGCTTAAAAAAAAAAAGATTTTTGTACAAAATTATGGATTGTTAGATACTTTTTTTTAATTTAATTTCGACTCGTGAATGATTTGCTTTATTTGTGAATTACATTAAAGAGTGCAAAATAATTAAGTATAATAAGATAGTTGATTTATATGTATTAAATGATTCGTTACTTATCGTGATTTAATTTAATTTTTCTCTCTTTTTAGATTTTTTCTAAATATAATAGTATAGAAGAAAGCTGGAAAATCAATTGAATCATAGTTTCATGTAACGTATACTTACTCCAAAATACATTTTGTAAAAATAACGCGTGATCGTCCTTTTAGGAGCTGAATAGGATGCTGATAAAGGGAAAACTTGATCTTCGCCAAATAGCTCGCAAAAGAGTGAGTATTATGGAAGAGGGCGATATTTATGTGTAGAAGAATCCCTTCGGTATTTATGGGTTTTGGTAAAGTATAGGGCCATGGAGCGCTTTCTGGCACTCGCATACAATCGGGAGTTGGATCGCGCGCGCGCGAGCTCGCGAACGCGACGCACGTGTGGCAGTGAATCCATGATTGCGCGCGTCCGCAGGTCACCGCGTCCTTTACACCCTCCTTGTCGCTTCCCTTCGCGATTCCCTCTCGCTTCCTCCTTTCACCACCCTTTATCCCTTTTGCCGTCTTCGTTCTTCAATCTCACGCGCGCTCTTTCTTTCTCTTTCTCCTTCCCCCTTCACAATGCCGTATCTTTCAGAGTCATAACATTGTACTTTTATCAAGAATCTTAATCTAGCAATTTGCGTTAAATGTTACGTGTAATTTATTTATAAGGTCAATTTAAATAATTAATTTTTATTTAGGTAAATTAGAAAATATTTTTTCTAATTATTAATATAATTTTCTAATTCTTTGGTGTATCTTAAATTTGTAAATGCGTGAGTGTGTGAGCGAGGCTTTACATGTACATTAAATATTTTAAAAACGTATTTCAATGTTTATCATTAATTTTTACGCAGTATGGAAGTGGTTTTTCAGATACCGCGACTTTATTTTAAAATTTCCATGCTCGCACGTTTAATTTACGTTCAATACATTCAGCTCTATTTTTGTATTTGACTGTTTTGACTTGTTGGGCCGGAAAGGAGATTATTTTTATTCAAGAGAAACGACAGTTGTTTATGACGATAATGCGTCTATTGATTAGGAAGGAATGGGCTTATCTCCCAAATTTTGAAACGAAATCGTCGATCGCGGTCTGGGAGGCGCCACCTCATGACAAATCAACAACAAAACTTTGATAAGCATTGTTGTTCCGCTTGTACACGGATGGGGATACTTTACTATTCTCGATAAGCTCCTGATTAAAATCACTCGGATCAACAATGGTAACGTAATAACATTTTTCAATGCGTTGTGAAATATTGCGTTAATGTCAGCAACACGATGTATTTTTTACCGTTTAAAATTGACGGAAATACATGTATTCTCAATCAAGAAATAAGTTTCTACGCCTTCAACGTCGTATTGTAAATATTTTTCTGTTGCCTCGAATCAACTTGAAAATTGCAATTTGTTTATTAAAATTGTATTTGTTTGTTAAAAATGAAGGAGAAAAAATACAACGCATTTCATATTCGATACGAGCCATCGAACATGCCAGGAACGAAACGAAGGCTCGACGAGCGCTGGCTACGGCCGTGCCCTCTCCCGCGATCGTCGTCCATCGCCCCCTCCGCCCCTCGCGTCCCGCCTCCGTCGCGAATTGCACGCGCGAGCCAGGCTGCGCCGACCACGCCGACAGCCTCCACGTGCTGTCGAGCGGCACTCAGCCGCCCCAAATTGTAGGTCGCCGCCGACGTTGCGAAGAGCGGGCGGCGGTGCGGGACCGGCGGAAACGGCGGCGGGACGCGAGGGGAAAGCAGAGAGGGGAAGATGCGGATCGCGCGCTCGTGCGTGCGCGCCTCGGTCGTGATCGTTCGGTGCGGCCGAGGAGGTAAACATTGTACAGTACGATTGGCCGGCCCGGAGGCGGCGGGTCTTTCGCTTTTCCTTCCTGCCTGTCTCCTGCCTGTCTGACGAGATCAACCTCTTTTTCTCGCCGAAGGTTTCGCCACGCGAGACTCGAGTTTCGTCAATTTTCCCGATCGTCGGATTAAGATTTCGGGAATCTCGTCTCTCTTCCTCTCGCTTCGCGTTAATTCCTTTGGACGTCGCCGAGAAGATGAGGATGGCATAACCGTGATAACCAGCGCCTGAATTCTGGATTACGCTGGGACGCAAACGTGGCGTGAGTGAACAGGTGAGTACCGTCGACATTTTTTTTCGCATCGAGACGTTTCATTTTTCTTTCTCTTTATAATTGTTCGATGACAGATGACAGATTCTGCGATTTGATCCTTCGAGTCGTTCACGAATCTGTCGACGTATTTCATTTTTTCACGAATGTTACGAATTTTTAGAGTATCTGATTTTCACAAAATCATTATGCGTGTAAAGTTTTCGAATCATTTTCTCCTAAATTTATCAATGAATCAGTTTCCATTAATTAAAATTTTTTTTTTTTACATTAAAAACGACTTCAGAGTTATCCTATTGATATCGAGTTTTAAACGAACGTGGGTTATTTTCTCGTGATAAAGCACGCCGCGAAGGCGTCGAGTAATGTTTTAGTAACGTGCGCTTATTTGTGAAGCAAACTAATCAGCTTTCTAAATTAAAATCGCAAATCATCATATTCGGTTACTGATGGCTCGAATTTTATTTTTTGTAGAAACAGCCTTTAGTTAAATACATATAATCATCGGAAAATTTGTGTAATTTGTCTACACGTTGTTTATAATATTTATTCGAAATTTGGCAAATTATTAAAAAATTAAGAAATATTTAAAATTCCTTTTCCTTGGAATATTTTTAAAACAAATAAAACATTTTTTTATGTAAACGATTTTAATAAAATATAATGGTTGCTTTTTAAATATAAAAATTTATATATCATAATACAATTTATATTATCATAATCTGTAAAACATCCAAAATATACATATAATTAAATAAGTAATTGCAAGGTTCATAAATTATAGCCAGTAAATGTTAAACATTACATAGGCAATAACGTATATCATTTTATCTTTTCAAAGAGATCAATGGTTGCTTTTTAAATATAAAAAGCAACCATTGATCTCTTTGAAAAGATAAAATGATATACGTTATTGCCTATGTAATGTTTAACATTTACTGGCTATAATTTATGAACCTTGCAATTACTTATTTAATTATATGTATAATTTTGGATGTTTTACAGATTATGATAATATAAAATTGTATTATGATAATATAAAATTTAGCATTTTGTCAATTTATAAAAATTCGCGAAGATTGAAATCTACTAATCGAAATATATTAATGACAAATAAAAAAGATAAAACAGATAAAAAAAAAATAAAAAAGGTGGTTTATAATAAAATTGTAAGAAAAATGCGTTAGCTCGTGAAATTTTCTAGAAGAAGAGACTGATGCAGAGTGAAGATGGAAAAATCGAAGTTTACTCTGGTATCACCGATCAAAGATGAAATTTGTAATTTGTATAAAGCGCGATCACAGAGAAGCGGTCGCAGAGTCACTCGAGTCGTAAAGAGGGGACGAGAAAGAGAAAGAGAAGGAGGCGCGGTTCCATCATAAAATTCGGCGGAAAGTGTGTTCCGGGTGCGAGCGGCGACGGTCTGGCCGTAGGGCGAGATTTTCCCCCTCGGTACAGGGGATGTTTCCGTGGATCAATACGATTTTTGCGTATCCCACTGTGCGTCGCGATATTCGTCGTGGGACGCCGATTAGCGGAGCTCGGTCAAGAAGAGGACCGGGCCTCTTCGCGGGCGGAGGGGACGGAAGAAGGAGCGCATCGTACGCGATTATCGTCGGACGTGTGCCGTCCGCGCGCTCCTCTTGTGATGTAACTCGACGTCCTTACTGCGCGCCGAGTTGGACGAGGTCGGTGATCGCTATAAAAAAATGCGACTCGCACACGTGGAGGCGGTCGCGCGGTTTCGACCGCGGCGTGCGAAAGACGGGCGCGCGGCGCGGGGAGAGGCGCTTGGAGAAGGAACAGTGGGAGGGGGGTTGCGCGAAGATACGCGCGGCCGCCGACCACGCCCGCAGCCTCCCGGCGACCGTTGCCGGACGGTTGCGCTGCGCGCGTGCGAGCGTTAGGTTCGCATCTGCGATGCACGCATTCGGTCAGGATTGTCTCCGATCGAGAGAATACAAATATTTTACCTGCCTCTTTACAAATATTATTGTACGTTCCTACGTCGGAATTTAGATTCTCGAACATCTTGTATTCGGTATTGCGTCTTTACAGATTTTCGCGGAATCTATCTCACGCGCGCTTTTGTCAGCCTAGTTTGGACACATTTTTCGCAACGTAATTCTTTCGGTATTTTTAAACTGGAAAACTGTAGAAATGTAAATATTGTAGCAATAATAGTTTTATTTATTAATTTATATTTGAATTATAATAATATATGGGATTTCTTTGTATACGCGATTTTTGACGAACGATGAAATTGAATTGATTTAGGAAGCATTTACACACTTGCCTGGACTATCTTATCGCAGGGATGATGCATTTTAAAGATATTCCGATAATATGTTCCGTGAATTATTACTGAAATCTTTGTGACCGATAAACAACAGCGCAATTAAATCTCTTATGTCTGATGAGTTGCGACAGTAACGCGATTATTCGTAATATATGGCGTTACGGGTGTAAATCTCTCAGAATTTTAGCAAGAGCATTAAAATTCAAAAGTTTTTAAACTTTACGATCTTTAAGAGATTCACGTATCGAATTAATAATTTATGCCCATTCCAAATTTGTATATATATGTATTGAAATTCGTATAAATGATTAATCATACGAAAAACAAGAATGTGCAATTTTTGAGATTTACGCATAAACGAAAACATTATGTGGGAGCTAAAAGAGAAATTGCATCATAGCTTATCGTATGCGCAAATTTTCGCAAGTGCGATAAATCAAGATAACCGCGTTATCTCGCGCTGATCTCATAGATACGCTAAATGGTACACATTACATACGAAAGATTACGAAGAAAGATTCACGATCAAAATTAATCACCCTTTCCGATATATTTTCGTTTCAGTCTCCATCTTCGATGTTGGGCTACTATCAGACGGAATCCATGCCAAATTCAGCGATGTCGATGCCGGCGCCGGCACCGGGCGGCGGCATGGTCGCTGGCCTAGAGGCGATGAACTCGGTGAAGAGTCTGGTGTGTAGCCCGGACCTGACGATGTTCGCCGCGCCGAGATGTAGCGGCGCGAAGACGACGGACTCGGCCAGGCCAGCGACAATCGCGACGGCGACGGCGACGGCGAGCTGCATCGGCGGAAAGTACCAATGCGTGATCTGTCAAAAGAACTTTGCGCAGAAGAACGTGTACCAGAATCACCTGAGGTCCCACGGCAAGGAGGGCGAAGATCCGTATCGCTGCGACAAGTGCGGCAAGACGTTCGCCGTTCCAGCGCGGTTGACGCGCCACTATCGCACCCACACAGGCGAGAAGCCGTACGAGTGCGAGTACTGCAGCAAATCGTTTTCGGTGAAGGAGAACCTCAGCGTCCACCGGCGTATCCACACGAAGGAACGGCCGTACAAATGCAACGTGTGCGGCCGCGCGTTCGAGCACAGCGGCAAACTGCACCGTCACATGCGCATCCACACCGGCGAACGGCCGCACAAGTGCAGCGTATGCGCCAAGACGTTCATCCAGAGCGGCCAGCTGGTGATACACATGCGCACGCACACCGGCGAGAAGCCGTACGTGTGCGAGTCGTGCAAAAAGGGTTTCACCTGTTCGAAGCAATTGAAGGTGCACACGCGCACCCACACCGGCGAGAAGCCCTATACCTGTGAGATCTGCCGCAAGGCGTTCGGCTACAACCACGTGCTCAAGCTGCACCAAGTCTCGCACTACGGCGAGAAGGTGTACAAGTGTACGATCTGCAACGAGACCTTCAACTCGAAAAAGACGATGGAGCAGCACATCAAGAAGCATCCGGAATCGCCGACGTCCCTCGCCTCGACCATCACCGACAGCGGCGTCTCCTCGCCATCGGCGCCGATCGAGCCGGATATCGAGATTTCCCAGGGTGGCGTCGGTGAAGGCGGTGGCGGTCTCGGTTCGGCCGTTGTTCCGGCGAGCCCGGAGGGTCTGCTCGCAGGGTCTATCGCCGGCGTTGACGACAAGGAGAATCGCATGAAGACTGAAGAGGCCTATCCGGATTCGACGACGAGTCCTTACGCTGTTCAACGCGAGTTGGCGTATTACTTGTATTCTGGTAACAGGGAGCAGCAGTATTCGCAGCCGGTGGCCGCGCCGCCCGTTAACACGACGGAAACCGTGCTCACCGACGTCGAGGAGAAGCGCTTTCAAGCGAGCGTAGTGGTGAGCTCGCCGCTGGAATCGGTCACTCACTACCATCACCACGTATTCTTTTATCCCGAACCGGCGTATTCCAATTTTGGTTTGACTTCTAGCAGCGGCGTTGACCTCGAAACCGCCGATTGCTCGTCTCTACTTAATTTGCCGGGTAACGATGCGCGTCGCAGAGTCGAGGCCGCGCTGGAAGCGGTCGAGGAGGAACGTCAGAGGCAAGAGTGCGACGGTGTCGGGATCGTCAAGATGGACCGGGATCCGTTGCTCACGCCGCCCAGCAGCAATCCCGAGAGTCCGGCGTCGTCGCCCGATCTGGCGCTGGATTTGGCGATTCCGCCGCGGGAAACGCTGATTCTGCCTCCCAGAAAGCGCAGCAAGATGATCCTCCAGTCCATGGAGAGCGAGTACAGGAATAGCGTCGGCCTAATCGCGACCTCGCAGAGACAAAATTCTGTCATTCAGTTCGCGCGAGCTTCATAGTTGATATGCGGAAGCTAATGACGAAGCTTCGCGAAGACTTCACGTGACTTTGGAAACTAAAGGAAGAAGGAATTTTCCAAAAGGTATCCATCTGATGATCAAAAATGAAAATTGGAGCAATTCGACATCTGAGACAAGCTGAAGAACTAACGTTGGAAATCTTTGCAAATTCCACTAGTCTTTCGACGTCGAATGATAATCGCAAAGCGCGTAAACGAACTTATGAACATTTTAACTTAACGATCGCGATGAGCAAAACTGTATCCACCAAGTCCCGTTGTTTTCGAAAAAAATGGACCGAAGGAAGAAACTCATTGTTTCTCTTCGGCAATCCTAATGTGAGACATGACGCAAGTGTATTGCAGCTCGTCAGCATCTTATCTTTCCATTCACAGCCCGCATGGTTAAAGAAGGGCTGATGGCAAATCAGCTCGATAATCGAGAGTAGTCGCACTTGTTACTTAATAGTAATATCGATACTAATTAATGCGTAGTCCGTCACTGGACTATATGTATTTTCCTAATAGATTGCGGGCGACAACAATACGCTCGCGATTATCTTCTCAACCTTGTTCGATAGCTTTTCAGCCTTCAAGGCGCGTAACGTTGGAGGATATAGAGACGAAAAAAAGAGACTGGATATTCCTTCATCGGGAGAATCGCACCGATTGTAAGCGTGCTCGATGAAGTAACTGCGCGAACGTAACTATATATGTGCTCAATATTAAAACAATTTAATTCTACAAGAGTAATTTCTTTACAATTAATTAATTAAAAAAAAAGAATCTTGCTATCTAGAGAAAGAGTTTTCTTTTTTTGATAATCAGATCAAGCTTTTTCTTTCTTCTAAAAAATTTACTACAATTTATATTTCGTTTAAGTTTATATATTTTATTATATATATATATATATATATATATATATATATATATATATATGTTATTTGTATTTTAAATATGTAGCAATTTTTTTGGAGTTACATTGTTTTAATACTGACTTGTATGTAGCAGCTGAATATCATAGGTATCAGAGGAAGAGAGAGAATTTTAATATTTTATTTAAACAGAAGAATTTATCATTGAGTATACTATAGGCTGTACAAATATTAAGAAATATCACTTAGATACCTATGAGAGAGAGAGACACTTGGCTATTGTAAACTGATTTTATACACGGCAGCTATTGCCAGCAATATACCGCTCAGTGATTGATGTACAAAGTGATTAAAACAATAATTAAATATCAAATAATACATACATATATATGTTTCTATGTATGTATGTATTCATATGCCAATTTTTTGAAATATATATCGCTAGCTACACAACTGCCGAACGTTAACGGTCAATAAGTGACAACTATTACACAATTACCGACCAATATAATATAAGAGGGAGTTGGCCGTTTAAACGTTTGCTCGTTGAGCAAAGCGAGGCGACGAATTATAATTCTGACGTTCGTGCATATTACATCATCGCCGCACGCAAGCGACGTGCGCCCGATGTTTTTCGAATAATTTATTCGCCCACTTTTGGGTCTAATTTTCGACGTCGTGTGTTTGTCCTGTGTAATTGTCTAACTCGTGTCGACCGACTCGTCTTTCGAGTGCATTCGCGAAGGTCGAACATCTAATCTCTTGCCAGCCTTAACAAGACTGACGTCAGTCTACATTGTTAGCGTCATAATCCGGTCACAAACAGGTGACTCCTAGTGGCTGTTAATCGTCCTTGTCGTTGGTTGAATGCTTATCGAGCGAACAAAAGTAGACGATAAATTTGAGATAGGTACGAGTCTTTTTTTTTTACAAGTGTAAATTATTTTTAGCAGATTGATATTTAAATTTTGTAAAGACGACATATACGGTATGAATGTGCGACCTATGATTCATCCAAGAATTTAAATCCCCCAAAGATTTAAAATTATCAAAGATCTGAAAATTATTTTTTACATATATAATTCTCGAGAGAAATTAATATCGAGAGAATTGAGATTGATTTTATTTTTCAAATTATGATTAATTTAAAAAATTGACTTATACCGTTTAACATTATAAGTACCGATCGTCATTGCATATTGATTTTGCATATTGTTTTTATGAAGCAAAAACTTACCTCGACGTTGCTCGACGATGACGCCACTGGAATCTCGGATGTTTAGACCGGACGGACGAATTTTATCCGTCGACAACTCATCAGGAAATTTAGATATATTTTCGAGGATCAGAGGCCAACTTCGCCAATGTTGGTTAACCGCAATCCAATTTATTCTCCTTCGCTGCCTTCCAGTCGTAATTCTAGAAAAAGATAGAGGCTCAATATTAAACCAAGGTCAAAATTATTCAAATTTGGCGAAATTGGTCGATTTTTGAATTTCACCGAAAGACTACAATCATGCGCTTTCGGATATATTATTGTATATTTATATATATATATAGATATATAGATATATAAACACAGCTTATATAAAATGTACGACAAGGACGACAAACCTAATTGGTGAAAAAGTAAAAAAAGAAATCGGTCTTTGATGGTATCGTTGATATTGTTTATCGCTTTTGTGAGGATTCGAAATCGATCTTAGTGCGGTTATTTAGTGCGTGCAAAATTAGTGTGTAACATATTAATCAGCGTAGCCAGACGATACCGCTGCGGAATTATAAGGAAAAAAAAAGGATTACAGTCTGCGAAAAAAAAGAAACGATAGAGAAGGACAAGGGTAGGAAGGGGAGAAAAAAGTGCACCAAACAATTTAATATCTCTGTGATAAAAACTCCATAGTACCAGAGTATTGAGCGGAGCCGAGCCCACTGCCAGTACAAGCGTATATGTGCACATGCATGCTAGTGTGATGCGAAACTGTTAACTACACACTCTGTATTATTTTATACAGTATGACACATTATATCATGATGTGGAATTCTATTTGACAGAACAATGTCTATCAAATTTTTTTTTATTCTCGCAAACTAATTATCTCTCAAACATCTCTCGTGATTTTGAAGAAATCTACCGCAAATCTCTCTAGAGCGTAGATGGAAAAAGTCTAGATCTATAGTTTAAATAAATCTAAATTTGCTGAATGATTCTATATTTCACGAATGCTGAGTTTCTCGAGTCATACTTTTAGACTTATTTTCCGAAAAATTACTCAATTTTTCTATACATATATTTTCATATACACCGCACAATTAATAATCCTAGACTTTAGTTTCCACAAAATAATTATCGAGTTTTTGTTCTTTCCGGTATTTCAACCGAATCTATGCTAACTAATCTGTCAAACAGAGTTCCGCCACACACAAACGACACTGATAGTAATAAAATACATGTCCGCTCGCGACGCCTGGCTACCATAACATGCGTGTACATATATGCGTTCATCTAAGTTTATTATAATAACAAGTAGCGTATCTTGTATCATGTATACATTATATTCGCGATTGCTGCGAGAATACATCGCGCGGCTCACTCTCGTTACTCTCTCGATGCTTTTAGCGTTGATAACAGTGCAATCGTAATTTTAAGATCGCCCGATTTCGAATCACACCCTTCCACGAATATACGTAATGCTTCTATTTTTTAAAAATAACGTAATATGATATTCGCGCAACAATCGCACAAGTCTGAAGCGAAGCTGAAAATTGGAAGCTAACGCGAAGGAAGGGGTAAAGAGGGCTTGTTAATTTATACGTTTTGGATAACATTGAAATTTTCGAAATTCTAACATTTAAAGGGATTTTAATTGATCCCTAAATGATAATTGTTATGGCGAACGTAAGCTGCGCGATGTAACGCGAATCGAGCGTTAATTACATATTAAGTATTACATTAATGACGAAAGAAATAATAATAATGACGTCACTACTGTTAGTATATATAATATCTATTATTAAATATTATTTTATTATTATTACGATTACACTATCATCATTATTATTATTAATTATTATCACTGTCCTCTTATTATTATTATATTATTAATATTATTAATTATTTTTTTACAATTGTAAAGCCGTACATGCCGGAGACAAAAAATTATTTTATTCTAACTGGCATGTAGAACTGATTACATGTACAAGTATCATTTTCGTAAAGAAAAAAGCATCATTTCGTTGCGCCTTCATTTCATTGCGATTGTTATTAGAATTATCATCCGATAATCCTTTCTCGCAAAATCGAAGAACACGAGAGCAACCTATTTCGAAGTACAAGCAGGGGCCCTTTCTTAATTTTAGATCGTTGTGAAAGTTGTACAAAAATTTATTATTGTTTTTGTATTTATAAAATTTAATATAAATGAATAAAAAGACACACTGAGTTCTCAAACAGCTCTCTCGACATGTTTGATTCATGAAATATAAATAAGCATGATTAAAAAGTTTACAAACATTCGACTCATGTTTAAAATACATATGAGTGCATTTATTTCATATGTCCAAAATTTATCATTGAAACTAATAAGATCTTAATATCGCTCGTTTTTTGAACGCTTCGTTTAAATAATATATATAATTATTGAATATAATTGTATTAATTTCATGACACAAAGAAATCATCTGTCATATAAATAATATAAATAATTGAAACGACAAACTGCGTACATACGCGGCAAAATTTTACGTCAGTGCAGTCCGATGCAACGCGATGCATGCAACGTGATGCATGCGTTGCGGGCATCGAGCTCACCTGTTTTTACCTCGAGAGATTTCGCGCATTATGCACGCGGGGTGCATCTAACAATAATATGATTTTTTTCAATACGAAAATAACATTGATTTGATATCAGTCCATCGTTATCAAGTTATTTATCGAGTTATTATTCACAAGAGGTCTGTCCGCTTGAAAATCATAGAAATGGACGGTTCTATAGAGAACTTTGAAAAGTCTAAATTATATTGAAAATTGCATCAAAAGTCTAAATTATATTTGAAAGACTATTATGTAGATAGATTAATTACACATTTCATTTATAATTCTTCTCATTCATATCTTTTGAACAACTTTTGATTGAACTAAGTTTGATCAAATGTAATCAAAATGATATACAAAAGAAAATTGATTAATCATTGTGAGATTAATTAGGAATTAGTACGATAAGAGATCATGACAAACAAAAATAGTATGGCTAATATCTATACCACTAAATACATATTTAAGAATGATTTTTACTATCTCCGAAAATGCTGATAAAAACGCATGTAACATCTGATACAATCACAGTAACATGTTTTGCTTGTTGATTCATAGAAATGGATTTTACAAAAGACGAACATTTTTGACAAATATTTCTTCTATAAAAAAGATATCAACAACGCGCACGCTGTATAATATAAATCTTTTTTTAAATAATTTAACATAACACAAACAAAATATTGGAGATAAACTATATATTTTGTTAATTTTGTCAAAAAATTATTTGTTAAACGGGTTAATTTCGGATCAATTTCATTAGCGATGATATAATATGGAAAAATATCACTTATATATACATATGCAAGTATTTTTCTTTTCGAAAAAATTGTTTATTATACGACAAGAATATTGATTAGCGATGTTAATTTTTCTCATGCAATCAATTCTGATCATTTTACTTTGAGTATTGTATATACTTGTTATAAATATCTTAGTGTGTTCAATATCTGGCATAAGAATGTCTTTTATCAAACTTATATTAACTTCCGACTAATAATTTGGAAGCTTTCTGAAAAAATTGAAAAATTCATTTCCATGATCGAAAAATATTCTCTAACAAGAAAATTGATCTCTTAATCATTATTTTTTACTATCTAGGAAAAGTGACGGAATTTGCGTATCAAATTCACATTTACCTTTATTTCGGAAAAAATAAAACAGATGTTTGTGATTTTAAAGAAATGCGATGAATCTCTCTCAAAAAAATAGATATCCAATGGATATAATTATGTCAGCAACTTTTGGAATTAAGCTTTTGGAATTTTTTAAATTGCATAGAAGAAAAAAATAATAAATTTCGATATGAAAAGTTTGAAAAATTTTTTTAAAAATATTTTACTTATATTGCGTCTGCAATTTCTTTTTCACTTGACACATAGAAATTAAGAAGTCACTAAGTTTCTTACAAGAATGTAGAAGGCATAATATCGTCATTGATAAATCAGCTCATGCAAAAGAGGTACGTTAAATCTGATGATGAAAAAGATATCGATGTATTTTTTATAAGTACGTATCTTTTTTGTTTTTAAATTAATTTTTTTCTGCCATTTATCTTATTCTTTAAAATCAGGTTTAAATTTTTTAGAAATAATATGTTAAAATCAGTTTTAATTTCTTTTAGAAATAGTATGTTTTGTATAATAATTATGTAAACGTACCTTTAGAAATTTTCTTTCCTGTAGAATATTATTGTGAAATATCACATTTGTAGATAGCAACAGATAGACTCACTATGTTAGAAATGACTGCGCATATTTATGTCTTTTTCCTTGTTGAATTCCTTTTGAAACTTCCTTGACGATAATGTTCCACAAATTAGCTCAACACCAAGATCTATGAAATAAAATATACGAGGAAATTTACGAATAATCTAAACGAATCGACATATTTTCACAAAATAATAAACGACAAATATACATAGTAACATTTTCATTTATAAAGACATAATTTTCAAATAAAAAAGGAGAGGAAAAAATAGAAAAAGAAAGAGAGAGATTTGAAAAAGATATATTTATATTTCTTTAATTTTCTGAATATTTTTTACTTGTTATGTGCTTAAATAGAGAGAGAGAGAGGAGAGAGAGAGAGAGAGAGAGAGAATTGAAAAATATATATTTATATTTCTTTAATTTTTACTTGTTATGTGCTTAAATAAATATGCTCGATAATAACATACGTATGTATATATCCATTATATTTATGAAACATTGAATATATAACTGTCGAGTTATTTTTAAAAAGATCCTATACAGTACAGAACATTACAGCAATATTGCCGTAATATTGCTGCAATGTTCCGTGCTGTATGGAATGTAATCTCACATATATGTATATGATTTTATAAATAGATAAAAGTAGAATTAATCCTTTAACGTAACGTATGACTACAGTAAAAAATTTGTAGATATATTTTTGATTAAGAGTGTGTAAATGGCAAATGATAATAATCATTGCGGATACTCTGCTTTAATCTTACTTGTTTAATACTTCTTTTATATTATGTATTTACGAAAGTTTATACTTTTCATTATATTTATACACACTAGTAGGAAATTTTATATATTATATAAATTAATTACCGAAAACGTTGAAAATCTGCGCTCAACGACATTCAGGATATGATAAAATAATGCAACATTTTCGTGGCGTGATGTGCGCAACAAATTCAAACGTGCTTCGGCCAATCAGGAATGACCCTAAATATAAAAGTAACATGATGGCGAACTGCTAAAATTCGGATTCTAGACATTATTTCTGATTGGCTAGATAATTATACTGTCACCATGTTATACGTCATATTTCTTCATATCCCGAGTACGTTCTAGAAAGTGCGTGATACATGCTAGTTGTAGAATCACCGTTGTATATAATTTCAATTAACCTAAAAAGGTTAAAAGTGCGAAGAATTGGAATAGAGAAAAAAAAGAGAATAATATTTATATTGTATTTTATAAAGCTTATGTAAAAGATCAACATTCTTTTCAATTGCGATTACATATTGATACGTATCGGTATATATTAATATAGATTTAGTGTGAATTTTATAAAAAACATCACATTGTTGTATTTAATACAAAATGGGAGGCGGAGATTTGGTAATAATTTATTATAAAACAATAGATAAAGCCAGACATCACATTTGTTACACTTGTCAACTAACAAAAATAAAATCCTACTGTTATAGAATTTGAAGAAGTCATGGCATCCATCTACTATGAAAAACATGGAGAAGGTAAGGAAAGCGGAGCAGCAAAACAATCAAGAAAATAGAAGAATAGCCGAGTTGAAGAGGCAAATTGAAATGGAGAAAGACCGGGAGGACATGACAAAGTATGCTATGGAGCAAGGTGTAATAGAAAAGAAGGATGAGAAAAAATTGGATTGGATGTACAAAGGGCCGAATCAAATGGTCAATAGAGAGGAATATTTACTAGGAAGGCCAGTTGATAAAGCCTTTGAACAAATGCAACAAGCGGAAAAAGAGGCGGAGTTGATTAAAGTACCAAAAAATCACGTTGAATATGGTAAAGTTATATCTATATTTATATGGTAATTAAGAAAACTTATATATGATACTATAATCATTTTTATTTTGCTATTTACATAGAATGTATTCCACCTTCATTGCGATTTTTCTCTGGTAATGAGCAAGTAGACTTGGTTAGAAAAATGCAAGAAGATCCTTTATATACCATAAAGAAAAAAGAAATGGAAAATAGGAGTCAGCTCTTAAAAAATCCTGTTAAATTGAAACAACTAAAACAACTGGTAAGTAAATATTGATATTTCATTTTTGTTTGTATGAAATATTTATTTACACATGTGTATAATTTATAGCTGGAAGAACAATCGTGTAAAAGTAAAAGGGTGAAAAAATCTAAAAAAGAAAAGAAAAAATCAAAGCGGAAGGATAGCAGTGAGGATGAAGTTGAATTGGATAAATTGCTAGCAATTAAATATAAACAATTAAAAAACGATATTAGCGAAAAAGATTTGTTAAAATCGATGAAAAAAATTAGATATAAACGAAAGAAAAAATCAAAAAAGCGGAGTCACGATTCGGAAAGTGAATCAGACACCAGTAGCGACGACGCTTCTGTTAAAAAAAGGCGACATAAACGGCAAAAAAAACGAAGAATAAGTACAAGCGATAGTGACAACGACAGTGATAGTACTGAGAGCATTAGTAGTGAAAATGTCACACAACGTGAAAGAAAAGATAAAAAAGAATATGATAAAAGGAAATGTTCGAGAGATGATATAAAAATTGACAACGATGATAAACGAATGAGAAAAAGAGCGTCAAGCAAACATAAAGATTCAAAGTATGAAAAAAGTAGAAAGCATGAGGAAGAATATAATAAAAATTGTAAACGACGATACGAGCAAAGTGATACGCGCGCGCAAAGGGATAGTTCAAAAGATAAATATAAAAATGAAAGAAAATATTCTGCAGAGAAACGAAACGACGCAACAGTAAGTGATAAATCTTTGAATAGTGAATTAGCTTTAAATAACAACAAATAGTTTTTAAAACTTTGCATTATGAGAGCTCTCGAATCATTCTAACAAGAAATATATTGTCCTTTAATATATTATTATTTGATAAAAATGTAGAAATGCGTCTCGTTCGTATCATAATTGACATAGACTTAAAATGTGTTTGATTTTATAGATATCGAACAACGAAAGATCTAAATCTACCTCTGATATTAATCACACGAAAGAGGATAGAAAAGAAACAAAATATAGACCAAAAACAAAACTGAGCCTTACCGAGGAGGAAAAGGAACAACGGCGACAAGAGATGATGGCAAATGCAGCGTGGCGCGATAAAGAGAGAGAGAAAAATGTGAAAATGTACCGTGAGGAAGAGAAAAAGGAAATGCAAAATAATTCGTATAACAAGGATTTTATCAGGTACACGATTAGACGTGTTTCACGTTTATATATATATATATACATACATTTCCGCGAAATAGATATAATATACGATATAAAAAATAAATTTGTATATATTATTAGATATTAATTCGATTAAAATATGGCATTTGTTATAGGAAACAACTGGTTGTCGCGACAGAAATGGGTACTGTCGCATCTAGGATTAAAGCCAATATTAACAACATACAACGTTCCGGTCGCGCAATGGACATGAATTTCGCCAAGAGATGACTTTTATCTGCAATCATATATACTTTGTACAACTATACCATTTTTGTATAACATATATGTATCTGTATGAATGTAAAAATATTTTAAAATACGCATATATTTACGCATATATTATTACCCGAGAAAGCGAAAATTTTGCATTGCACCTGATCGACTCTATATCATCACCGTGCTTTATCTTGAACCTGATAATATATATATATACACATAGCAGATACATTACACACGTCTACATGTATTACTTTCTTACTAATATTAAATAATAATCTCCCTTTTAGATCTTTAATCTTTTTGATACCGACTCGTATCGTTATGTAATTTTACACATTTCTCGGGGTGATTCAACATCGCTAGGATCTACAATTGTTGTCACGCAACCACCGGTAAGAACGTTGTTGACTACAGCTCTAGCGAGATATCCCGTGGTCACCGAGTAATGTGCAGAGAAAAAGGATGATTTATCATCGGTATTTGATAAATTGTGATCCTGTAAACATATATAGCAAAGATTTAAAGAAACAAACACTTATAATATTTTTTATATTACCTTGCAGTACATGATGAAACTATCTTCCACAAGCTGGTTAAGATGCAGCTTTCTTTGGAAGCTTAATTCTGGATTTCGAAGCAAGATGGTCGATACAATACTCAAGAGCTATAATCATAGAATAAAAGTATTTCTTTTTTTTATATAAAAAACAACGATAACTATGACCTCTTATTAAGAGAACTCTTTTTAAATTTTCTTTGTTTTTTTCTAATATCTGGATTTCTTGTATTTGCATTTTTATATGTAATATATTGTTTATATTTATATATTATTTTGCAGTAAATAAGACAAGAAAAGAGAAAGATAATATTTATGAAAAATACTATATTTGTTAAAAATCACTTACTTCAACTACGATTTGACGATATTCCGGCATCTGTATGTGATGTAGCAAAGATTCCACGAGCAGAGCAAACGTGATCTCGGAACGAGTCATGCTGGATACGGTAGGCTGCTGAGGTAATTCGCGTCCATTCACCAAGATACCACCGGGGCAGCGCATCAAAACTTCCCACACTTGATTATAAAAGTGTGTCGGTACTCTACATAAGCAACCCTCAATTTTGCGGCGGCCAATCACTGTCAGACTTCATACCAGCAATGTGATTAATATTATCAAGGAAACAGATTTCGTTTAGAACTTTATAATTCGAAGTATAACATACTTTTCTGTATGAGCCCATTCTTTGACAGTCAATACTTTGATGAGAAACTGCCGAACTTCATAAGGACTATAATTTTCGATTGGTTTGGCATTCTTCACGAACATTTGCAAGTAGAGCTTCATCGCTTCCAGGACCCATCTAGATATCATTCGAATAGCCAATTAAGCTTTGCTTTTTTTATAGTGAGAATATTATTGAAAAAAAATGATACTTACCCGATACGTATTTTTAATATGCCTTTAAACATCTCTGGATTAGTACCAATAAGCCTGCCACAGTACAATAGAATCTCTTGCTGAAGCACAGCCTGTACCACATTATGCGGTTGTATCGTGGAATACATCACCGATTGTATCTCCGCCGGAGTCATCGGTTTGTCGAATATCGTTTCTTCCTCTCCAATCACTCCCACTGCGATCTAATGCCGCATTGATTGAATTGTGATAAGTCTCAATTGAATTAAAAAATCAAATTTAGAGTTTATATACTATTGATACCTGTTTTCCTTTGACTAGTACACCAGTAATAAAGGGACTGATGCTATCTACTGTATGATTCAACAAACTACTGCAATAACGTACAGCCATCCAAAATCTTAAGGATCCAGCTTGTTGATATAATGATCTCAAATTATCACGAACTGGAAAATGATGAAAAGTGACGATTACAATCAAAAATTATGAATGAAGAGATAAAGAAAATGAGAAAAAAAAGAAAAATATAAAATACCTGTCGTTCCATTAACTTCGTAATTAATTCCTTCTCGTTTTACGAGAATACCATACAGTTGACACTTGGCATATAGACCAATGCTATTGCGAAGTTCGTTTAATATATTGCTCAGGGGTTCATTTATCATACACTGAAAAATAAATTATTATCATTCACATGTCTAGTCAATTAAAAGTTGCATTTAACTGTGCAATTTTAAAACGATTTTCTTACAGAATAATCAGTGACGTCTTCTGCGTAAGCGATGGCTCTTGGGACATCTGTGAGGCTTTGATAACCAATATAATCATGCTGCAGTTGTCTAAATTGTGTTAGATCCAGATCTGTTTCCATCGTATTTACAAAGTCCAGATGCTCTATATATATATATATATAAATGTAATATGGATTATGATGTTATTATATATACCAAATCATAGTGCAGAAAGTCATCCAATCTATCGAGTTTTGATTATAATAAACGTTATATTACATTTCAAAAGTTATTTCATGTTTTTATTATTATTTTTAAAAAAGGCAGGAAATATCACTATAAAGAATATTACAATCGTCAATATTTGCATTGAATGTAAGATTTAAAATTTTATAAACTCAGTCTAGTTTCTTGTTATTCATTTATTTTTTATAGAGTGCACACAGAGAAATCAATTTTGTAAATATGTACGTTACCGATGCAAGAGGATGAAATTAGATTTTGTAAACGGCCGATTCGAACTTTTGTTTTATCACAGTAACCTTTCTTCAACATCGCAAAGAGGTCCAACATCTTTTTAAATTGCGGATCTCTAAATAAATTTTTGCAAAAATAAGACACAATCACTACCCACTCACGCATATATAAATTACTACAAGTATGCAAACTTACCGCATGTGTTCCTCCCGTATCAAGAGACATACGGTGGGTCGGCCAGAGAGACGCCAATACTTGCCCACGAATTGCAATTCCGTTTTAATATCATCGATTAATAGAGCCATGTCTCTGTACAAATAAAATTCGGATACCTCGAAGATTAAAGGATAACAGAGCACCGTCATACCACAGACTCTATACACCTGCTCATGTAAAAGTATTCATTTGCATCAACATGTTTTATTATTATATTACTTTACATTATCAACATTATTTAATATTGTAATTAATATTTTTTAACATTGTATTTCATTTTACACATTACACCATTACATATTATTGCTAAAAACATCTCTTTGGGAGAAAAAAATACAGAATCTTTCAACACACATACCTTACTTGTACCTAGAGAACCTATAGGTCGTGCGGGTCGTCCTTGGAGATTTAGTTTCTTATTCACTCCTAGTTTTTGATAAACTTTCACTAATTGAGTAGACGAAAGAATCTGAACTGGCTCAACTTCATGTGGCGTTTGCGTTTGAATACCATATGTGGCCATCATGGCTTGCAATCGCATAGATTCTGCGATCAGAACTATTTGTACTACTAGGTCGGTGTGAGTGCCCTAATATACAAAAGATACAGCAGTGCTTATAAGTACAATGCTATCAAGAATACTTCTGAAATTGTACAACATTGAAAATAAAAGTTTGCAACTGTCGTGTATATGCAATTTTGTAAATTTATAATAGGCTTTAAAAAATATAAAGCAAGCCAAACATATGATTATGCAAATAAAAAACATTTTGACTGGTAATATATTGCATGCTTTTGCAGAAATAAAACATCAAGAGAGAAACAACACACTTTTCATATAACAGCATTACTCTTTCAAGGAAAAAGAAAATAGGACATTCTACATATAACAGACATATACATTAAATTACTTACACTGCTGGGCTTTGCCTGTGTGGAACATAACACAAAAAATTATTAACTTTCTATTGTCCGAATCATGAAAATAAATTATTAAATCAATTAAATATTTCTCAAAATCACTGTTGATATATATATCTTATTTCAAGTAGCTGTATAATGCATGATTTAATTTCGAAACGAAGAAAACGAAATAGAACAATTTTTGTTAATTCCATTTTTCTTATTTATATTTATTTCACTTATATTATTATTATAAATAATTAACTATATATATTAATATGTATTTAATATTTCAAGAAGAATTATATATTTTTTTCCTTTTTACCTGAAAAGCAGAATATCTTCCCGCACGTCTCGGACGATTATACGATGGTAGATATCGACGTATCGGATCTAATTCGTTAATATGCAAAAGGCTAGCAGTCAGCAGTTGCGCAATCACAAACATGGCTTGATTCCACAGGTACATCGGCGCAGAATCTTGATCTATAGATCTAGAAGCTCTCCCTTCATCGCTCGGTAAACGATAAGCACTGCATGGTTCACATCTTTCAGCTTCCAAATTTTCAATGGGTACATAATAGTACATGGGAATCACTGGATCTATTGCACAAAAGAAATCTTATCATAAACTATACAATTTATATATGATTATTAAAGATAATTTACATACACATTACAAAATATTATTTATAGAAAACTGAAGTAAAAATATTTATTTGATACCTCCATTGAGATCTTTGTGCACTCTCGCTTTTAGTAAATTTTGATACTCCTCCACTTGCTCTGGTAGACTTTTGAATACACCATCTATTATCATAAAGATATAAAATAGTGGCCACTCGCACTCGATACTATCGAAATCCTATCGAAGAAAAATGTTGTTTTTCAATTAAAATCAAGAAATTTTCATACATAGGTAAATAAATTTCTCTATATATGAGTCAATGTAAATAACAATATAAACTCTAACAATATAAACTTTATAATACCTTGATTTCTCCAGGTTTATAATACCGTCGCTGCTTATCCTCCAGCACCGTTTTATAACCATCTCTTCCGAATCGTTTAAAGCCATAATTGCCTCTCAGCCTGCCTACTATGTTTGCCTTGGTTTCATTGTATAGAATTTCTTCGTGAGTCGCAAAGGCAGGAAACGAAATTGTTGGTAGTAAAGCTGCATCTACACTCTGGAAATCAGTAAAATTTCATAAAAATCAGCACTAGAAGATCGTGCAACTGTGTCCTTTGTCCACTTACCTTTGAACTAGATTCTCTCGGAAGCATTGTCTCGAAAATACTACGATTACGATTGTGAGCATCAATATCGACGTATATCACGGACCAGGACGCGCCCTTCTCTCCGAATAAGTTGCAGCCGTTGATCGCCTCCAGTGCGCTCTTGGCGATCCCGATAGAACTGGCGTGAATTTCTGGAGTTCCATCATTGTAACGACTTCCACGTTCCCACATGCCGTAATCCGGTGTACGATACGCTCTCTCAACATAGTATACTAGGTTTTGCACAAACGCCACTTCGTCTTGCGTGTATATAATTTGTAGCCCAGACGAAATCATTTGTACCAAAAATATCAAATAGAGGGATACAATGTCAATCTGTACAAACACACACACACATATATATATATATTCAACAGAGTAGAAATTTGTACATAACGACATATTGTATATAACGACAAATACATATTTAATATACATAAACACAAAAATAACATATAAGAAACACAACAATTTTTATTAAATACTAACTTGTAAATGATGATAGTTGGCATCTTTATAAATTTCATCGCCAGTGTTCAAGTGAAATTTACAATGCAACGCATAACGATCACATTGATTTTTCTTAAAGAGCTCTACTCTGGAGGATTGCTTTATCCAACATTCCAAGATACCCCGCATACATTTTATCGCGGATTGCCCCAATTCGTACGACTTTCCGCGATCGTCGTCGATACGTCTGTACGCTTGATACAGACTCCATATCGCAGCAGCACAGTATATACTTTCGCGCACGCTGCCGACCTCCCGATCAGTCGAGATTTGTGGAAATAAGCCTGTTATGCAACTCTGATAACGCAACAGTTGCCGTTTAACGATTCCGTAATATATGTCCAGTTGTCTGACAGTATCCTCATAGTTTGATATCTTGAGAAACATATCGGCGTCTATATCTATCACGCTGCCTTGCCGCATATTTCTAATCTGCGAGAATCTGCAGAAACGTAATAATTTTTATGGGGAAAATCATTATTATTCAGATATCTTTTTTAATGTGACAAACCTTTTTGTGTTCGACGATGTTGTCAATAAAGTAGCCATTTTACGTCTCCTGTTATCTCTATTCAAGTTATTTTTAGTTCGATGATGGATTGCTACATATCTGTATATATTACTAACAATTATATTATTTTATGTCGACACGATATACTGCTGCCTTAAAGTAAATTGTTATATGTTTCACCTTTAATATTCATTTGAAAAATTATTAAATAATTCATTCTCCCCTTAAAAAAATAGCAGTCGAGAAATTTTTGTTTAAATTCCTTCAATTATAAGTTATACTCGATACCGTCAACAATCATAGAGATCAGCTGATCGGATGATTGCTTCATAGATATATAAAAACATAGACGAGGCAATAACTATCGATACGGGAAAAGGTATAATATAAACCACTCTTATATTTTAAAAATGTCAGACGGTCATTTCATTGGCCGAATGGAATTTTAAAATGACCTAAAGGTGCGGCCTCATTGACGCTAAAAAGTAGCGTCAACCATTGGTTGAACAAGGAGGTAAGTATAGTTGCTTCATTGTTCAACCAATGGTTGACGCTACTTTTTAGCGTCAATGAGGCCGCATCTTAAAGGTGCAATTTCATTGACGCTAAAAAGTAACGTCAATGAAATTGCATCTTAAGACCATTTAAATATAAGAATTTTATATAAAACAGGCTATTGTCGGCATTTTCGACCAATCACAAAATGATTTCTTCAGAAGAATAGCTGCGATTGGTCGATAAATTAGTTTAGTAAACAACCCTGAATCGATCAAACCTGACCATTCGAAAACGCCATATGAATATCGGTCTTTACTCTTTTGTAGAATTTTCGAACGTATTCAGGATTACAGGCAAATTTTGAACCGACGTTTCAATGAAATAATTTTGTTTAAATTTTTCGATTGTTTTTTTTTTCTTTTTTTTTTGTTGTTTTTCTCTTCGTATTTATTTTCTACTTATTTAATGCGATTGTAATTCACGAAGGAGAAAAAACAATTTTTTCTCTCCTTTTAAGGTTATTCGTGGAACCTTCGAGTTTCGGGGTTGTCCCGAAATATATACAAACGATCTTTATTGATCCTTATCGAATGAAGAAACGTATACATGTATACGTAATCAATTGATTAGTCAGTGTCCGGTACTTTGTGTCTTCTAAATGCTTCTCAAGTTAGACTCTTAATCAAATCGGTCTTCCTGCTTGACAAATATTGCTTTGCGTGGTAAGAAAGAGGATAAAAATCAATAATTATAAATTTAAGTAATTTAACCTAGAAGTTCAAATTGCAAATTGTCTTAAGAATTGAGCTTAAGAGATTTATAACGCAACTATTTCACATCGTTGCCTAATACATTCCGTTGTACAGTATTAATTAGGTAAATCGTATCGAATACATTAATTTCCGACAATACAACGTGTTTTAAAACGTAGCGGTAATTTCAATTGACATAACACGATGGAGGACAAACCTACATCAACCGAATTTACTCCGAGGGCGTATCAAATAGATCTCTATGAAAAAGCAGTGCAAAATAATACCATTATTTACCTGCCGACTGGTGCAGGCAAAACATACATAGCTATTATGCTCTTGAAACATTTAAGCGCCGATGTACGCAAGTATGTATCTTAGTGTAAAAGTATTTTTTCCTAATCTTCCTAACAATGTGTGTTTCTATATTTATTCTTTTAATGTATAAACCAATAATATGTATCTGATTGTTTGGAAATGTTAAAGTTTCATTCATTTCTAGGCCCTATAATCAAGATGGAAAACGTAGTATATTTGTCGTAAATACAGTAGCATTGGTACTCCAACAGTCGGACTATATAAATAGACATACGGATTTAACTTGTAAAGGTTATAGCGGAGATATGCAAGTGGATCATTGGAAGGAAGAACAGTGGTTAACTGAATTAAAAGAAAACCAAGTACTAGATTTATGTTATTGATAGTTTTGATTTTGTTATAAAATAATAGTTATTAATAGTATTAGAACATGATTTTCCAATTCATTCAGGTTTTGGTAATGACATCGCAAATTTTGGTGGATATACTTAGCCATGGGTATATGAAATTAGAAAAAATAAATCTAATTATATTTGACGAGTGCCACAGAGCTGTATCCCATCACCCCATGAGACAGATTATGCAACGATTTGAAAACTGTCCTAAGGATAAGCAACCACGTGTCTTAGCTATGTCGGCAACATTATTAAATGCCAACATAAAATTGGACAAAATTGAATCTACAATCAGGGTGAATAGAATCATAATATTATTATAGTCATTATTATCAATAATCTTTACTTATACAATTTTCAGAAAGTTTAAAATTTTTAAAAATTTTTTACATTTTATAGTCTTTAGAGATAACATTCCATTCAAAAATAGCGACTGTAGAATCAACAGACTCTATTCAAGGATATTGTACAAACCCAAAAGAAAATATTATCACGTATAAGAAATATTCAATTTGTGAGGTAATTAAAAAAGTTAATGAAATAATAAAGGAGACTTTAGACATATTGGAAAATATAAATTTAAATTTCGACGATTTGTATAAAGAATCTAGTGAGCAATTGCGACCTAAAACAAAATCTTCTAAACTAATGGCTATCATGAGAGACATAGAATCAACTACTACGCATGCAGGTAATTAAATTCACCTGTATATATATATATATATATATATATATATATATATATATATATATATATTGGAATGTATAGCAAAAGCTTAATGCATTATTAATTTTTATACGCATCACTTAATGTTAGCTATTTAATAGACATGAATGTATGAAATAATTTCTATTGTAGGTATATATGGTGGTAGCAAATCAGCTTTATTGCATTTGATTCAATTAGAAAGCTTAAAAAAATATTCTACCGAGTTGGTAAGTAGTACTTTAAAATTATGATTAAAATCTATTATTCTGAGTGTGACATGTGTACACAAAATATAAAATCTTTGATTTTTTTTTAATTTTACGACTTATTGAATATATTTTAGGTACTGGACAATGTTTTGGATTATATGATTGCACAAATAATTATGATAAGAAAATTGTTTGACAATAAAATGAAAGGTTACACGGAATTAGAACAGCTGCAAAAGTTAGTATAAGAAAGTTCAAATTTTTTTCAAGCCATAACAATTTACTATTTATAATATTATATATTTTTATTAATGAGTAACTTAAATTTTCAGCTTTACATCCGACCAAATTCACCAATTATTTGAAATATTAGTAACATTTAATCATAACTTAAGTAATCAAAAATTCTGCTGCATTATTTTTGTGAAGGAAAGATTTATGACACAAGTGATATATCATATATTAAAAGTAAGCATTTTTCCTTATATCTTTGATATTAGTACTCATTACAACATTGCAAAAGTTTACAATTATTCCTTAAAAAATTACTGTATTTTTTAAAATTTAAACAATAATTATAGCTACAATTAAAAAGATATAAATTTAATATTTATAATATATTTATAATTTATATTATTATTTCAGACGTTATCAAAACTCGATCAACAATATGATTTCCTTTCGCCCGATTATGTAATCGGATTTCAGAATAATCCTTACAAATATAGTAGAGAGGTCGCGTGTATTGCAAAATGGAATAAGGAAGTATTGCAAAGGTGAAATTTAATTTTTTGCATATTTATTATATATTTTTGTATTAATAGGGATTATGGTAATTTTTTTTGTAAATTATTATTTAATTTATATAATTTTATATTATATAATTTTTTCTTATAAATAATTATCATAAACAAAACAATAATTAATATTCATTCACATATAATCTATATACACATTAAAATATAATTGAAATATTTCAATCAAATAATATGAATTATATAGTATATTTTGTAGACTTTAATAATTAGGTCCATAAAAAATTGTTTTTTGTGTATGTGTCATACAGTCATAAATATGCTTTGAATAATTTAGTAACCAATATAAATGCATTTTTGCAGATTTAAAACTGGGTCGTCAAATTGTATTGTAGCAACTGATATTGTTGATGAAGGTATCGATGTGCCAAATTGCACATTGATAATACGATACGATTTGCCAATGGATTTTAGAGGATATGTTCAAAGTAAGGGTCGAGCACGTCACAGTTCAAGTAATTATATCGTTTTAATGCCGGATGACGATCGCACTTTTCTTGAAAGATATAAAAATTACATACATACAGAAATTCAATTAAAAAAGGTAAGCATTTCAACTTATTTAATAAGCAATCATTGATCCTCTCATTTAAAAATGAAAAAAATCGTAAGATCGATTTAAAAATTATACAGTATTAGCTTTATATATAATAAAAGGATTTATATTTATAGTATTTATATTATTAGTATATTTGAGAGAGAGAGAGAGAAAGAGAGAGAGAGAAAATATTTGATATATATTTACATCAAAAATATATATGCATATATATAAATATATTTCTTGTTTTAATTTTGAAAAGAAATATTAATCTTGAAAGTCCTATATAGAGAAAAAAATTCTAGGCATTAAAAAATTATTTACAAATATTTATAACTTGAAAAAGTACATTTCCATATTTATGATTATATAACTTGTTCCATTTTCCAATATTGAATATATTATTAACATTTGATGATATAGTAGAAAGAAAAAAAGAGAATGAGAGAAAGAAAGAAGCACATAATTTATATTATTAAGTTATATATAGTATGTTTACTAATGAAATATGTATTGTGTGCGTTTGTCGCATGTATACATGATAATGTAATTTGTTATTTTAAGTTAAAAAAAGAAAGCATCTTTTAAATCATTAATCATAACAAATTAATATGAAACAAGAATCAATAACATTAATTTATGTGATTTTATTGTTATTAGAGTTTGATGGGGCAAAGTGACCTACGTATGTTGCCTACTGATAATGATATTTCAAGCCATCTATATGTAAGTGAGATCAAACCATATGTAGTGAAACGAAATAATATTGAAAGTTGTATAACAGAAATATCCGCGATCAATGTGGTAAATATGTATTGCAATACTCTAATGAAATCCAAGTTCGTTCATCTGGTGCCCATTTGGAAATTAGATGAAGTGAAAAATGATGATAGGATATTGTTTCAGGTATATTTTTCTGGTTTATATATATATTCTTCACTATGATTCTCACTATATATATATATATATATTTATTTATTTATTTATATATTTATATATTTATTGTATGAACTTAATAGATTTCTCTTAAACTACCAAGCATATCACCAGTAAAAACTGAAATTTCCGGCGATGTTATGAAAACTAGAGATAGCGCTAAACGATCTGCCGCTATGAAAACTTGCATAAAATTGCACCAACTAGGCGCATTGACGGACAATTTATTACCCGCAACTGGAAACGCAGTCTTACAAAATTTAAACCATTTGTTTCCAAACTGGATAGATGAAGACGATTATTTGCCTGGCACATATAAAAGAAAGCGAGGACATAAACTAGAGGCAAGTTTAGAGGCAACATTATATCTAATAGAATGAGATCACAGACATGAATTTTGTTTTTGCTTAAAAGTAATTAATATAAATTATATATATATAGACATTATTTTACATATGTAAACACTACACACACACACACACACACAGATATATATATATATATATATATATATATATATATATATATATATAAAATGCTTAGTTTTTGAAAGAAAAGGGGTGTACGGGTGGTCTAGGACACCCTGTATATATACATATTAACTTACAAAAATATTCTTGAACAGTATCCAATGGCATTGTACAGCGCATTCCCGAATTCTTCAGAGACATTGCATCTTCATACTCTTAATTGTACTCCTGCATATTCTATGACAAGTTTTGATAATAGACGTATAATTTTTTACAAGTTACTGAATGATAAGAGTGGTTTTGGTATTCTTTCCACAAAGAGTATGCCAAAGGTAAAGACATTTATAAGAATATAAAAGTATTAATTTAAAATTACATACACATCAATGTATTTCTTTTCACAATTTGTTAGATACCTTCCTTTCCAATTTTTATGAAGGATGGCCAATTAGACGTTGACGTAAATTCCAATTATGCAACAATGACACTTAATAATATAGATATTGAATTGCTCAAAAGATTTCACTTTCTATTGTTTAATGAAATTATAACTGTTATTAAAAGCTTTATGCTGTTTGATAACGAAAATCTTGAAAACTCCTTTCTAATTGTTCCATGTAAGTAAATATAATTAAAATATAAATTGATATACATAATATAATCTGAAACATTGTAAATTTACATGTTAACAATTTATAATTTCCATATTAAATCAATATACGTACATCAACACTGATAAGAGAAATATTTTTACCTCAATATTTTAGTGAATGACAAACAAGAGATAAATTGGGACGTTGTAAGAACATATCAACAAATAGAACGAATTATGCCATCTAAACCTTTTCACTTCAAAACTAGTGATTACGAATTGGCATTAGTCACTCCAACTTATAGAGGATCAACAAATGCCTATATAGTTACGCGAGTATGCGATGATCTTACACCCGAATCGTGCTTCCCTAATGAAGATTTTGAAACATTTACGCATTATTACAAGGAAAAACATGGTTTAACTATAGAGAATCTGCAGCAATCAATGTTGGAAGTGAAACCGATACCGGTTAAAATTAACTACATAACACCGAGGTAAAATAATGCGTTTGTGCCGTTTGCATAATTTAATCGACTTAATAAAATTTGTAGGAAATTGCACGATGGATCAAAATCTAAGAAAACGGATGATACAGTGGAAGATCTTCAGGAACACTTGATCCCCGAATTATGTTGGAAAATAAACTTTCCAGCTTTATACTGGTTAAAAGCGACCACGTTACCTTCCATTCTTCATAGAATTTCTCAACTCTTAATCGCAGAAGACTTGAGAGTAGTTATCGCAAGAGAAATTGATTTAGGATCTCCAAATTTACAAAAATGGTCTCCTTTCACATTGGAAAAAAATAACGTGAAATTAATAGAACAGGAACCTAGTAATGAATTAGATTTAATGATGGATGATATAATCGAAAGCCAATCGGATCTAAATATATTTGACTTAAACGGTATGTAGATAATGTTTTACCTACATATATTTCTAGAATATTATTGCGCCCGTGGATCGAGATATCGAATGTCACCCCGCAAATTACTCTTATGCGCGAAATCAATAACACACTTAGAAATATAACTTTAATATTAATAGATAATACATATAAAATAAGAAAGTAATTGAAATACATGCAATTAATATGATAGCGCGAATCAGACTTTCTCATTGTTTACTAACAACCTTTTGATAACACAACAACGATGAAAATTTGAGTGCTTTCCAAAATATCTCGAATACCGCGCAATCCGGGAATATAACTATATATATAGTTATATATATATATATATATATATATATATATATATTTATTATATAGATAAAAAAATTATGTGATACGATTAATCTTATTCATTACAACATTTATATTTTTATAAAGCTTATTTTCATAAGTTTTAATAATTCTAAAATATGCAGATTATAGTTCCTCGAATGACAAAGAACCTCAGGATTTATATCGTAATATGGAACAAGTTCAAATAATCGATATTCAATATTATAATCAATTTATATCTACAAATGGTGACGATAGTATTCAGGTGAACAAAATATAGCGGTACATATTGCGATTATACATATAAACATCTTTTAAATATTAATTAAATATTAATATTTTTATAAAATAGAAAAATACAAACAAAGGCTGTATCAGTCGCCATACTATGAGACCGACAGTATCAGTGCCATCATTGGACATTCTTGTATCGACTGATAATCTTTTTTTCTCTCATGGTCCTAATGCGGTAGAAATCATGCATGTGAGCAAAGTTATTTATTTCTCATCATAAGCGTCAAGAGAGTAATAATAATTAGATGAAAATAATTTACTCAAAAGTATCCATATCTGTAAGAAATTATTTGATTTTAGGCACTGACTACTAAATTAGGCAACGATATGTTCGATTTGGAACGATTGGAGACTCTAGGCGATTCTTACTTGAAGTTTATTACATCGTTATTTTTATATCATAAATTCCCCGCATTTAACGAGGGTCAATTAACGGCATTGAAGGGAAAAATTATTGGTAATCGGAATCTCTATTATTGCGGCAATAAGAAGAATATTCCCGGCCGTATAAAAAACGACGCTTTTATACCTACGAGCAATTTCATCGCGCCTGCTTACACGGTATTACGTCCGTTGCAAAAAATATTGTTGGATGAGTCGGTGGCGCCAAATGTATTATACGAACTGCGAATACCGGAAGAGGAGAAATTCACCGGATATATAAGCGAAGATACGAAGATGACGATGCAGCAGATAGTAATGAACTGGGATAAGGAAGACACGAAAACTGGTTACGAACATTACCTCGGTGTCCAAATTTTGTCTGATAAGACCATAGCGGATTCAGTAGAGGCACTGATTGGTGTTTATCTCAAGGTAAACGATTATGTACAACATTATATTTATTTATTTAAATTGTCTTTGACATTTGAATTTGACATTCGAGTAAAAATAAAACGTAACAAATGAATGTTAAATAAATAACCCTACAAGAATCAAATATAGAAAGTATTAAAAAAATATTTTCTTTTTATATTAGAGCAACGGTATAAAAGGTGCCGCAAAATTGCTCAAATGGTTCGGCATATTACCAAATATTCAGATCGATGAATTACTGTATAGTAATCCACCGGATCCTTTAATAAATCCCGGGAATCCCAACAGCTACATGCCATGGGCCAATGACATGGAAACTAAGATCGGCTATAAGTTTAATAACCGAGCGTTTTTGTTACAGGTAATCTTTTAATCTGCTAAAAAGAATAACTGCATATATGCAAACTTTTATATTATTATTTATATTTATTATTTACTATTATGTATATTTATTTAATCAATTCAAATTTTTTCTTCTTTACATGTTTAATTTACCAACATATTTTTTTCTTTATATATTTATACATACAATAATATACAATATAAAATTATGATATTGTCTATTTCATTTCAGGCATTCACTCATCCATCTTACACGCCAAATGTAATAACCGAGTGTTATCAAAGATTAGAATTTCTAGGAGACGCTATTTTAGGTAAATATGAAAATTATTTGACAAAATTCAAATATTCGTACGCAATATGAGATGTGATGAGAAATATAAAATATTTAGACACATCTTTCTCGATTATTTTAAATTGAAATGACAAAATTTGCAGTGACAAAAATACATAAATTTCATCTCCTTTTTAATGATTCTAGATTTTTTGATTACATGTTACATTTATGAAACTTGCGGAAATTTAAGTCCCGGCCATCTTACTGATTTGAGATCTGCTCTCGTCAACAATATAACATTTGCTTGCTTAGCAGTACGGTATGGTCTAGATACCGCTTTATTGTCCTACGCTCCAAAATTGCACGAAGCGATCGATCGCTTTGTAAAGTTCCAACAAGAACGAAATTACGTAGTTAACGACGAGGTATGCGAGCAATATTATTAATTTTAAAATGAAAAATATAATGTACTATATATATATATATATATATATACACATCTTTTCTTAATATAGCTGTTGTGGGTATTACTCGAAGAGGAAGAATGTAACCTGGCGGAATATGTTGATGTTCCGAAAGTTCTTGGAGATTTATTCGAGTCTTTAATTGGGGCTATCTATCTTGATAGTGGCAAGAATCTTACAAAAGTTTGGGAAATCGTATATTCTTTTACACATAAGGAAATCGGTAAGATTAATGTATAAATAATATTATGATACTAATTAGCAGTAATAATCTGATTCGATAAAAAGTAAGAGAATACCAAGTAAGAGAATAAGAGATATTCGATCGAGATCAAATAGATTTATTTATCTTCATTATATTCATTAATATATCTATTTGATTTGACTTGTTGGAGTTGAATCTTGTTGAAAATGAAGATGATGATTATAATCGTGTTTATTTTATAGATAAATTTAGCAAAAACACACCTAAACATCCGGTACGACTAATATATGAAAATACAGATTCACGTCCCAAGTTTCTGTAAGTTTTTAATCAATTGTTAATCAATATTTTTATGTGTTTATTACTTTACATTCGCACACACCCAAACATATATGTACCTATATATCTATAAAATTGCAGGGATGCAGTATTGATCGAAGGTACCGATACGATTATGGTACCTTTGAAAATAACTTTTGCAGGTAAAGAGAAACTCTTTCATGGTTTTGGAGCTAATAAAAAGCAAGCTAAATGTGCTGCTGCAAAACAAGCATTAAAAACACTAAAACATGAAAAATAAATTTTCCAATTTAATTGTTTTATATAGCATACATATATATACATATGTACATATTTGTACATATGTATAAATATGTATGAATCTGTGCATGTATGCATATTTGTATTTTGTATAAAAATTTATAGACATATGTCGAGCAAATATTTTTTTTATGCTCGATGTATTTGATAATTATATTATAACGTTGTTTTGATGGCACGAGCTTCCAGATTATCATTAATATGATAAATTTATGTAAATACTTTTTTTATTAATTTTCCTATTAATATACTAATTGGCTGCATAATTTGACTCCAATACATACTTTTATATTGCATAGATTATATATAATGAAAATTTTCTTCAAAAGATATATAATATTCCATTTTCAATATTTGATAACAAATAATTATAAACGTTTTTTCACATCAACTTAACAACTTGACAACATGCCAGATTATATGCAAACATAAGAGATTTCTGAAAAAATATATTCTATATATTTTTTTTCTAAAATAAAGATCTATTAAGAAATAAAGATCTATTAAGAAATAAAGATCTATTAAGAAATAAAGATCTATTAAGAAATCAATTACGATTTCTTATAATATTGTGTAGCGACTTAGAATTTACTTTATATGCATTTTTTAAATAAAATATGTACATTAAATCAGTAATTTCTGAAAAAAATGATTGTTCTTTATAATTAAAGATATGCCTAATAGATTATTACGTTAAATACGAAATTTGTATTTTAAATATAGAGCATTGAATTATAGAATATTATATTTGTAAAAACATGAAAAGTTATAAGAATTGATGAAATATAGATAAAAATATACATTAATAAAATAAGGTTACGTTATTATTAAGTTTTATATTTGTTATATTGCCATATTTGTATCTACAAATGTTTTCCGTATGTAACTGCTGTAAAAAGAAAATAAACGCAAAAAAAATACTTGTATAATTTAATTTTCAGTTTTCCTCTTTTTTAAGGAAGGTCGATCAAAAACTTGTTTCATCCCGGCCGCTTGATTATTGTGAAACTTTAGATTTTGCGCAGTCTCCGATATCCAAGGTGAATCGAATTGCGTGGTGTCTTGATCAACCAAATGAGTATACTTGGTTCTACCGCTGCGTCCAAAATTCTTTACTTGCATGACTTTAGGTAAAATCGTTTTGTCAAAGTGATCCTCTAAAGTTGCGCCGGAGAAATCACGTTTAAATATGGAATCGTCTTTATCCAAGTAGAAGGCGCCACGATGATAGTATTTCTGCAAAAATTTGTACTTCCCTTTCGCCGCTTTATTAGTAATCATTTTCGGATTCAATCGTGCCTCTTGTCTTCGTTCCTCCTCTGTCATGTTACGGATACGCTCGATTTCGAGACGTTCCTTCTCAAGTTGTTCCCTCTCTTCGCGATCTCGCTTGATTCTTTTCAGCTCGCGCAATTTCCAAGCTTCATATTCTACCTCATCATTCTCGTCATCTGTGCAAACATCGTTCAATTTGCTCTCTTGCTCGATGTTACCTTTGTTTCCCATTTGCGTCTCCTTCCGTACTGCCTCCTCCACCATTCTCAGGGTTTGTCTCTTTCGTTCTTCGGCCAGTTTTTTAATCTCAACCTCTGCTTGCTTTTGCCGCATTGCCTCCTTCTCCTTTTCCATCACTGTGATTCTGTCCTTTTTGCGAACAAATACAGGTTTTAATCGCGGTCCAGTCTCTTCTTCAGAATCTGTATATTCCTCGTATTCCGAACTTTCCTCCGAACTTTGGCCCGATCTATCCTCCTCTTCGCCATGTATCAATTCTTCTTCCGTTTCCTTCTTGGATAACACTCGTTGTTTTAGGGCTTCTCGTCGCTTCTCTATCTCTGAGTCTGACAATTCCTCGTCCTCGGAAGAATCGGAGCTCTCTAATTTGATCCTCTCTCGCGTTCTATCCAATTCAATCTCGATGAACTCGGGCTCATGAATGTGTCTGTGTCTTTCTGTACGCACTTCTGTTGGCGTTTCCTTTTGCTGTCGCGTTAATCTTCGTAAACGCGGATCATCCTCGTCTCTGATTCTCGCGTGTGAATGCGCGGTAACATCCGTAACGGCTTCGTTGTCATCGTAACTCTTATGTACACGTTTCTCCAGAAAATCCTCCTCTTCCGATTCCTCATCTGAGCTTGCAGCTGCATAATCTGGTCGTTTACCAGAAACATAGCGATGTACCTTTACCTTTTTCATCGACAATTCTCCTGTAAGTATAACACAATTCTTCAAAAGGACAGAAAAATTTAAACATAGATTATATATCTCAATTATATAATCATAAATATGAATAAAATTGATCTAAATATTCCTCAGTAAGACGAAAAAATGTATATTAAGAATAAATTTTTTTCATCTTAAGCAATTCCTTTATATTTTCAATATTTGACTAAATGTCATTATCGTCATTGTTATGACAAATGCTTATAATATAATCTACAATATAAATATATGCTTATAATATTAATCTACAATATAAAATATAAATATAAATTTATAAATATATAAATTTAAATATATAAATTTATATCAAATTATAATCTAAATAATATTTAATTAAATTATAATCTAAGTAATATTTAATTATAATTTAATTATAATTTTTGTTTCGCGATGCATTTGTACTTGATTTTAAAACTTAATCCTAACCTTTGTCATTTTTCACAGGTACAGCACCCGCCGTGCTTTGTATTCCCATCGGTGCGGGTGCTAAGGAATTATTCGTCACAAAGTAGTCCATCATCATCTTGATAACGTCTGTTAATAAACTTTGTCTGTAGGTCTGTTTTTTTATTCTCGCTAGACTGAACTAGATCTAAAAATGCGCAAGGACGACGCCACAGCTGATGTGCAGTGTGTACGAAAACAATTCATGACATTCCAACCTCCAACACTCTGACATTTCCTTTGGGCGATATTACATCTGTCGAGTTTATCTAATAGCGTTTTCGACTTATCGGGTTTAATCGCTCCGGGCTAATTTACTAGATGTTATTGACCAATCACAGTCATTCTTTTGAAAAATGTAACCATATATTCTTCAGAAGAATGACTGCGATTGGTCAATAACGTCTAGTAAATGTGAGAGTCAGCCAATCGGCACGTGCGACAAAGCATGCATGTGATGCTATTGGTCGATTTTTGACTATACGCATGTATATACTTTCATACGTATCGACCGTATCGTAATTCTGACGTATCGTAATCTCGAAGTCTCGAAGAAGAGATAATTGCAATGTGGCATTCTTGCGTCAAAAAAAATTTCTAACCTAAGATGTTGAGGAGCAAGCCACTATGTCATAGTAAAATTTGAGATTTCGCAACGAAAGCAAGAAACGCGCGTGTATTAATAATTATGTCTATATTCGGCGAATAAAGATGAACGTACCATTGATCATTTTTGGAATTTTCTATTTTCTGAACACCTTGTTTAGATTTTCCCATGCGTGGGACAACGACGAATTGGAGGTATTCGACGTGGTTGAGGAGGTCAATCAAAATTTTTACGATGTCTTGGGCGTTACACAGGTATTTTTCTACCACATATATTTTAACGTCGTCAAATACTATTCAATGAATTTTACTACTATTGATGAATGTCTCTTTCTTACAGTCCGCGAATGCATCAGAGATCAAGAAGGCTTTTAGACGCTTATCGTTACAACTACACCCGGATAAAAATCCGGCAGAGGATGCGGAACAACAATTTCGAAAGGTATATACTTTATAGAAACAAAGATAAGACATTAAAATTATTGAAGATATATATGTTGACAGTTTTTATATTTTCTCCTAGTTAGTCGCTGTTTATGACATTCTAAAAGATCCTGGGAAACGGCAGAAATATGATAATGTACTCGTTAATGGTTTACCAAATTGGCGATCGGCAGTATATTACTATCGTCATGTTCGAAAAATGGGATTACTGGAAATGAGTGTTATTCTATTTACAGTTATTACAATAGGACAATATCTTGTAGCGTGGGCAGCATATTTCGAGAAACGATATACTTACGTAAATATATATGCATCTATCGGAAGATAAATTTTTCTTCCAAAGAGAAACGTTTTCTTTCTTTATGCCTGCTGTGAAATGTTAACATCTGTCGTATTGATTACAGGAACAAGTTTTAGGTAGTAAACTGCAAAAGATGCAAAAGAAAAGCAGAAAGAGCAAAATGGATGTACCAGATTTGGCAGACATTTTGGAAAAAATTCCCACTCCAACTATGTGGAATACTCTTCCATTTCAATTACCAAGATGGATAATAGGTTCAATAATCGCTATACCTTCTACCATTCGTTTGATTGCTCAACTTTTGAAAGAAAGAAAGGAAAAGAAAAAGCAGGAGGAAGAGGAAGCATTGTAAGAGAATATATAACTTTCTGTCTATTTCTTATCTAATTTATTTTATCACTTGTGAAATTTTAAACATCTATTATCCAGAGCACAGGAGAATGAGCAACCAGAACCAGAAATAACGTCGCGTGGTGTTAGGAAACGTCGGTCTGGTTTTACACCGCAAGAGAGGAATAGCAGCAATTTTAAAGAGCCCGTAAAGAAAGAGAGCTGTGATTACACGAATCACGTTAGTGAAAAGTCAACGATATCTGGTGGCTTGTGGACTGACAATGACATATTGGAGCTGATAAAGTATGTGAAAAAGTATCCTGGTGGAACTCCGGAACGATGGGAAAAAATCGCGAGCGTTATGAATCGCACTGTCGTGGAAGTTACACATATGGCTAAAAAAGTTATTATTTTGTTATGTCAATTTTATTTTTATATATATAATAAGATAATTAGACGTTGAGAATCGATATACTTTACCATGTTAGGTAAAAGATGAAGGTTTGAAACCTGTTGAATCAATTGAGGAGGAAGTTGTTGCAGAAGAAAGACCAAAGAAGATTAAGACCCGTAGCGAAAATACAGTCAGCACCGTCGAGTGGAGTCAGGAGCAGCAAAAGGCATTAGAGGCGGCTCTCACGAAACATCCCAAGGGTACCTCCGTAGATAGATGGGAAAAGATTGCAAATTGCGTCGAGGGCAAAACAAAAGTAAGAGATTTTATTTATCACATACTTTCCCTCTTTGTGTAATAGATATAGAAATTATCGCTTATTTACAGGAAGAATGTCAAGTGCGCTATAGACAATTGGTAGAATTAGTGAAAAAAAAGCAACAATCTCAATAGTCCAATTTATATGAGATTCCGTTTTTCTGAAGATTTTGTATATCATACCACAAGCCAAGAAATAATATTTTATTGAACTATAGCACAAATGCGGAAACAACAAAGTGATATTGCCAAATATATATTGATTCTCATTTGGAAAATTAAATTTTCTAAAAATTCTCTTATGGTGTTTCAACCGTGTTATATGTGTAATATATATATATATACATGCGTCCATAACACACAAAACTCGGTTTCATCATAATACAAACATAAATTTGAAATTAGAAATAAGGGAAGAATAAATTAAATGGGGAAATGTTTTTTCTCTATTGTCACATCTTATTAAATGTTATCGAGAATGTATTTATTTATAATAAATTTAATAATTAATCAAGAGGGAAGACTGAGAATCTTAAAACATTGCCCTCTTCTCCAAAAGACTGATTACTGGAGAATTTGTATTGTATTTTGTCGAAGCAGATCTTTTTAAAATAATGAAAATTTAATATGAATAGTTATATACAACGTATATATTTACAAGTATGTACAGCATATAAAGATACGTAAATAATTGTTTTTATAATTGCATTATTTATACATATGATTCAATGATTACATTATTGTTGTTCTGTTTTCTCATGAATTTATAATAAAATCGAGTCGTATAACATCTTCGCGATAATATAAATTGTCTTTATTCCTTGCTTTTTCTAATAATGAAATGAAATATTTTTTACATATATATCAGAACAAGCTAGTGTTACACAATAAACATAAAAAATAAAAATGTTTTCTGTCTCACAAAGTCTTGTCATTGTAGATGCACGCTGTTACTGTCATAAAAAACATTACTTTGAACTAGAAGCAAATTTTTCTTTATGATTTTTGAAAAGATAAAATATTATTTTAGCAGAGGTAAAATCGTTATAATGCGGAAACGCGGACGATTTTTAGATAGATCGTAAGCAAATTTTTTAATTACGCCTCCTGCGAACTCGAGATATTCTCCACGCATTCGGTTCCTCATATTTATTGTAGAGCGGTTCTAGTCTCTGATTCTTCTTAAACTTGCTAAGCTTAGTCGGATCGCTAAACTTGAAGAATGCAGGCGCGAATTCCACCAACCATTTTGGATCAATGGTCGTCACTTCTCTCATGTATTCCTTAGTAGTCTGCACCAATTCATGATAGATGACCCATTCCGGTTGGCGATTGAACAACGCGCTACTCGGATGTATGTACACCACTTGGCTATCGACCAATGTTCTATATCCTTCCTGCGGATCCTTCTTCGCAGCATTTCTGAAAAATCCTGAACACACCGCCTTCTGTATGCGCACCGTATTTTTGCCGGCCGACACCACATCCAATTTATGCCTGTCCATTATGCCTAGCAGTTGCTTGCGCACATCTTGGGCGCGCTTCAGCGTTCTGATCTGCACAAAGTTCTCGTAGCACCATGCATTACTCAGCTTATTATTTTTCCAAGAATTATAGACCGCTAATAAAGTCAAATGATCGCCTTCGGCTTGATTAAATTTGGCCTTTTTTTGATCGGCCAAAGCCTGCTTATCCTTTGGCCGATAAAAGACATTTTGAACGGACAGCATACTAACGATAGTCAAGATCTCGTCGGAACATTGAAGATGTACGCTCATGATTAACATCTTGGATAGATTTGGCTCGAGTGGAAATTCTGCCATTCGCCGACCCAGTCGCGTCAGTAGACCCTCGTTGTCAAGAGCGCTCAAGCTGTGCAACGACTCTAATGCCATAATCAGCGACTCCACCGGCGGCGCGTCCATAAAATCGAAATGTAAAAGATCATTGATGCCCATAGTCTTCAGCTGCAACACGGTGGTAGCTAAATTTGTGCGTTGAATCTCCGGTACTGGCGTGGGCAACATCTCGTCTCTATAAGCCCGCTCGGTGTAAAGTCTGTAACACTTTCCGGGTCCAGTTCTGCCGGCACGGCCGCTGCGTTGCTTCGCTGCCGCTTGACTGATTGGAGTTACTATGAGACTATCCATGCCAGTCTTGGAATTGTAAACTTTTTGCTTAACAAAACCGGGATCAACGACATAATAGATGCCGTCGATCGTCAGACTAGTTTCGGCAATGTTTGTAGCGATAACGACCTTGCGCGAGCCGGGTGGTGCCGGCTCAAATATTCTGGTTTGCATCTCCGAAGGTAGAGCCGAGTACACTGGAAGGATGATTAACTCTGGCACATCCGGACCTAATGACTTCATGCGCTCGTAAAGAATCTCGCAGGCTGTGTCGATCTCCTCCTGACCTGTGAGGAAAAGCAGAATGTCGCCCGGAGGTTCGCGTAAATGGATCTGCATAACAGTGATCAGCGCGGCGTCCAGATAATCTGTCTCTGGCTCTTTCGTGTACATCACCTCGACTTCGAACGTGCGTCCGGGAATGGTGAAGATGGGCGCTTCGAAAAAGTACTGCGAAAACTTGACCGCGTCCAAAGTTGCACTAGTAACGATTAGTTTGAGATCGGGCCGACGACCTACCGCCTGTTTCAGCAAACCGAATAACACGTCTGTGTGGATCGTGCGTTCATGTGCCTCGTCCAGCATGATCACTGAATACGTCTTCAAATCGAGATCCATCAAACATTCGCGCAGCAACATACCATCGGTCATGTATTTGATGCTGGTTTCTGGTCCGGTACAATCCTCGAAACGAATAGTGTACCCTACTTCCTGACCCAGGCAGCAGCCAAATTCCTCTGCTACTCTTTTGGCCACACTCATGGTTGCCACTCTTCTCGGCTGCGTGCAGCCGATCTTGCCGCGCGCGGTAAAGCCAGCCTCCGCGAGGTATTGCGTAATTTGCGTCGTCTTGCCCGAGCCGGTCTCTCCGATGACGATCAGAATCTGATTGTCCGTTACCGCTTTCACCAGGTCATCGCGCAACTTATAGATTGGCAAACTCTGACGTTGCTCCAACAATGTCAGATTAGTCTTCTTACCGAACGAAGACTTCTTACCGCCTATCACGTGCTTCTTCCATTCCGGTAAATCTTGTGTTTGCAGTCCGATGCCGCGCATGTTCGCCGCCAGAGTACGGCTCTCTGCTTCCGGCAACGGATCTATCCAGTTCTTGTTCAGACCGGTAGGCACAGAGTCCATCTCTTGTTCGCGCTGCAGCATCTTCTGCTCTCTCCGTTCCTTCGCCAAGGCGCTCTGCATCATTGCTGCTTGCGCCAGCGATCCGTCCGGATTCTTCACTATTCGCACAGGGCTAAGGTCGCCCAATGCTCTACCATGACCATGTAGAAACGGAGGCTCCTCTTCAACGAGCTCGATCTCCACGTCTTCCTCTTCATCGTCTTCTCGCGGTAATATCCCGGTCTCCGTATCGAATTCCGGTAACTCGTTCCTGTCGATGCACGACGCTGCCAACATCTGCTTAATCTCCCACTTCTCCGGCGAGGACAAACGTTGTACACGCTTCCTCGAATATGTCTCGTCCTCATCGTAATTACCCTGTAGCTCTAACAAGGAAGTAGGCCTATCTGGATTACGCAGATGCTTCTCGTCCTCGTCCGCCTTTGCGATCGGCACCACGGGGTTCAGATCTTTACCGGTTTCTTGATCGACATCCTTCATACTTAGAGACACTTTTTGCCCACCGACGCTGAGAACTTTCACGAGGACCTTCTGACCCCTGGAGACTACATCGCTCGCGTTTGCTACTCGACCTTCTCTCCGTAATTGTGAAATGTGGACTAAGCCCTCCCATCTACGCCGCAGACCCTCCAACTGGACGAAACAGCCGAATGGTACAATGTTCGCGACCTTGCCTGCATAAATTTTACCCACTTCTGGTTCCACAGATAGCATCTCTTCGACAGATCCAGATCTAGATCTATCGGCATCGCGTTTCCTCGAGTATCTCGTATCTCTACCATCGCGGGACAATGATCTTCTGTGTTCGCGAGATACGGAACGTCTTCTGCGCGTGCTATCTCGAGATCTGTAATGGGTTCGAGATCTGGATCGAGATCTGTGCCGTCTTTCTTTACGGTTTGACGATCTGGATCTGTGTCTTCTCCTGTCTCTCGATCTGCTTCTGCTTCTGCTTCTCTTTTCCCGTTTGCTTTTTTGTTCACCATTGTTAATCTTACTGTTGTTTCTTTCAGTATTCGAAGAAAGCTTTTTATTGGACGGTGCAAATGCTTCTAAAGAAGCCATAACATCGTTAACAATATCCTCATCTTTACCTTTATTAATATCGGAACATTGCGGATCATCGTTTGGTAATGCCAGTGCAGGAAATTTTAATGCCAGTTCATCCTGTTTATTCGTGAGTTTCGATAGCTTTTCGGTAGATGTTTTAGCAGGTTTCATATGCTGTATTATTCTAAGAAGATTAGCTATAAAGGAGTCTGAGAACTCAGCATTATTCTCGATCAATACTTTCTTGAATGCCGCAAACGTATTATTCTTTTCAGCCAGATGTATAATAAATTCAGCCAAATATTTGTAGTTCAATCCTAAATGATTTTCCAACTCTGTGCAGATTTTTGACACTAAGGATAGATGTTCCAATTTTGTAACCTCTTCCATCGTGTTTCTTTTTAATAATAAATTCTTGAATGCACGTGATTTATGATTTAATCATCTTCGGTTTGTGATTCTGAAAATAAATGAAAAAGAATAAACAGTTTTATTGATACTAATATTGATAAAATAACGTTTTTTTAGTTACAACATTAAACACTGCAATATATTACCAGAAATAAAAAAATAATAGCTTGGTTTTCCTTTATAGTTTAATGTCTCATACACTATTCATTTTTCGCTCTCTTCAACATTCAAATATAATTATCTATTATATCTAATAATATATAATATATATTATATATAATATAAAATATATAAATACCTATTTCACTTCCTGCAACAAAATTATAACAATAACCACAAAAATGCACTCCACTTGAATGAACCGAACGTACTGGAATCTGGAATAGGTAATCCAAAATGGCCGCATTCAGCGGATTCAACCGCTAAGTAACAATCTAATATGATTGGTTTCTACTTTTAGGTCCGACCAATCAGCGTCGAATTAGATCAGAAAATCTAGTAATGTTGCCCAATTGTTGAGTCCGCTGAATGCGGCCATTGATGTTTCAATGCCATCGACATATACACTGGACTGAGCATTGTGATAGACAGGCGAGCGCCCGCTGTAGAGAGAGATATACTACATGGGAGACCTATGTCTGTTTCTTTTGCTAGTATCTCATTGGTAACTTTGTTTCCCGCCTCGATGGGCGGGATACTAGCAAAAGTCCGATCTTATATTTAAGACCATCTTAAGTTCATCTTCAGATAATCTGTAGCCAATAAAATAATACATACAACATCTAGAGAAAGATGAACTTAGAATAATCTTAAATATAAGAACGGACGAATACCGGCCTTAATATCATCTTAAGAACTCATTCAACCAATCAAATAGCTACAATGCAGCTATTGATTGGTGGAATGAGAGCTTAAGATGATCTTAAATGTAAGACCGGACTATGGCCGGTATTCATAGTCCGATCTTATATTTGAGATCGTCCTAAGTTCGACCTTGAAACGTTACGCAGCTATTTCATTGGTTGAATGAGGTCTTAAGTCAACCTCGGATCAGACTTAAGACAATCTTAAATATAAGATCGGACTATGAATACCGGCCTATGAATACCGGCCATAGACCGGTATTCATAATTCGATCTTATATTTAAGATTGTCTTAAGTCTGGTCCGAGGTTGACTTAAGACCTCCTTCAACCAATCAAACAGCTGCGTAACATTTCAAGCTCGAACTTAAGACGATCTCAAATATAAGATCGGACTATGAAAACCGGCCATAGGGTGCATCCAGATGCACAACCGCTCACCGAGCGGCTAAGGCTGTGTTCCAAAATTTACTGCCGGTACTGAAAATCTATAGTGTACATACATACGTCACGTAAACTATAAATTTTCAGTACTGGCAGTGTATTTTGGAACGCAGCCTAAGTAGCAATTGAATGTGATTGGTTGGGAGCGTCTCGTTTGACCACGTTGCGATTGACCACAGCCAATTATATCGACCTGTGCCTAGGGTAACCAGCAACGATTAACCAATCAGAGAGTCCTATTTTGAATTGGCCAATTGGCGACGTGGTCAATCGGGTGCCACCCGATTGGTTTCTATCTTCGAATTCACCAATCACATTCGATTGCTACTTAGCCACTCAGTGAGCGGTTGTGCTTCTGGATGCACCTATAAAATGGAATAAAGGTACGATTTATTCCAAATTTCAATTTAACGTAAATTTACATGATGCAAGAGTAATGCAAACAAAGAGGTTATTCATTGAAACATTTAGTTATTCGCCTAATAAAAGTATACGATAAAATTCGATTTGAGATGCTAACTACCAACGAAGAAATAGACGAAGCCGGGAAGCTACAGTCAAATGACAGTAATACGGTTGAAAATTTACGAGTAGAATTGAGAGAAGCTACTTTGACAAAAAGAAGGCAGAATCGTACGTCTGCGTGGGATAAGAATCGCAAAAATTTGGGAGAATGTCCAGAGAATGAACTATTCACGGTCGAGTATGTTAATGAGAGAGTGAAGTTTCTTAAGAAAAAAAGGATATCTCTTAAAGATTATAGATATTTGCCTAATGCTCTTATCCAGGTATATATGTGTTTCAGAGAATTAATCTTTTTTAAATTATTAACATTTTGTGTATGTATAAAATTACCTAATATATGCTATACAACTATATGTATAATAGATCACAAAAGAAGTAAACTATAATAATATTATTTAATCTCTTGTATTTATTAGTCGGAGGAGAATATTTATGCCTTTTTAAAAGTAGACCAAAGTTTATCAGGCTTGATACGCGATCTGTCTGGTAATAATCCAATCTTTCAATTATATGCAGCCAATTGCTGCTGTAATATTGCTCTTGGAAATACAAAAGCATGTACAGTATTGGGAAAAGCAGTTATTCCATATTTACTTATCGAGTTAGAAAGCTTAAATTATATATTGCTGGTAAGTTTATCTAATTAAAATTAAGCAAAAAAAGAGCAAACTATGAGTTAATCTATCAACACAGTTTTGTCATTTATCAAATTTGTATAAAAGTTTTAACAAGTACATAAATTTCTTATCTTACATAAATTTCTTATCTTTTTAGGATATTTGTATTTGGACAATTGGTAATTTAGTTGCAGGAAGCCATGTAGCTTTTTCTATACTACATGCACAGCATTGTTTGAAATATTTAATTTTATTGTTATCTAATTGTGACGATTTGATACTTCCTTCTGTAATATATGCACTTTTACATTATGTACATGTGGGATTTCATGAGATATCGTAAGTATTATTTGTTTTTATGCACTATACTTACTAGTAAGTAAATTTATAAGGAAATTTAATATTCTGATATTTACAGAGAAAGTGAGATGATAGAGCTTATCCAAGTTATTACAAAACAAAAATTTTTATATAAGAATCCAAATTTTATTTGGTTGTTAGCATTGTTATCTTCTTCAACAGTATGCACAACGTATTTATATTCTATTTTGCCACAAATTGTTGATCATCTTTACTTATTATTTTCTGACTCAAAGGAAATATCTCATGTTAGTGAGGTTTGCTGTCCCCTTCTCTCTTTTTTATATGTAATACAATTGTAAAATCAACATGTTAAATTCACAATTTAGTTTTTTCTTTTTCAGATTACAGCATCTATACGTATACTAGCTAACACGCTCAGCAATTCTTGCAAAGATGAAGCAGATATTCTTCTGAGAAACTCAAAATATTCAGATGAGGATCTGTGTCTTTTATTAAATAAATTATTATCTCATCAATATATGCACATCAGAAGGGAAACCTTATGGTTAATAGGTAATTGTGTTGATATTTTTTTAAAAAAGAAGATATAAAAGAGAATACAAGTGAAATATAATCTAATCTCTAATGTAATAAATTGTAGGAAATTTGTATAATCACAGATCATCTAGTGTTGCTAAAAATATAAGAAACCTTGTAGCCTTTTTACCAGCACTGAATCAGGCTTTTCTTTCAATTGGTAATTGTGTATAAGCGAACATTAAAACGACATGTTCTTTTTCCAAAAAGGTATATTATACAATATTTTTAAGAAATTAGGAAAGAATTTTAAGTATATAATGCAAATATAAAAAAATAATATTTACATTTTTATTATATGATTCTGAAGATTATTTTTACTTTTTTTTTTAAATTGAGCATATGTTAAACTTTTGAATACATCTAATATCATACATTTGATTTACATTTTTAGTAATTATAATATACATTATCAAGTTTTAATATTCTTTTTTCACAGGTACAAACTTTCTTGACAATTCCGTGGAGGAATACTGGTTTCTTTTTTTGTCTTCTATACATGGAACTTTGACGATGTTGAAATATATCTGTCCCATTAGATTTGCCGTTGGATGATTGGCAGCTTTTAAACATTGATAAAGCGCTTTGTCGCAAGTACAATGTGACCTGTGAAGCAGTGAAACACTTGCAAATTAATATCTTTGGAAGGAAAAACAATTTTGAGACTATTAATAGGTAATGTATAATTTTAAACTTTGTTAAGAATGATTAAAGAAATAATATAAGACATTGACGTTCAAAGACGCATTATACTAAAATACTTGAAATAAATCGATTATTAAATATTTTTTTTACGAATTATCGATAAAATCTTACTTAGTATACAGGGAGTAATTTGTAAGATTATATCGGGTCTGTTGAGCTCGGACTTTTATAGGGCAAAGGTCGTGGGTACGACAGCATCTGAAAAATACAAGATCTGTATTAAACTGACTTTAAAATTAACATTTTTGAAAATTACTGATTTACCTATCAATGTGAGGTAAATCGCCCAGATCATGGTAATTTTCAGCTATATCTCCCGTACCGCACCATTTTGTACCTATAGTAATATATTTCTTAATTAGGAATATATATACATGTATTTAATTTTTGCCTATGTAGAGTACAATATTGCATGCGTTAAAAATATCATAAAAAAGATTGACCTGGTAGAATACCAGATAACAGAGTAATTGAACTAGCGGCTCTGCTTAATGCGTTTGTGGGCAAAGTGGATGTAGCTTTTACTTGAAGTTTGTCCAACAATTCGCATTGTTGCATAAGTCTCGTTATCTCCTGAAAGGATACCACTTGTGGTTGTAAAGTCATAGACAAGTTTCGTAAAACTTCGATAGCCTCGGACGGCTCACTGAAAGAGATACAACGATGCGAAATCAAGATTATGCAGAATTAGAAAGAAAAAATCATGATTAGATATATAACTGACTAAGAACCGGTTTTGACACGATCTGATTGTCAAGCAGCGGCCTTTAGGGCGACCACTTACTATACTTCAATGATATTGCAATCGCGTAATACATTGCTTGGATCGAGATTGATCACCGCCACTGTCTGTTCGTGATAATAAACGACTCGTATCTCGTCGTTCGCGAGCGCAGAAGGACTCGATTCGACGCCGTTCAATCCTTTGAATGTACTTCTGAAGAATGTTGGCTGCGCGATCAAGCTGCATATCGACGCGACGAGAAGGAACGTCAAGCGCATTGAGTACATCTTCTTCAAAGTATCGATCCTGATTTTTCATCAATTATTGCATTATGTGGTTTTATATTTATTTAAAATCTTCACATTGTACATTTTAGAGTTTTCTTCGCGAAAGGAAGAAATAATTTCCGTATAAAATCCGTATATATTTTTCGATGTTTGAATTTTTCGCATAAATACGAAAGAAAAGTAACTGAAAAGTAACATTTTTTATAAATCACATAACAAAATGTTTTGAAGAGAAAATCTAAAAAATAAACAGTAAAACACTCAAGATCAGGACATTTTCTTCACTTGCGCGAAACAATACTTTAAATGGAATCAAACTTACCTTTCGTATTCTGAAATGTTATTTGGCACATGCGAGTTTTTGCAAAAACAATTTCTTTTAGTAAAAATTCTTTTAATATTATATAAAAAATTATCACGATATAAAAAATTATCACAATATAAAAAATTATCACGATATAAAAAGTAAAATAAACTTCTTTAAATTGACTGACACTATTCGCACGTTTGCATATATCGGAGACCGATCACATCAAACTAGTCGGACACAAATGTATCTGGCATATAATTATATAATGCATCTATATCCAACATCAATCGCATATACGGATATACCCGGACTAGCAGTCGATCGAATGGCTAAACGTATAGGTACGACAAACACCCGCACATAGCTTCCCTCTCCTTCGATCAAGTATTGCATGGTAGCGGCAACATATACCGGTGGGGAGACCTACATTCGTGGGGGACTAGGACGAAGAAAGTGGGACGAAACAGCGGAATACTGTAGTTTGTAACCATAAATTTATAGAATTCCCCGTAAAGAAAAAAAAGGGGGAGAAAGCGCAATGTCTCGTCGAGTTTCCTCGCAATCGCATGAGAATCGTTTTTATCATAAATAAAATTTCCGTCAAGACAAATTCTTACATAATTAATATTATAAAAATATATATATTTTATAAATAAAATCTCTATATAAAAGCATTTTTTGTACATATAAGTTACAGTATTTTATGAGAAAAGATAAGAGTCTTCTTAAGTCTTTTCGAAAGTCACCATCTTAAAAACTCTTGTAGGGACTTGTTTATGTAAATTACTACATATTGTTTATAATTTTTTTTTTGCGTGATGTAAAATATAAATTACTACGCATTGTTTATAATTTTTTTTTTTTTTGCGTGATGTAAAATATAAATTACTACACATTGTTTATTTTTACGTTGCAATCCAAATAGCTACGTGACATTTTTTATTTGCAATGGATGAGGTCGTTAAATTTTTTGAAACTGAAATTTTGCTTGTGATTAAGATTATTATCTCCGCAATATGGACAATTATTAAGCGCTGTCAATGTAATTTCAAAATTATGACAACGGTGGTTCGAAAATAATGCCAATGAAGCTAATAATTTTATATACAAATAATTTTACTTTTCTCGTGAAACATTGATATTTAACAGTGACCTTGCCTTAAGGAATGGCATGAAGGATTCGATTTGTTCGCCGCGTTTGTTGGATATTGACTCTCTGTGCGAGTTGTACTCAACGTGATGCTTACGGGAGTCGCGTTGGACAGTTGCAGTCTAACTGGACACTGTCTATATCCTGTAATAAAAAATAAAAGAGCATTATAGTCGCACTGTGTCTGTATACAATGCGCGATAGCAGGCACAATAGTATTTTCAATATGCATGCATATATAGAGTTTCTGATAATAAATAATGTAAAATAGAAATGTAGAAAGTTGTATTATTACGTAAACGTAAAGTAATTTGCGGCAAGAATTGATTTGTTTCATAAGAAAGTTTTTTTCTTGATTTCTAGAATAAATATGAATCGAATTTTATACTTTATTCGCATATTTTAAGCATATCAAATTCAAAGCGACAGTTTGTTTTTGTAGTTCTCCCAATAAAAACACCAATATCAGTTTGTAATTATATTTATGATTAATGAACGTCAAAATGAAAATCACGCCACATAAGATAATTTGCAAAAAACTAATAATAAATAATTTGTTCTTGCAAATTACCTTATAACGAATGAAACAAATCTCGCGATTCATTCCGGAGTGAATTGCAGATTAAATATTTTATAATTTAATTATAATTATAATTAAAACACAACGTTTAATTATAATTAAAACATATATTAATTAACAAAAAAATTAAATGAAGCAATTATTCATAAATTGTTAAATGCATATTATTTATTCATTCATATACGAAATCGATTTTTCATGTATGTGTAAGAAATATATAGTTCATAGAGCAAAAAAGTACATATAAATTTCTCGTGAGTTTGTGATCAATTATTTATACGAATAATTAAATAAAATATACATTAAACGATTCAACGAATAATTGCTACTTTTCTTAAATTGTGTCACAAAATGTGTGTAATTAAATAGATGAGAGATACTACGACGTTTTGGCAAAGAACGGAAAAGCTATCTACCGGCATGATGAGGCCCGGAACAGTGACAGCATATTGGATTATTGCGTGGCCTGGGACAGAATTCGACGCTGTGCGGCTCGCCGCAGCGGACGCAACGTGGCAAATGTCGACAATTGGCAGCCACGTGCCAAAAACCCTGGCACCGATAACATTGCAGCACGCCATCCGCCGTTTGCGGTACATTCGACATCTCCGGAGAATTATTCCCGTAATCTGGCAGTGTGCATCGCGACGATATACCGGAGAAACATGCGGTGTTAGCGCTACCACGCCACCAACGTTCCGGGACGGCATTGAAACGTGCCACCTCGAAAAAGTCCAGGCCTTGACGTAACAGGGCTTCGTAATGGCTCGCATCAAAGACCTATGCGAAAAGAGACACTAAATATCTTTCAGTGTTATATTAATTATTATGTTTATACATTATTATATTTATTAATTATTATGTTTATGCATTATTATATTTATCTTAACAATTTTTGCGATAGACTTATAATTAATTTTAATCGCTACTTTACATTTTAATGTTTTCAAATAAATGCAAATAGTGTAAGAGAGCTAATGGCAATGAGACATAATTGGAAAGTTAACTTTCGAAATCTATTAAGCATATCTTAGGTATTTCACAGCCAGATACAAAAACTGGTATTTTTACATAATATGCATTCTATATTTGTGCAAATTTAAGTAATGACAAAACCTATACATCTGAAGTTGGATCTAATTTTAGATCAATTTTCGATGATATTAACCCACATATCCAAAAGATGTCCAGAAGGTATCCAGAAGATATCTTTGAGCGATTAGACATCTTCAGGATGTCCTGTTAATGTCTTTTGGACATAGAATGCTATATAGGAATACTGCGATATTATAACTGCGTAGTATTCTTCATACGTAATATACATATGTTTCAATATTCTTCATACATAATATACACATGTCTCATAACATATAATTATTACATGAACGTAATAATTAAAGTGATAAAAACAAAAGGGAAGATATTCGATTTCTACCTCTACTCGAACCAAATGTCGCGAACGTTCGACATTTCCAGCGACAATTCCTTGCTTTGCCAGGGCCGAATTTATATCCTGGAGTGGTATGGCCCATGGGACATCTCTAAGAAGTACGGCTTGACGATATCGAGAATCTCTCGCTGAGAATCGCGCTACCTGATAGAAAAATAAATTTAATCGAAAAACTGTTCAAATATAAATGTTTAAGGAGAGAATATTTAACCGAAATTCGAAAGAATAATACAGCCTCAGAATAATATTTGATTATGAAGTAAATTGGTGGGGAATTCTAGACAATATTTTACAAAATAAAATGTTCTTTTTTTGTTTGAAAAGATAACAACATGCAACAAGATGCAACATTTCTAAAATGATTTGTCATTTGGTAAAATTTGAAAGTAACAAAAATATTTTGTACTTGTACAGGTCTTCCGAATACGCGGGCTAAATCGCCACGTTGCAATAGTTTTTCGGCGTCGTTTTCTCTGGCAAAGGCGGCTATCAAACCGCACGGAGTTTCAGAGACGCGCCACATCGACAGCGGTTCGGAACCGACGATAGCTTCTTCGAGTTGAGATCGTAGCAACTCACAACCTGATCAATATCGAATTGGTTAGAAATTAGATTATGTAAAATAAAGTATAGATAGATAATAGTCATGTAGATAATAAGTTTCTATCTTTGGAACAAATTGCATATTGCACCTTGGACTGTGTAACCTTGGTCTTGGCTACCAGCGCGCGATATGTATAAAGAGCAAGTGAATAGTGGTTCTTTCTGAATAGCGGGATCTTCATTATTATGCGACGTCAGATGTAAGTTTTTTGTGTGATTATTGTTTTTGATCTTGTTTTGTACAGAAGAATTTGCGACTTCCTCCATTCTGTCCGTCGCGTACTCGTGATGATAACTTGAATTTTTATGTATATAGAGAATCAACCTTTGTACACATGCAGTTTTTATTATTTATATAAAAAAAAAGATGTATTTTTTTACAAATATATATTATATCTGTTATAATATACACTTATTTTATATTTAATTATCAACGAAATACAATGTAATGTAGAACTTATAATAGGTAAATTAGAATCAGAAAATAGTCATTATATATTTATGTTACAAATTTCGATAACGATCATATGAGAACAAATGCGCCGAATTAAAACTTATATCATTATTGATTATATAGATAAGCGAGCGTACAAACCGATATAAATAAAATAGCATTCTTATGATCGTTCTCGAAAAAAAACATTCATTAACGATGTAAGGTCCAAAATGATTATATTATAATATCAAATAATCCTTCTCATTCCATCAAAATTTTATATCTAATTATAAGTTTGTTTATTTTTTTAAAAGATAATCTTCTTGCAAGATTGAAATTTCTATTGTATCTATTTTAAATTTGATGCTCAAAAAGAATTTTTTTTTCACAATTATGATAATTCAGTATTTTCTTCACGCATTTATAAAATAATTGTAATATTATGAGATAAGCGATATCGATGATCATAGTTTAATTGATAAAACTATTAAGTAACGTGTCGCGAGTTTGATTTCATTTTTGAAAGCGACATATCTTACCTCAAGTATCTTCTCTTTCGCCTCGTTAATGCAGAAGAATGCAGCTCGGGCACCGGAAGGATCAAGAAAGAAAATACGGCCCATGCTGACGACGGACGCCATTCGTACTCTTGTCTCTCGTCCTCGCCTACTAAAATCGCCTCACTTCGCTGTAATGATCGATATTAGTGAAGAGAAATTATAGTATAAAATTTTTATATTTTGTATAAAATTATATAAAATTTTTATATTATATAAAATTTTTGCATTACAGTGTTGAAATGTACTCTGCGACATATATTTCTAACATGTTTTAAGATTCCTCGAAATAGAATTCGTAAAATTGTATCCTGGATATATTTTAGTACACGGAAAAAAGTACTCTACATTATTATTATTAATATTTAAATGAACAAAAAAATGCTTCAAAGAAGGAATATTTCAAGATTATAGTATTGTAATGTATTGGTTACGATTATTTTATATGATTGTGAAAGCGTTTTAAGAATTTTTAAAAGTCAACGCATGAGAGAAGTCGATATTCTCATGGAATATAGAACAAAGATAGAATGATATTTCAAAGCATCCAGAGCGTCTTCCCGATCGCAGCCGATAAGATAGACTTCTCTCATGCGTCGCTTTTAAAAATTCTTCCCGCCGCAGCTATCGACTGTTGATTTCTAAACCACTATGAATCTTCATTCTAAAAATAGGGCGCTATTATCGCATTCATTATCTATTATTATTATTTACTTCAATAAAAATATAAAATAGAAATCAATAGAAGAAATTAATTTACATATATATATGTGTGTGTGTGCGTATGTGTATATTTATATGATATGTGTATATTATATGTATGTGTATATTTATATGTGCATTTATATATGCATGTGTATATGTTTGTGTAAAGGATAAATTATACATATGTATATATGTATATGAAAAAACGATTGTTGGATATGTGCACATTTCTGTTTTTATCGCTTACTCAGTTTTACTTTATAAGCTACTGTCAAAACGATAAAAACTGATTTATTCAACAGTTTAAAGTTCGATGTATTTGCATATATATATAGATTTATAATATATACTTATCATATACGACTATATAAGATTGCATTACATTTTTATATCTCCAATCGTGATAATATTCTGAGCAAAGTGACAAGTAAAAAAAAAGGAGGAAAAGTAGTAAATTATACTCATATGAGCATGTACGTATACGATATTTATCCAGTATTTTATTAGAATTGAGAGCATATTAAGCCACATCTGGAATTGTTAAATAATGTCACAATTATGCATCCTTTTTCTACTATGTCAATTTAAATAAGGATAAGAAATCATAAAAAAACATACTGAGAACGAATAATCTTCTATTAAATCTTTCTTTATTAATGCTAGCAAGCTTTTTCTTTAATCATTATTTATAATGCAATTGTAGTTTCAAAAGAAGAAATTGCATAATGTCCATTGCCAATAATTTGATAAAGGACCTGCCTAAGGGACCTTTAGATGTTTATAGAAAGCGGGCAACCTTTGATTGGAAATCATTCAAATTAACTTTAGAGGGTGAGGATAGTGTACGATTTCAGGTATTGGAACTGATAAATTTTAATATATGCATGACATATATACAACTATAATTTGTATTATATATAATTATATCTTAAACAAATATTTAGGAAAAATTATGGGAATATGTTAGAACGAATCCAGCATTTCAAAAGACTTCAACAGGTCTAACAAGTTTAGATGAACTGCGGAAGCGCTGTAATATTCAACTGAGAGCATTTCATGAGAATGATATGACTGTAATTATAAATAAATTACATATAATCGTAAATTAATTATAACTCTAATTGTATAATAATTATAATATGTTATTTTTCTCATAAATTGTTTATTAATATAAAAATACTTTAAAAGATAATTTAAAATACTTTATTAAATTTTTACTTTATTGTCTATATTTATATATAGTTTTATAATCTTTTTAGCCTATACATGCTCAAGATAATTTTTTTTATATTTTTCAATATGATGGATCTATACCAATAAAATTAAGTATTATGTATTCTATGGTATCAAGTACTGTGTTAGCACTAGGTACTGAACAACATTATCATCTTGTAGAAGAATTGAGCAGTGGAAAAGTATGTATAAACGAAATTAATGATTATTCTTGTAAAATATATAATATTTATTATTGATGTGTTTCTTAATTGCTTAGTATATTGGCTGTTTTGCTCTAACTGAATTTTCCCATGGATCTAATGCAAAAGGCATGCGGACTACAGCAACATATGATATAGCAACAAAAAGTTTTATTCTTCATACTCCTGATTTTGAAGCTGCAAAATGTTGGGCAGGTGGTTTAGGTGAAGCAAATTTCAGCATATAAATTCAATAATGAATTAAAAATTGACATAATAATACTTAATACATTATTCTTTATATATTTTCAGGAAAATCTGCTACACACGCCATTATATTTGCACAGTTAATTACACCTGACAGGGTGAATCGTGGTCTACATGCTTTCATCGTACCAATTCGCAATCCAAAAACTCATCTACCTTTCTCTGGTGTTACTATTGGTGACATGGGTGAAAAGATAGCACTTAATGGAATAGACAATGGATTTATAATATTTGACAAATATTCTATATCGCGTACTTGTCTATTGAACCGTACAGCGGGTGTTACCGAGGATGGAAAATATGTGCTCGCTATAAAGGATGAACGAAAAAGATACGGTAGATATTAGTATTAATGTGCCAAAAATAATGTTATATATAGCTTATATATAACATATATACTTATATATATTCTTTTTTTTTGTATAATCGATTTTCATTTATACATTTTACATATGTAGGCTCGTCATTAGGCGCTCTATCATCAGGTCGTGTCAGTATTACCTTGATGTGTTCGCATTATATGAGTCTCGCCCTAACGATAGCCATACGTTATTGTGCAGTTAGAAAACAATTTGGACCTACGGACAAGAATGATGAGTTACCAGTTATAGAATATCAAGCACAAGTATGTGTGTGTGTGTGTGTGTGTGTGTGTCAGATTTTCATGTCAAAATTGAATTGTAGAAGATTTAACAATTACAGTTATAATTCATGTCAAACTCGTACGTTTTAGCAATGGCGAATTTTTCCTCATTTAGCCGCAACATATGCAATAAAAATATTTTCGAGTATGTTTTATAAGAAGATGGTTGAATTCAATATGAAAAGATTTATGGGAGAGGACGAAAATTTGAGCCCTGATATAGGATTAGAGATACATGCATTGTCTTGCGCAGCAAAACCATTATGTTCATGGATCGCTCGTGATGCAATTCAGGATTGCAGAGAATCTTGTGGTGGTCATGGATACTTGAAAAGTAAATGCAAGATTTTGTACAAACTTATATTATTTCAATAACTATACATATTTTATACATATATATTTTATTGATACTAATCATCTTGTAATGTTGTTAATAGTGTCACGTTTGGGTGAAATAAGAGGTGAAAATGATGCAAACTGTACATACGAGGGTGAAAACAATATACTTATCCAACAAGCAAGCAATTGGTTGTTAAACCAATGGACTAACGTAATTAAAGGACAACGCGTGCCGTCTCCACTTGGTTCGGCGGATTTTCTTGTTGATGCAGAACAAATATTGAATACTAAATTTGATCAAGTTACAATTGAGGATACATTAAGACCTGAAAGTATGAAAAATTAAATAAAACATTAATTTTAATAATTATTATAATTAATAATATATTAATTAAATATTAATTATATATTAATAATTATATATTAATTAAATATATATTATTAGAAGTTGTTGATCTTACAAACGACTTATGCTTCCTGCAGTTAATAATGTTTTCCCTATTTTAGATTTGCTCTTAGCTTTTAAATGGTTAATATGTTATTATCTGAAAAAGACATATCAACATGTAAATAAACTTAAATCAAATGGAATGTCTGATTTTGACACAAGAAACAATTCTCAAGCATTTTTAGCGCGGACTTTATCTCTTGTATATGGAGAGGTAAGCAAAATATGTTGTGTGTATGTATGTATTTTTTAATTAGAACAGAGAAAGTATAGCAACTTACATTTCAAACAGTTTGCATCAAATTGTTAAATTGCATTATTGAATTATAGATTCAATTACCAAAGAAAATATATATGCGCTTTATATATGGAAATAAATTCACTATATGCTAATTTATATTTACTCAGACAAAAATTAATGCAATTAATTTTCTTCTTTTTTTATAGCATGCTATAATGGCATATTTTATCACATATTTACAAGATCCGAAATGGAAAGCGAATGAACGAAAAGTATTGACACAATTGTGTTCATTATTTGGAGCTATAATCTTGGAAAAGAAATTGGCAGATTTATATAGTGGTGGTTATGCTTCTTCTAGCAGTAACATAGACAATTTTTTGCGGGAAGGGATTATAATATTATGCAGAGATTTACTAGATAATGCAGTTGCTTTGGTTGATGTCTTGGCTCCGCCGGATTTTATTCTTAATTCTGCCTTAGGAATGTCTGATGGCGAGGTATAATATTACTATTGCTGAATATTTTTTACATCAAATCATTTTTACATATAATAATTACTTTTTTTCATATATAATAAATCAAAAACTTTTTTTTATATAGATATATAAACACATGAAAGAATGGATATTTAAAGATAAAGAAAATTTTGAACGTCCATCGTGGTGGGAAGAAATCCGCTCAAAGTTATAATATAATAGTAGTAATATATATTACTATATATAATATATTACTATTATATTACTATATATAATATATTACTAGTTACATAATATATGTATATTACTATATATATTTACTACTATATATATATATATATATATATATATATATATATAGTATATATACAATATACACATATACATATATAGAGTAAAAATACAGCCATTATATATACGAGGTACATTTCATAATTATTCCAATTCCTTTTTATTTATAGATTTTAAAAATAAAAAATACTTGAGAGAAAAAGGAAATAAGAATTTTGGTACAAATTCATGTCGCTTTGTTTACAAAGTTGAGCATATATACATATATGTATATACATATAGACTCAATTCCATATACGGTGCCACACATGTGCCACACATGTGCTCACGTATGTGTATGCATTGTCATTGGAATAATTATATATATTATAATAATCGATACCTCGATATTGAGTGGTACATTATACTATTTTAAGGGGGGAGATTGGTTTAGATTTGTTTGGATTTGTTTAGTCTCAATTCTTGTTAGACTTTATACATATATATACATATATACATACATATATAGATACATATATTTTTATACATATATACATTTATATTATACATATTTACATATTATACATATTATATTATATATATTTTTATACATATATACATACATATATTTTTATACATATATATGTAAAGTTTTTATTTTATTATATTGTTATATTTTTAATAAAGTTTATCAATATATTTCCTTTTATTATGTATTATCCATTACACTTAAAATGTACAGATTTTTCATTTATTAATTGATGAAACAAGCGTTGCGAACATTAAATAGAATTTAAATATGTTCCATTAATATTAGATCCTTTTCCTACGCATGATCAAATGATGCATAAGTACTTTGAAATACAAAATCTTATCCTTTTTAAAAAGCTATTAAAAATTTTTTGAAAAATTAGAAAAGAATCAAGTAAAATGGGAGTAAAGTTATATGATATATATAAATAAAATTATTTGAGATCAATCAAGTTTAATATAATTTCATACAATTGAAAACTGTAGTGTCCGTATTTTATTATGTGTCATTTATATTTACCGCTATTACGTCGCGCATGCGCCGAAAAATGAAATCTGTCCATCACTGCGTTCCACTTGAGTTGATACTATACAAGCATCGTGAACGATAAATGGAACGCACTCGTTGTTGATGGTTCTCAATGAAAAAGAGAGAGAAAGAGAAACCGTTATTTAAAATGATATTCACAGTCGATGACGAATTACGGATTTTTAATGAGGAATGTAACGATAGTCGAGGTATGAAAGATGCCAATCATACGAAGGTCAGATACCATCTATCAAAATGTCTTTTCGTTACAGGCTGTTATTTCGCAAATTTCGAGAATTCGAATGAAATATAAGGGACATAACCTATACAAATCTTACTTATGCCTATTCTCGATTCGATAGTAGCAAAGATCCTGTTTGATCAAAATGTTGGAAGGACTCGTGGCTTGGGTGCTCAACAATTATCTTGGCAAATATGTGGAAAATTTGAACACGGATCAGCTAAGCATTGCCTTGTTGTCGGGTGAGGTTATGTTACACTACGCATTTAAAATTTTTCGAGGACCTATTTTTTCTCATTATCAACTATATTTCTAATTTACAGTATTTTTATTAAATAAAAATGTATACTTCTATACATCATTTTGTATAAGAATTGAAGAATTTTGTTTTTATGTTACTTTTATTTATGTATATTATGCTAATATCAATCTGTTTAATGAATTTATTATCATTTAGGGGAAGTTGAATTAGAAAACTTACCTTTGAAACGCGAAGCTTTGCGTCATATTGGATTACCTATGGAAATTAAGGCTGGATTCATCGGTAAAGTTAGATTACAAGTACCAGTTAGACAAATAAGGACCGCATCATGGGTCATAGGCATAGAACAGCTTTATCTAGTAGCAGGACCGATTAATTTGGATGAGGTAAAACATTAGCAAGGGATTTTCTATCATTAATAATGTTAGAAAGTTGATACATATAAATAACATTAATGGGGATTACACAAAGAGAATAAATTTTACATATCTTAAGTAACTAATTTAAAAACAAATTTTCATAGTACGACAACGAAATGGAGGAACAAGCAATATTAGAATATAAACTTAGTCGATTAGATGCATTGGAAGCTAGATGGAAAGCTGACATAGAACATGATCCTGGTTATTACGCTTCGAGTTACAGTTCGTGGCTGAATTATGGCACATCTCTAGTAACAAATATCATCGAGAATTTACAGTTGAACATCAAAGATGTTCACATTAGGTATGAAGATGGTGTTACATTATCAAATGGTATGCAATTTCTCTTATACTTTATATTAAAGTTTATTTCAAACTATTAAAATTTAATGACAATCAACATTTTTAATGAAACTATTGATCTTGTTTTTTTTTTTATACATATATATATATAGATAATGGTATCGCATTTGGCATTACAATTGGAGCATTAACGATTCAAAGTTGTGATGCTAGCTGGATACCTGGTTCCACATCTTGGAATCTTACAGATGCATCTTTTAAATTAATGGAACTTGATAGTCTTTCTGTTTATTGGAACCATGTAAAGAAAGATCAACTTTTTGGAGGTCTGAATCTAGGTGATTTAGCTGTAAGTATAGACGTATGTGTGCATGTACATATATATAGTATTACCTTATTATGAGCTTAATTTTTAGATTGCCATGAACGAATCAAAAAATTCAACGAAGCGACATATTTTATCGCCTGTAAACGCAAGAGCACATATTAAGAGAGACCGAACAGAACGTCCATTAAGATCTATTAATAAACCACGTATCATAGTAGATTTACTTTTGGATGAAGTACCATTATCTTTAACAGACGTAAGTATCGTCAATCGCACAGAACTGTTTACTGCAGATAATGATAGACATTATTACAACTTAGATTCAATATGAAGAAATGGTCAAATGTATCAAAGAACTCGACCGCATAGATCGCTGTAAGCAGCAATTGCGTTGTAGACCGGTAACCCCTGTTAAAGAGAGTTTCAAAGAGTGGTGGAAATATGCTGCTAGATGTCACCTCGGCAGAGACACGCTTAAACCTAAACCATCTTGGGAAACTCTTCTTCTCAGAGCAAGAGAGAACATTAATTATGTTCAGGCGTATGCTAAATTATTAGGTACAAATATTTTTCTAGATAAGATACTTTTGTAAATTTTAGAGAACCCGATTCGCTTGAGATGAAAAAAGTTTTTTTTCGAATTTGTATCTTCTTTTTATTATTAGGCACACCTACTTCGGTCTTACCAACGGAAACTAAAGCTTTGAAGGAGAAAGTTGAGAACGAGCGGAGTTTCGATGAACTTCGGGTGTTGAGAGAATTGGCTATGCACAAAATGAAACCCGCAAAATCACAACAGGAATCTAATACAAAAATGCCACAGGGACGTGGCATGCTCGAACAGTGGTTTCCACAGTGGTGGGGCTGGTACTCGAAAACACCACACAGCAACAATGGAACACAAAATGGAGGTAGTTCGACTACTTTTGATGGTGAATTGCTAGATGTTTTGGCGGACACTATGAATGATGATACTTTACTACGTCGTGACACGATATTTGGACAATTTAATTTCACTCTAGTGCAAGGTGCGGTATCGTTGTGTACTGCTAGAAATGGCAGCGATGGTACGAAGACTGTGATAGAACTTAAATTTGAGAGAGTAAATCTAAGTTATGAGTCACGACCTAGGTCCGGATCACACAAGTTTTCGATCAGTTTGGGCGCATTATATTTACACGATTTTCTCACAGAGAACTCGACATTTCCTATTTTAGTGCAACCACAAATCATATCTAGCAGCACTTCCTCACGTGTCCGCAATTTATCTTCGGAAAAAGTGACGAAACAAGCCCCACATCATCTTTTCGAACTGATTTACGAGAAAAGACCGTTACATGTTAATATGGATCATTTGTTGCATATGTATTCACAGTCTTTGGACATTGTGTACAATCCTACTGTGATATACTGGTTGATAGATTTTATATATAAGCCGCATCGATCGACATCGTCTAATCAACAATTCCAGGCGATGAAGCGTCGCACGAGAAGACAGCTGATCAAAAATTGGGAGCAGATCTTAGACGGTGATTTTGTGTATCGTTCGTCGTGGGATCTGCAATTTAAAATCTCTGCACCACAGATTTTGTTGGTAGAGAGCTTCGTCGACTTTAACGCAGCCGTAATAGTAGTCGATTTCGGTAAATTACATCTGTCGAATTATACAGATTTGAATGAGATGATACTGAAAACAGAATCAATCAACAGCGATGATGATGAGGAAGAGAGATATGAAACACCTTGCTCCACTCCACCGGGTAGCCAGGAAAACGGCTCCCTGAATGATTTCCAAGCTTTATCTGAAACGGAATTACATAAGAAATTGTACGATCAGTACTCCATTAATCTGGTGGATTTGCAGGTTTTGGTAGGTAAAGCGAAGGATAATTGGAAACATGCTCGCACGAGAAGCATGTCAACTCTGCACTTTCTCGAGCGTTTCAACATATCATTACAAGTCGAGCGACGTGTCTTTACCACTTCGGATCCTAATTTCCCGTCAGTCACGGTATCAGGTAACCTGCCAAGATTGGTTGTGCATGTAAACGAACAGAAAGTGGGCTCGATACGTTTGATGTATAATTTACTTTCGAGCTTCTCTAACTCGGCTGGTATTCCACAGGCGGAAATCATCAATGTAGAACCTGAGAGCCCCAAAAAGGAGGAAAATCTAGATCGTTCGTTGAGTCATGCAGTGATGGTACAATTTATTATTGATCAAATGGCCTTTGAATTACAGTCGAGAGGTCGCAGCGTAGCGGAATTACAAGTGTCTGGCGTTCGAGCAGCTCTCAGTAAAAGAATTGCAGATCTGAGCATCTCTCTCTCCGTTCATGGATTACTTTTAGTCGACGCTCTTCAGGAATTTGGACCTGATTTTGAACTATTGGTGGCCAGTCACAAACACGTTGGTATGGACAGTATTTCCGGCAGCTTAAGAGACTCAGAACCAACATCTCCTATCTCGCCAGAGTCACCTGAATCACCAGATCTTACAAGACCACCGCGACTAACTTCGCCTATCGCTCTAACTAATGCATTATCCACCTTAGTAAGCAAAACAAAGATTCCACATTCGCCTAGAAATAATTCATCGGTTTGTCTGGAAAAATTGGATTCGGAAGCACTGATTATCGTAGAGTTGACGCTGGTGGATGATTCCATAGAAAACTTGAGGATGGCAAACATACAGTTCAATAATCTGGATATTATAGCCAATCAAGAGACGATAGTAGAATTGCTGGGTTTTTTCCGGAGAATATTGCCGCTGCAGAAATCGCGGTCGGCGTATATCGCTAATCGCAACGATTCCTTGTCGAGTCAAAATACAGAGACGAAGTCGGTATTGACAAGAACAGAAATTACTTTCGAATTTCACCGTTTGAATGTGCTACTTCTACGCGCGGTCGTGCAAGACAATCAATTGGTCGGACAAAAGATCGCCACAGCAACCATGTCGGATGCGCGCATACAAGCAACATTGGCCGCAAACACATCAATCTCGGGTTCTCTCGGTGGTGTACAGGTTCTCGATCAAACGCTAACTGGAAAAACCCATCAACGGATAATCAGCGTAGGTAGAGATCCGCTGGCGGATCCACCACATCATCCACTCGAGCATTTCAGCGGCTTATCCGATAATGAACAACAAGAAGCATTCAGATTCATGGTTAGCCGAAATACCAGACAAGCTAGCGATGAAGACTGCACCGAAATCGATCTCGATTTCACGATACGTGTGGCTAGCGTCTGGTATACTCACGCACCACATTTGATATCAGAGTTACGTTCATGCGCCGACGAATTCAAACAGTACTTAAGCAACTTTGCGCGTCAGATCGGTGCAGCCGCTACCGACATGGCAATCGGCTTAGTAAATGCCGACGATTGGAGCATCCCGCCGCGTAAACGGTTACCTAGCGTTTCGATCGATTTAGATAACACGAATGGATTATCGTTAAGATTGGACGTGCTTCTGGAAAGTCCAGTGCTCGTGATACCACGCTCTTCGCATAGCAAACAGGTATTCGTGGCTCACCTGGGCACAATGTCATTACGACACGAACCTCATCTAGGATCTATGGCAAAGCAAAAAATTACATTGGAAGTGCGCGATATGAATCTACATTCTCTCGAAGTGACTACCAATACTGGACAATCACAGAACAATCTACCGATGAGAGCTGAGGAGATGTACTCGTGTAAAGAATCTGGCAGGCCGATATTGCATGACACGACGCTAAAAATTTTAGTCGAGAAACAGAACACGTTAACTCAAAGTATGAGTTTCCTGCTGGACATTGATGATTATACGAGTAACAGCCCGATTGTACAGGTAAATGGTACTGTAATAACGCCTCTAAAAGTATCTCTATCGCGTGGTCAATATGAGCAATTAATCGACACTTTTCATCGATTGTTCTCCATGCCCGTAGTGACTGCTACGGCCGCGACTGAATGTGACGATCTCGATGGAGCGTCCGACTATTCGGATAAGCTCGATCTCTGCGTGAAGGTCTCGTTTGAGCTGCCGATCCTCAGTATAGAGCTGAAGCAGGCGCACTCAGAGCAACCGGTAGTAGAGCTATCGATGCGCGATTTTGTGGTCAAATACGAAAAATTACATCGGAACGAATCCAGCGTGCAAGTCGCGCTACGTTCCCTGCTGATGGAAGATCTTTTGTGTCCAATTGGCTCGCGACATCGTTATATGATGCAGTCGTCGGCGCCCACGCGCGCAAAATTGCTCACGGGTGCTTCGAAATCGTGTCCAGATCTTGCCTTTGCGCGACAATACAGGAACACCTTCGGTCGCGGCAGTTTACCAGATCGTCTAGAGACCGACTTATATGGAGCGATTCCAGCTCACTGGCGCAGAAAACCAGCTATTTCATCGGCTGACACGCCAAACACACCGCCACCCTCGCCAGGCGGAATTACCAGTGAAGAAAACTTGGTGCTAATGAGTATCACCATGACGCGACCTGAAGAGATTGTATCGGAAGAAAATCGGTTCCATCGGAAAATGGTAACCGTAGACTTCAATTGTCTGGACTTAGTAGTAAGCGTTGAATCGTGGATGGTAGTGTTTGACTTCTTTGGGATTGCAGGCCTGTCCGATACAGCGAATAATGAAATCACCATACGTCAAACCACACCGGATAGCGATAGCGTCAGCGCAAGCAAGGTAGATGATAATCTACCAGTGAAATCGGAAATGGAGATAGAAGTGAGATCGTTGACGCTAGTGTTAACGCAACTGGAACGTGAAATAGCCAAGGCCAATGTGTCTAATGCCAGCGTAAATATTCTCAAAGCGGTGGACGGCAAGACTAAGGTATCGGGATCATTGGGTTCGATGTCGTTGCTAGATTTAACGCCGCATGGTCGATTCTACCGTGAAAGATTTTTATCGTCCGGCAGAAAGGCGCTGAATTTTCAGTACTCGAGCTATGCCGATTGTGAAGATCGACCACATGACGCGCAGCTTAAACTAGAAATGTCTGCCGTGCATTACGTTCACACGCAGAGATTCGTAGCAGAGTTGCAGGCTTTTTTCTGTCATTTTTCGCAACTGTGGAGTATCATGAAGAATTTGCGGGCCGGCGTCGGTGCCGTCATAGATATGAACAAGCGTGGTACGCGATTGTCATTGCAATTGCACGCTGGCGCGCCAGTAATATTGTTGCCAGTTAGTTCCAGATCCGATGATTTGATTCTGCTGGATTTAGGAGAGCTCACAGCGCACAATAAATTTGACATGTCAACGACCGTTCCGGAATGCTTGCTGGACGTGATGCTGCTTGAGTTAGTCAACATGGATGTATATGCAGCGCAAAGATTTAAGTGTGATGATTCAAACTTGAATGAAGACGCAGATACTTTGACGGTGGGTGGCTTTTTCATCAAGAAAATGGGCTGTTCGCTGCTGACGGAGAAGTGTCATTTAAAATTGCGCGTCGAACGAAATCTCGACACCTATATTAGCCGCGACATACCCGATCTCAGCGTACATGGTATACTGTCAACGATGGATTGTGCCTTGGATCCGGCACAGTACATGTTGATTCGTGGCCTTTTGTCTTACAACATTGGCGAGAACCTAGACGATTTGCGTCTTCTTGTGCAAGACTTGAATCACACAGTAGAATATGCGATTCCGGCGGATAATCGTTTAAAAACATGGACCCGATCATGTATAATTCTCGAGCTGGTTAATGTGACAGTAAAACTACATCCGAGTCATAACATCGCAGCGTTGGCATGCATCAATTTCATCAAATCTCGATTGACACTGGATTCGCTGAGCGATGGTTCGCAGGACATTGATCTGGTATCACAGGAGATTCTGATCTTGGACACGCGTTTCCAGAATGAACCGGTTGATCGGCAATGTAATGTGTTTACGCGAATTCTGCAACCCTTAAGGAACTCGGCCGACACTAACATCGCGGAAGACCGCGTTCAAGCCGAAGTGCATCACCGAAAACGCAAAGCTTATTCGGCGACTACCATTTTGTTGCACAGCATGCGACTGACCGCCATTCTGGATTGGTGGCAGGCTGTACGAGATTTTCTACTACTAAACTCGCCAGAACCGGAACCTATACCTGGCACTGCTCAGATGTTAATCGTCAATCAAGAGACGGAAATCGATACTACCGCAACCATGACTATACCATTCGAATTGAAAATTAACATTACCGATTCTGAACTGGTCTTCGTTGAAGATACCGCGATTCTGGATACTAATGCCGTGATTTTGAAAACTACTGCTGTCTTATCTTACCGCTCGATGGCTCAGGAAGGCGAGAAACCATTATCCTGTAATCTCTCGCACTGCGAATTATTTTCATGCATTTTAGGTCTGGAGAACGAGACTGCCTTGTCGATCATAGATCCGGTTGGGGCAAGTCTAGATTTAACTCAAGATAAGGCTCTAGAGATTCAACTGCAACCGTTGTGCGTCCGACTGAGTTATCATGACGTTACCATGTTTTCTAGAATGTTGAGTTCGCTTCCCAAGCAGACCCTGTGGGCAAAACAGAGATCGAGTGAAGCGGTAACGGAGGGTAGTCAGATATTAGTGGATAACCAGGTGTTGAAACTGGTTAATTTAGGTTTTGCGGAAGCTGACTGTAAGATCGCATTGGACCGCTGCGATGGTCAACTGGACGATGCCGCCCTGTGGCTCACGCAAAATGCAGAACCGACAGGTTCCGTTACTGCGGCCGCAGCGGGGAGCGACGAATCAATCTTCCGCGCCGTGGAATTGGAAGCGTCTTGTATGCGAATCTGCATCATCGACGACTGCCGTGACGCGGATGTACCACTACTGGAGATCACACTGGCAGACTTTAGCATGCGGAAGATAAGACAGCAGCCTGGCTTTTTACTTGCCACTTTTAGTGTGGATTATTACAATCGAGTGTTGAGCGGTTGGGAGCCGTTTGTCGAACCTTGGCAAGCAAATATTCAGTGGGAACAGACGCTTACCGGTTCGCTCGAGCCAAAGAGACTATATGTATCCATTAAGTCTCAGGATTCGGTGAATGTTAATGTTACCTTAACATTAGTGGAGCTCGTACAATTGGTTAAACACAATTGGACACAGGATTATTACTTGTCCAATGATAGCACAATTGTAGGCAAAACGACAACGAGAGGGCAAGTCTATCGACGCCGATCACCGTTCGTACCTTTTGCTTTAAAGAATGATACAGGTTGTAGACTCTGGTTTAAAACAATTATTGCCATCGCGGATGATACGATAGATATCGATAAGAAGTCATCTCAAGCGAAAAAAGATGTGTCGAGCAAGGATGATACATGGATAGAGGTAACTCCTGGAGGTACAATATCGTTTACATTCGAAGGGAGAGGCAAAATGAGGCATCATGCAACGCATATCAGTAGAAGACATCAGATTGCGGTTTTGATCGAAGGATGGAAAGCCGTGGATCCTGTGACTGTCGATCGCGTAGGCATTTACTTTAGACACGCAAACGCTGACCTTGCTGAGTCTCAGGTAAGGCAATTTTTTCGTTTTAATGAGCAGAATTGTTTTGTGAATCTTTTTTTATTTCTTCATATGTAATACTGTCTACATTCTCTATTATATATATATTTATTTATTTATTTATTTGTAAGAACTTAATCATTATATATATATATATATATATATATATATATATATATATATATATATATATAATATAATATAATATAATATAATATAATATAATATAATATAATATAATATAATATAATATAATATAAAATATAATATAATATAATATAATAGAGAATGCAGACAATATTACATTTTTATTATTTCATATCTTTTTATTATATTTCATATAATAAATATATTTCATGTAGTTCCACTTTATAATCTGTGCATAAAACGAATTTATCTTAAAATATAATAAATTACAACAACAATAATAATAATAATAATAATAATATTAATTAAATTACAATAATAATAATAATAATAATAATAATAATAATAATAATAATAATAATAACGTTCAATTTTAGACATTCGCACCAAAAGCTAGAATTGTATTCGCTGTAGAGTTAGAAGGATCCGCTAGGAAATTAGTCACTATTAGATCAGCCCTCCAAGTGTCCAACAAACTAGCTCATCCTATTGAAATCAAGATGGAAAAATCCTTGAATCAACTGGGATGTCAGTCTTTTATTTTTCATGATTTTTTCTTCAATAATGATGATTAAATCCAAAATCGAATATCATATTTTCTTTTAGATTTACCGTTGACTTTGGCTAACATCGGGAGAATCCTACAAGTACCGGCGCAATCAGTGATGTCTGTGCCTTTGACGCATACTGGGGTGCAAATGTGTTTCAAACCACTCATTTCGAACTTTTTGTTTCAATATTGTGTGGAATCTGTAGATTGGACAATAGTTAAGAAGCCGTTGGAAGTGACGGAAAGCTACATCACTTGTCGAACCAATCAGCATAATATATTCAGGTGTGATGACATGTGAAACGAGTTTTCGAGGAAGCTGACGATGAAAACTTAACGTTTGTTAATTTTTTTTGCAGAATGTGTGTAGCAGTACGACGAAACAATTATCCGCTCGATGGTGTGCAAGTATTGCCAGCGCATACCATCACGGTAATGGCTCCCGTAACGTTAACGAACTTATTACCATATGAACTGATGTATGAAGCGGGTATAGAAGGTGGCAGAATTGTACCAGGCTGCAACGCGGATCTACATTGCGCTAATCTAATTGAACAACTGGAAATTACGATTCAATTGGATGGTTATCCAGGATCTGGAGTAGTATGTATATGATGAGTAGCATTCGAAGCATATGACTTTACATCCAAATTTACACGTTAAGCTTTGTTTAATTTTCAAGAATTTAATTATTTTTCAATAATTTAAATATATTACACATTTCAGGTAATATTACCACCAAACAGCTGTTCCTTTACCGCTCGTCTCAAGCTACTGGATTCTGCCAGCAGGATGCTGTGCTTACAGGCATCCGTGATCGTGGAAAAGGGTTCAGCTGTGCAAATTAATATCACCGCACCTTATTGGATTGTAAACAAAACTGGCTTACCGTTGGTGTTTAGACAAGAGGGAGTTGGCATAGAAGCAGCGGGACAATTTGAAGAGCATGAAAGAGCGAGAATGGTGGCACCGTTACTGTTCTCGTTCAGCGACGAAGAGGCCAGTAGAACATTGTCAGTGAGAATCGGCACCGAGGTGCACCCTTATGGAATACCGCAATGGTCTCAGCACTTTCATCTACAGCCTGGCATTCATGTAAATATATTTTAAATAAGATGTTTATTTTGATTTTTATTATTTTAATATAAAAGCTAGATGAGAGAGAGAATATATATCATATAAATTTATAAAAGATTCATTATAAGTAAAAAATCATAAGTAAAAAATGTCTATTCTTACATACATGTTCCATAGGTTCATCGCTTGAGAATTAGCCTACGCGATGGAAGGCCCGATATAGTCTATTTGATTAGTGTAGCCACTCGAGCAGCAAGAGCAAGATATAGAGCTACTACGGTAGTCACATTATCGCCGAGATATCAATTGCACAATAAATCGTCTTATACGTTGGAATTGGCTCAGAAATGTTTCACAACGACTGTTGTAAGTTTGGTGCAATCTAAAAAACTAAAAACGACGACTGTTGTAAGTTTGGTACAATTAAAAAAATAAAAATCAGGTAAAAAAAATAATTTGGTCAATGTTATATTGGTTTTAGTCTCATCCGGATGCTCAGGCGACGTATATAACGACTATGCCTGAATGTCATATGCCTTTTCACTGGCCACGACTGGATAAAGACATGTTGCTCTGTGTCAGAATCACCAATGTACCGGATTGCATGTGGTCGGGGGGTATCAGATTGGACGACAATTATTCATTAACTATTAATGTCAGAGACATGATAGGGAAGATGCATTTTCTACGGGTAGATGTGGTGTTACAGGAAACTACCTATTTCATTGTATTCACCGACGCCGATACTATGCCGCCACCCATAAGAGTAGATAATTTCTCAGAGGTTCCACTGATCGTTAATCAGGTACATTTATAATATTTTATTCGAATATCATTTTTAAGTTTCGACATATTGATATTTGTATTCTTTTATTGTTTCATGAATTTTATGTTTATACTTATTGAATTTTATAGCAATCGTAATTGTCGTCATTTGATTATGTTAATTAGTCGCAATTTCTAAATGTATAGATTGGAGTTCCTGATAATTTGCAATGGACCGTAAGACCTCATTCGTCGGTACCGTACGCTTTAGATGAACCAATACAAACTGCCAGTTTAGTGTTAACAGCACCTGGAGGAGTGACAGCATCTTACGATTTAAATATACTCGGAGAGGGCAGAGGATTGACTTACGAAAATTTTATTTATATTGCATTTTCAGGTAATATACATCAAATAGAAATAAAACGAGAAAAATAGATTTCGTTTATATAGTCACATCTCGATTTTGTGATTTTATTTCAACAGGAACTTTCAAAACTGATTCTGACCTCGGATCAGGTGAAAACGAGCTAGATCCACTGGATGTGGAGACTCAGAGATTAGTCTTGGAAGCTGGCACCGGTGGTTGGGTCGCTTTACGGAGAAAACAGTATGGCGATAGATCGCAACTTTGGAGAATGACTGGTGATGGACAATTGCAACACGAAGGTAAGACAGAACACACAGTTAATAAATAAATACCATTTTTTAAACTGTAATATTTATGTTTCTCTTTTGCGTAATTTTAACGAGACAGGTTCTAGTCCACCGAGAGACAAACATTCCAAAACTCCAGACACAATATTTGTTTTGGACATAGCAGGCACCGCGCCGCAACCGTTTACTTATTGCGCTCTCGCCCTAAAGAAACCGGATCCTAGACGGAGATCGACGCAAACCTGGCGATTCACCGATGATGGGCGTTTGTGTTGCGTGCATAAAAATATGTGCGTTCAGTCGAAAGACGGCTTTATGGGATTATATGAAGGTTGGGACGCTTCTATTTTTTGCACGTATTCCAATGCTTGGTGATTAAAATCGTTCGAATTATCTGTGAACGCTATAAATTTCTTTTAATTTCACGCGCTTCGTCTTAAATATTTTTTCTATTACTTTTTGTTGCTTTAGATTGATTCGATATATTTGATTTAAATTAATTTGATATATTATATTATTTATTTGCGTGTTGATAATTATTTCTCTTTGTGTGATAAATATAAATATTTTTTGTCTGTAAATACAAAAACATAAAACATAAAAGCTAATAAGATAAGTGTACAATATCGTTGGAATTGGCAAAAAAATATGATTTTCTGTTATATATTGAATTGATGGTAGGTAGTATAGTTGTCTTACAATGTTGCATCTATTCTGTGATTTTAATTTATGTTTGGCAATTATCTATTTAATTTCGATCAAAAGATCTTTCTATTTTTTTCACTATTCCTTTCTCGCTACTTTTGAAAAATCTAAATTGATCATGAATGTTGCAGGCGGCAGTGTCGCCCGTTGGCAAATGTGTACGTATAGTTTTAGAGTACACATTAAAATCGGTGATTTCCTATAAGAGCTTTTATCTATAAGTATATATTACGTGTTACAATATCTTTATTTTGCTCCTTTTTTTCTTTTTTTTCTGCTTATAAACCATTTTCGCTTTGCGCATTTTCCCTGAGAGTGTCAAAGTTCGATACAGAAATTTCTTCTTTTTTTTTTAATAAAACTTTTTTTATATCAGATCATCTTATTACAAAGCGAATCAATTGTGGCGTTATTGTACTGTGGCATAACTTTCGTACTCGCAAACTCTTTTAAATCGTACAATTCTATCATGCTTATTTTTCACGCAATACAAAAAAAAAGTCTCAATGTTTTTGTAGGGAGCGAAGCGGTATTAGGTCCTCAAATGCATGGTAATCCGCCACCACTCGAACAACGAGTGGGGAGACAAAAATTACGCCCAGGTTCTGGATTCTTATCAGTCAGAGTGACCACTGACGGTCCGACCCGTGTTTTGCAAGTCCTGGACATTAAGGAAAGAGTATATATCAGTCTTGAATAAATAAAATTTAAGCGAATGTTGCATAAATATCCAAACTAATACGAATCTTTTTGTACTTTAGAAAAAAACGTTTGCCCTACTAGAAGAACGTGATTGGTCGCACATCGCTGTGAGTCATCGGCCTACCCGAATCGATGCCGATATCAAAAAATTAGATTCTGGTGAATTAGATCTGAAACTGAACTTACCAGCTGGCCTCGGATTGTCCATTGTATCGCAACGGCCATTGGAAGAGCTCTTGTTCGCGCGGTTAGCTGGAATATCCCTGAATATGTTGCAAACCCCATTAAATACTACGTTGGACCTGAGCGTCGCCGATGTGCAAATCGATAATCAATTATTCGAAGCGCAATGCACGTCGGTTTTATTCGTCACACGTTCATTTCGCACAGAGGATGAGTACCGACCTGCTCTCCATTTGGCTGCCGAGAAGCTGCAATCGAAAAATCAAAACGCCGAAATATATAAACACGTCATAGTGAGTGTCAAGGCTTTGTGTGTACATTTAGAAGAGAAATTTATCCTAAAATTGGCAGCGTTCCTCGGAATTGGCAAGTCGGAGTTAGAAATGCCGGTTGACGAGAATGATTTCAAAGCGCAGAGATTTATCTCCGAGGTGTCCGCTGCGCATGCTAAAAGATATTACTTTGGCGCTCTGAAGCTCGTTCCTAATCAGGTAGATATCAAAATATAATATTATAAATAACAATGTACTATATTCATATGATAATATATATAAAAAAACATTTTCTCTAGGTAAAACTTAGTGTGCTTACCACAACAAAGTTGCCACATCATCTGCAAGCTGTAAAGAGAAAATTAGGTTTGACTTTGATCAACTTTGAGAACGCTACTATCGAGTTGGAGCCATTCGTCAAGAAACATCCTTTCGAAAGTAGTCAATTCTTAATACATTCTATCGTGAAGCACTACAAAGATGTAATATAACGCTCTAAATGATCCTTTTTTCATATATTGCTTATTTATTTATCTAATAAGTATATCACGATGTTTTTTTCAGGAACTGAAATGGCAAGCCGCAGTTATTCTAGGTTCCGTAGACTTTTTAGGAAACCCTCTTGGATTCATGAATGATGTGACGGAAGGTGTTTCCGGTCTTATCTACGAAGGCAGCGTGAAAAGTTTAGTGAAAAATGTCACGCACGGTATTTCAAATTCGGCAGCGAAAGTGACGGAGTCCTTATCGGACGGTTTAGGGAGAGTGATCATGGATGAAAGGCATGAAGAGGCCAGACAGAGAATCCGAGCAAATACTACAGGTAGCAGTGATCATTTAGTGGCGGGTCTCAAGGGATTCGGTTTTGGTCTATTGGGCGGTGTCACTAGTATATTCAAACAAACTTATGACGGAGCAGCTAATGAGGGTTTTCCGGTATGTAAAGTATAACAATTTTTTAAGAAAATCAATAATTTTATTTTTATATCCGGTTAAATAAATATTCGCTTTACGAGTATATAATATATAATTTATAAAACTTTTTGAAGATGATTTAAAATTCTAGGGCTTCTTTGCGGGCTTCGGAAGAGGAGTAGTTGGTACAATAACAAAACCAGTTGTTGGTGTTTTAGATCTGGCAACGGAAACAGCTAGTGCTGTACGAGAGACAAGTAGAAGGTATAATACATCTCATGTAGTTATATTTGTAATGCGCTTTTTGTACATTACATAATTGACACAGTTTATTCTCCTACGTATAGCGCTCATCGTGCGATACCGAAACGTGATCGACCGCCACGTGTCGTCAGTGGTTCTACTGGATTGCTACCACCATATAATCGTCAACAGGCTGAAGGGCAGGAATTCCTATATAGCATTAATAATCGCGACTATTCTGAACTTTTTGTGGCTTACGAGTGTTTGTGTAGCGGTACGGAGAATCTCAGAGTGCTCGTGTCTAACGAGAGAATACGTGTTATTTCGGGCGGCACGAAGGCCGTAGTGACTCAAGTTGATTTGGCGGATCTTCTACGTTGTCAACCAATGCAAAAGACACAAAGCAACAATGTAATCCAGTATTACATAGAACTAATATCCAGATTCGATTCTACAGCTGCGATTAATTTAGATGGAATGGCCGAGTTGTTGAGACGACCAAAGGTGCGCTGTGACAATGAAGAAGTAGCGAAACGCGTGAGTATATGATAAGAATAATTAATATGGTTATTTTTCGTTATGTCAAGCTTATCGATTAATTATAATTAATTAATTTTTGCTATAGGTATCGCAACAAATCAATTATGCTAAAGGGATGCATGAGGAACGCAGTTTGACATTATCATCGTCGGATAATATGTTGGACGACGTGCAATACTATAAGTAATCTGTTCAGACCAAGTCGACTGGATTTCGTTCTTATTTCTGACATGATTCTTTGATATACTAGTCGAATTTTCAACTTTCTTTTGTAGAACGCACGATCGGTATGGATGCCTTAGTTATGACGCTTAACGTTAAGTTTAAAAAGACTGATGCGAAATACCATAATAACTAAATAACTTGTCGGCACACGAGACACGAATTCGTAATTTAAGCGTAATTGAATGATTTCGCGTCTTACAGTTGTGGCGCAGATAACGCAGAAATTTTTGATACATATTAATTAGATGTAAAAACATAAAGTAGATAGAACTCGGAGAAATTTTCTAATGTACATACGCGCGCATATATGTTCTTTAATATCGCATATACATGATTCTATATGATGCATGTTCAGTATGTCTTAGAATCACTCTTTTTCAAAAAGACCAGAAACAATTATTTTTAAATGAAAATATATAGTGGGAAATTTTATAATTTGTTTCTGTAATAAAGAGCAGCAAACAATTTTTTATTATGCTTTTCAATTATTTGTTTCTTCGCAGTTGGCGTATTCCTATAATTTTTCTATAATCGGAATATATTCATTTTGAGACAGAGACTGTACATGTATTTATATGTATATATGTATTAAAAAATTAGCAGGTAGTATAGATTATTTATTTACTACATGAATAATTTAAATTTAATATATATACATAGAAACAATTAAACCAAAAATTTTTAGTATATTTTTACATCTAGCAAATAAATGTCAAAATATATTTATTTCTTACATATATTTCTTTGTAGCACATATCTCTTCTGCTTTAATTCTGTGTTTACATTTTCAGTTTTATATATTTCAATGTACTACTTTGTACAAAAATATAAATTTTCTCTTAAGGTTTTTTAGGGGACCTATAACTTGCGAAAAAATTCAAGACAAAATTCTATTTAAAATTTCATGCATGACATGTTTTAATATATGTGTGTATTTTGATGTATATTTTGATTTCTGATATATTTTGTGTTAAAATATTTCCTATATTATAATATATATATATATATATATATATATATATATATATATATATATATGATACATAAAATTTATAAATAGATTCTTGTCTTGTAAATTATAGCCAATTATAGCTCGTCTAAAGTCTACAGAGATCTTTATATGAACATAGTATATAATAAAAGTGTACAAAAAATTAAATCGATTCGTATTTAAGTACTTTTGTAAAACTAATGTACATGCATACAAAACAAGAATATTTGTAATATATTGTATTGATATTCCTGTTGAGCAGATTAATAAATGTTACATCTATATAACTGATATGGAAACAAAAACTTTGTTATATCTCAACAATACAATTGGTATATTTTGAGTAAAAATACTAAAATAAGATCATATTATGAGAAGATAGAATTTTATATAAAATTTAATTTAGATTAGTATTTCTCTGATACATAATAAAATTTAATTTAATTTTTTTCTAAAATTATATTTATTATATTATTAATATGTATTAATATATTAATATTTGTTATATTAGTATATTAATATTTTTAAATAAAATGAAGCAATAGTCGAGAGAATAAAGAAAAAGTAACATTTAATTGACCAATCGAAACAAAGATATCTTTGCTCCTTTTTTACTTTAATTGGTCAGTTAAATGTACTTTAACCCGCGAGTAAAATTTTTGAACGCATCCCAAGGCTACGGTCGGGGAGACGCTCCGAATGCTTTAAAGCGTTTGATTGGCCAATCAGGTTTAAAAATTCTTTACTTCTTTTGTCCTAATTGGTCAATCAAACGCTTCAAAGCATCTTCGCTTTAAGGTGCGGCCTCATTGACGCTACTTTTTAGCGTCAATGAGGCCGCATCTTTAAGCGGCCTTTTCATTGACGCTACTTTTTAGCGTCAATGAAATTGCACCTTAACAGTTGGCAGCCCTACGAGATAGGCTGTGCAGCACTGCGCGTATATAAAATAAATTTGAAATCGCTTCTAGCCTAATCATCTTCACGCGATCGACTTTATTTGAATTGCACGGCATCGCATCGAATTATGATGCGATGCGGCGCCGATTTGTTCGAACGTAATTCGGGACATCGCGATGCTGTATAAGCGTCGAATGAGCACGAATTGTCACGCAAATATGATAAATCACATCTACTCACCGTTCACCGGCTGTTCCACAGGCCGCTCCACTCGCTCGCCTCGGGACGTCCCATTCCGATCTTGATGCACACGATATCATCAACGCGAACGCGCGACACTTTATTCGGCACTCCCGATATTCGCTCGCATCCGATAATCATCATCAAGGGCGCAAATAACGCGACGCGACTTCGCTCCATCTTCGCGATCGCGCTATCACTGAACTGTGAAAAATAGCTGTCGCGCACTTTCACCGACATATTATGAAAGTCGCGCGATCATCCTTGAACACTTTCGACGCTCTTTCACTCGCGATATTCGTTTAAAAACGGTTAAAAGACGCGAAAAATGCGGACGTACGACGATCGTGTAACTGCGTATGACTCCGATTCACGTATGACGCGTATGACGTAGCAGTGACGCGCTAACATGGCGGCCGAACCAGTGTGCATTCGTTCTGCGCACTGGTTCGGCCGTCATGTTAGCGCGTCACTGCTACGTCATACGCGTCATACGTGAATCGGAGTCATACGCAGTTACACAGATCGTCGTACGTCCGCATTTTTCGCGTCTTTTAACCGTTTTTAAACGAATATCGCGAGTGAAAGAGCGTCGAAAGTGTCCAAGGATGATCGCGCGACTTTCATAATATGTCGATGAAAGTGCGCGACAGCTATTTTTCACAGTTCAGTGATAGCGCGATCGCGAAGATGGAGCGAAGTCGCGTCGCGTTATTTGCGCCCTTGATGATGATTATCGGATGCGAGCGAATATCGGGAGTGCCGAATAAAGTGTCGCGCGTTCGCGTTGATGATATCGTGTGCATCAAGATCGGAATGGGACGTCCCGAGGCGAGCGAGTGGAGCGGCCTGTGGAACAGCCGGTGAACGGTGAGTAGATGTGATTTATCATATTTGCGTGACAATTCGTGCTCATTCGACGCTTATACAGCATCGCGATGTCCCGAATTACGTTCGAACAAATCGGCGCCGCATCGCATCATAATTCGATGCGATGCCGTGCAATTCAAATAAAGTCGATCGCGTGAAGATGGTTAGGCTAGAAGCGATTTCAAATTTATTTTATATACGCGCAGTGCTGCACAGCCTATCTCGTAGGGCTGCCAACTGTTAAGATGCGGCCTCATTGACGCTAAAAAGTAGCGTCAACCATTGGTTGAACAATGAAGCAACTATACTTACCTCCTTGTTCAACCAATGGTTGACGCTACTTTTTAGCGTCAATGAGGCCGCATCTTTAGTTAGAGTGAAAAAAGTATGTTTGTCTCTTTCTAATTTATTGCACTAGTGTAGCTGAAAAGAGCAGATCCCATAATGTAATATGGCGTCTCGCACGGTTGAACGAGACGTCATTTTTGAGCGATTCGATCGACTGCATTTGCTTAATTAAAGTTTCAAGTAGTCTTGCGTACTTCAAGTTTCAGTGTTTATTATTATTATTGTACGTTTATATGTCATTGTGATTCCTTCACCATTGTGTCTGGTGTATACGAACGAATCTTTCGTTGACAAATAACCTAATGAGAGATATGGAAGAGACGTATTTGGACGACGGACCTGCGGTAAATTTCGAAAGAGCCACTTTAGAAATCGCTAATACCGATTGTAAGTTTTTTCACCAGTTTTTTTGGATAATAAGTTTTTAATAAAATATCTCCCTTAAATTTTGAATGAACAAAGAGAAATTTTTTGGTTATTCTTTCTTCAATTTCAGCTGTCAAATCTACTACAGAAAGTGCGGATGAGACATCAAAGCGGAATTCCGCTTCGAAAAATGTGTGTCATGTGCCGTTTAAACATATAGACGTTCATACATTCTTCACCGATAGAAATGAAGTTGTGGAAAGAGCGATAAATGACTGCACTGAAAATCTGATCAAGGAAAACGACGATGAGCTTGTAGGAAGCTGGCTTTTGACAGAGTATGTACTATTATAGCCATTGAGTTTTCTTTATTTTTGCATTTCTTACAAGAAAATTTATTTATTTATAGAATAAGTCTGTGGGATACAGAAAAGGAGAGACTAGTTTTACTATCGACAAAAGCTCTTTACTCTGTAAAATATGATTTTATTTCTCTAAAAATACTAGATTTTAATCGAATACCTATATCATTGTTTGATACAATAACTATAGGAGAATTGATTTATCCATCTACTTCTCTTGCACCGTGAGTACTAATGTTGTGAATTATTTTTGTCATGCAAGAATATATATTCTCTAAACTATATATTCTACAATACATATATTAATCATATAAAAGTTACTTATATGGTTAATATATTATCTATAATACTGTAGCTTTTTAAATAGTTTGTTCTTTAATAATCCTTTTTAAATAGTTTGTTCTTTAATAATCCTTTTTTTCTTATTAAAAAAGATAACATTAAAATTTAAAATATGTAAGCATATATTTTTTTATATAAATGAAGATTATAGTCTCTGTATTGCTTTTATTTGTTGCATATTTTATTTATGTCAACTTAATATTCTAATTCTAGACGATTAAGTGGATTAGCAGAAGGTGTGTCGTCTGTAATTCATTGTGCAGTACGTCAAGAATGGTCGTCTATCACAGGTTGCTCTAGTCTTACTCAATTTGAACCTAGGTATCGCTCTAGTCTCATTAAATCTTGGTATCACTGTGCTATATTATCTGTTAGCACTAATTCTTTACATCAATTTATTAATTTGCTTTGGATATATATTCGTTTTCACTGCTTTTTTCTATTGTTTATGCAATGTATTTACATTAATAAACACTTGTGTTATAGTAACATTTGCTTTCTGTGTATTTATGTTATAAGCAATTTTCTTAAACTGTCTCAAAGTATTAACTTTGTATGACACTTTATAAAATATTGTTAAAGTGATATAAAAATTAAATTGGCTTATTCATATATACATTAAAATCTGTGGAACAGAATTTTAAATTTTTCAGGAAGCGGCATATGTCAGGAATAAGACTTTTGTGGAATAGAGGGCAACCTCTGCCTCTTATAAAAAAGTGGAATCCATTTGCAAAAGATATACCATGGCTTACATATACTAGTCATCCATTATTTTGGTATAAAGGTAGATGTTAAAGCCAAAATTTTTTGTAACTATGAAAGCATAAGTAGCACAGCTATATATATGAAAGATTTTTCCTTATGTATCTTTTAATAGTTGCAATAATAATTAAATAATGATATGGTATTTTTTTAGCTGGAACTGAAATTGTCAAAACGAGATTTGACATAGAAGCCTTTCATACTACGCTCAAAACTTTATTATCGCCTGAATGCAATGTTGTTAATATGCCGATCATTATAGAAAATTATTGCGGTCTTGGTGCCTTGGTGCACAATAGAAATGGCTTAGGTTTTTTTAAAATACGCGGCAAAGTCAGTTTCTAATTTCTCCAATGCCATGTCTTGCAAACTCTAAGATATTTCTCTAAACTTAATATTTTTTCTTCTATTTTTGGAAATCATTCTTTTTACATTAACTTGTAATGTTCTTTAATATTTTACTTACAAAATATTTAAAAAAGAAAAAAATAGCAATTATTACACATATACATATATATATACACGAAATCACTTTTATGAAAAACTATTATGTATTAAGCAAAATCTCGATACAGTATTTTTAAATTTGCTTAATTATTTTCGTAAGAAATAGCACAGTTGGAAATCTGTTAAATGTACAATAGTAATTTTTATTAATTGTTACATATTTTCTCTAACATCATAAATCATATAAATTATACATTTATATTAGATATTTTTTGAAATATAAATATTATATTTATATTTAAGTAATTATATTACAATTATATTTACATTCTAAACACACAAATTACATATTTACATTGTGTGTTAAATTATTGATATCTTGCATGAAGACACAAAAATTTATGTGTTTTAAAAGAATTATATATAACAAAATTTAAAAATATTTTAGACTCTAGTACTTCAATTATTGTATGGAAAGAATTGTAAGTATTTGTTATAATCTCTTATTATAGAATATGGTGCAGTGTATCTACATATATTATATGTATATGGTACATGTCGATATTTTTAAGTTATATAATAAAATTAAATTTTCTGTAAATTATATGTTCACGATGATATTTTTTAATGTAGCCAAATAGGAGGAATATTTTAAATTAGAAACAGTCGAAAAATTCTCCTCCAGCTCAAATTATCAGGTAATTGATTAATTGGTAAACTATAATAAATAAAAATTAATAGTTCAATCAATTTATTATACTAATAAATTATAATCGTGCTACTCAATTAATTGTATTTGTTGGCATTTTAAATACGGATTACGGGGAGAGGTGGAGTCTCCACCTCTGATGGAAAGAGAAGAAGGTTATGTAAGTTAGGTTGGACAGATGCTTTGTTTATGTCACTCATTGAACTATAGAAGTTAGTTCTATAGTTCAATGATGTCACCTGTTGCATCGAATATTATGATTACATCTACCGTATGTTACATTAGCTTGATTGCTTTTTAGTTGTTAATTTTTCTTTTGAATTATTTAGCAAAAAATATCACAGATTAATCGTCGCAGGTGTGTGGGTGTGTTTGTAATATAAAATCACCGGATATATACAATAATTTTACACAAGCATAATTTTCAATATATTCTTCCCGTCAATTTACCCAGTAACATGAATGACTTCATCACGTATTTTTATCGGCACATGCGCAAAATGCATCCTGTAGGTAATTAACATGATTATTGTAATGATTAACTGTTAATGATTAATTATAGACATGATATATTCAATATAAATAAGTTAACTGTGTTATATTGATATTTACAGTTTGGTCAGATTATATAAATGGACAACTTTACAAATAATATAGAGATACAAATAAATTTAAAGTATGCAACAAAAGAAAATATAATGAAATAAATGAGTTCAACGAAGATCAAATATAATGATGAAAGACACACTAGAATGCAGAGTAGAGTCTACTTGATAATTGGCATTACTTAATCACTTAGCATTAGCGTCAAGAAAACTTGATTATGTATTTGTCAAATTCAATTTTCAGTGTGATGACAAAATGCGTTTTCGATTTTTAAAACAGAGATCTATATTCCTGATTGGTTCAGGAATTGGCTTTATTTTTCCACTATTGCTATCTTTATTAAGAAATATATTTGTGATTGATTCGAGGTGTGAGCAAACCCTGTTGTGGCAACCTGAATATTACTTGAGTAAAGTACCTCACCATGAAGAAATTGTTTTACGGCATTGGGAAAAAGTAAAGAGGACATCTGACTATTTTAATACCATTACATACTCTACTTGGTTGGCAGCACAAAATTTAAGCTTACGCACACTTGATTTGGATAAATATTTATATGGTCCCCAAAAAGGATATAGTACCAGAGAGATTGAAAGTGTGGAATGGAACTGGTTGAAAAAACGAGTATCTATCACATGTATGGTTTTTGTAGAAAAACTTAAATTGGGAAAATCAATCCAAGCTACATGGGGTAAACGTTGTAACAATATTTATTTCTTTGGACATCGTTTGAAAGACACCGAATTACCTATTATAAATATAGATACAAAAATTGTATCTTCCTGGCAATTGTTGTGTGAGGCTATGAATTACATTTGGAAAAAAATGGATAAATTAGAGTGGATTATTTTTGTAAAAGATGATACTATAGTCATACCAGAGAATTTACGCTACATGGTCGCTCCATTAGATTACAGAGATGATTACTATTTGGGTCATCCAATAATTTTATGGGGTCAGACTTACAATGTTGCTCGATCTGGATATGTTATTAGTAGAGGAGCATTGGCTAAAATAGTGAAAATGTTTAATACTACAGAAAAATGCATTGCAGGTGGAAAATATTGGAAGAAGGAAGATTATTATCTTGGTAAATAATATATTTTTATACAAATTTGAAATAACATGTTCTACATATGTAATATTATTTTCTGTCCCATTTTATAGGAAAACATCTATCATCCTTGGGCATACATCCATCTGATACAAGAGATCAGTACTTAAGAGGTACTTTTCATGGTTATTCTTTACAAAATCTTCTATGGGGTGTTATAAGACCAGATAACTATTTTACACATGCTGTCTATCCGACAAAAGGAGAATGCTGTTCACCGATATCCGTGACTTTCAGTATTAGTGAGCCTGATAAAATGCACATGTTAAATTATTTGTTGTATCACTTACATGTATTTGATGGCAAAGGCAAATTTGGTAACGTACCTATCAAGATGCATACATCTGAAGACAATGTAAGTTTTAATACTACATTTTTTAATTTGGTTTTTAAATATGTTTTCGTCAAATATCAGCATTTTTATCAACGCAATTTATTTATTTATCAATTAAATTTAAATGTATATATAAATTACTTTTGTTCAAACATATCGCAATAGAGAAATATTATAGTGATAATAATCGAAAATAATTATTTTATATGTGTCGTTTCAGGTATGGAAGATTGCTCTACAGGAGGAATTCAACATCACGCATTTGAGCGATATATCGAGTGACGCTTATTACGAAATATGGCACTCGAAATATTTGGAACCAGGACAGCTAAGAATTGCTAAAAACTATCGAATGACGCCAGATGCACTTAATTGTTTATTGGCTAATTATAAAGCGGGAAACAAATCTACGTTTAATTGTACAAGTAAAACTGTAGTCGATAGTACAAAAATCTGAGTCGTTAAAACAGTTATTAGAACATTATAACAACTTTATTATAATTATCAAGATAGAAGATTAACAAAAAATTAATAGACAGTGAATATTTTTAGTCTTGTAGCACACAATTATCTATGCATTAAGATCACGTTATAAATTTTGACAAATAAGTATATTAATAAAGATAACATTATTTGATTTATCTTATTTAGTTTGCTATGTTTAATTGATTCGATTAGATATATGCTGTGTAAGTCATATTATTAATAGGAAATGGTTGATAATTACTTTTCCTGTGCTTTATCAAGCCAATTAGAGACTCATTAACGTCTACAAGAGCGATAAGTTAATCTCGTTCTTAAAACACTTTCGCAAAAGCGTGCCTATTTTCATAAGTTTAATCATCGATATAAAAATAATTATATACGCGTTATTCTATGACAATAATTATGCATTTTTTTCCTTTGACTTTGATATATATTTTACATTTATTTCTATATTTTAAATGTATTTAAAGTTTATATAAAACATATAGAATTAGAAATGTACAGGTACGAAAAAGATATGTTTATAAAGCAAAAAAAAATGAATTACACATTTGAAACGATGAAAATTTTTACAACTAATAGTTTTAACGATTTTACACATGAAATGAAAATTTAAACTAGTGCTACAAAAAGAATGTTTATAGATAACATAATAACTATATTTCATATATTTTTCATACATTATATTTCTTTATATTATATATTTATAAAGATGCATACACACAATACAAACATTGATTTTTGTATATATAAATACTTCATACACAAAATGCATATCCGCGACCGGTTGACCCATATTTTTCATTTTTTTTTCATTTATCAAGCACGACCTGTAAGCTTATCGCTTATCCGTTTCCTTCTAGAGGTAGATATATAAAAGAGTCGGGTACTCTGATTCGCGTTTTTTAAAAGTGTTGCTTGGTTCGCGCATTTCATAAAACATAAATGTGAATTTTTGTCTGGTACATTAATATGAAAAGTTGCATTTTGCATTGATAACATGGTGCCGTTACAGATATTTGGATATTCATTTGTATTAATTATCGTTGCAAACGATATAATACAAGGATATGGATATTCGGTGGATATGAATACACAAGAAACAAACGAGTTAGTATTTTACACATCTTTTTGTTATAAAGAGAAATTTTTTTTATATTATTGGTGAAACTATACATCTCTTGTCTTATCTATACATGTATATATATATAAAAATACAATAATATACTTGGTTTTTTTATACAGAAAAGAAGATATGCTAAACGATGCGCCAGATATAGCAATTGAAGATTCTTATAGTGTTAAAAATAGGAAGGGTGGAAGACGCATATTCGCGGGAGGTTGTGCCCGTAGACCGGATACACCTATAAACGGCAAACTTAAATGTTCATTGAACAGGTACTTATATATTTATAACTTGTCTAGTATTATTGGTAAAACTATATGTCTTTCTTATCTATGTATGTTTATAAAAATACAATAGTATACTTTTTTATACACCAAAAAAAAAGATATGCTGAACCAATTATTAATTGTCAGTGGTTTTTTTAAACATATTAAATATATTTGTAATATTAATTTTTTAAAGATATTAAAGTTTCAAGATATTAGATTCTCTAGATAAATAAAAGTATGTACTGTATATAAAATATTGAGAGAGAAGAAAATGTAATAATATAATAATATAATTCTTTTTGATGATACAGTGGCTGTACTGCAAGTTGTGCGCCAGACTACCAATTTCCAAACGGCGCTCTTCATCTGATTATCACTTGCGTCGATAAGGAATGGCATATTGAAGGAACCGAATGGAATTCGATACCACATTGCGAACGTACGTAAGAAAATTATGAATTTTCTCCGAGTTGAAAAATCTAGAGATAATAAAATGATTTTAATCAAATTCTTTTTCATAGCGATCTGTATGCCCGAGTGTCAAAACAAAGGGATATGCATCGCGCCTCATCATTGCAATTGTCCGGAACATTTCAGTGGTCCGCAGTGCCAATTTGAGAATAAACCATGTTTGAATTATCCACCGCCTGTTCTTAATTCATATAAAAAATGTAACTCAAAGTGAGTGATGTATTTAAATCTTATCATTGCATTTTTTATTACATTTGTTTTTCTGACTTTTTAAATCTTGTTCTTTCAGAACGTGTACCGTCTCTTGTATGGAACATTTTACTTTCCCCGACAGTTCGTCCGTTGCTAATTTAATATGCAAGGACGGAAACTGGAAGCCAACCAGAAGTGATTGGGTATCGATTCCGGATTGCGAACGTATGTCTGCACGATCGTTAAATCTCTATGTGTATCATATAAAATTGCAGCATAATTTAATGCAATCGTATCCCAATAGCTGTGTGCGAGCCGCCCTGCCAGAATGGCGGCAATTGTCTACCGACCAATTTATGCCAGTGTCCACAAGATTACAGAGGACCTCAATGCCAATACTGTAAGTGTAAAAAAATATATCTCGTAACTGAATTTTATTTTATTTTACGCCAAAAATATATACATTAATAACGTAAAAATATTTTTAAAAATATTTATAAATTAATAAATTTTTATACATTTCTATCATATATATATATATATATATATATTATATATATATATATATATATATATATATATTCGTATATACGTATATTTTTTCATATAAATTACAATTTTAATTTAATTTTTAATATGGATGGCAGCTGCTAATACTTGCGATACCGAAAAACTACGTTTCAACGGCGGATACTATTGCACCGGCGACAGCGAATCATATTCTTGCACGCTGAATTGTCCTACAGGAGTGGAATTTGAATTTTCACCTGCCACAGCTTATATCTGCACCTACGATAAGGGCGTTTTTGAACCGCAGCCGATACCGCAATGTAAGATCGACAATAACATCAAAATCATCTCTCTCGGTACCTCTTACAACACCTATGTACGAGAATCGAATCATTCATGGTCGATGCATGATATTTTCGGCACAAAACACTCTCAGGGAATCCATGACGGATATTACGGCATTCATGGTAGTGATGCGTCTTTATATCCGGTAAATAATGCATCACATTCACGGGTATAACATACATAATGGAACGTGAAGTGAGAATGATGTTTATTTATTAATTAATTTGTGCCGTATTAAATTTTGTAGATTCAATCCAATGGCGTAATGATATTTGAAATGAATAAACCGAAGCCGAAGACATGCTTCACTTGGAGTGGCGCGCACTACAAAACCTTTGACGATAGAATCTACAGCTTCGATAGCGACTGCGCGCACACGCTTCTTCAGGAGACGCGAGACGGCATCTGCACGATTGTAGTACTTAATAGTCCAGGATGCAAAAGTGGATCATCGAGTCGTTGCGTCAAGATCATAAAGCTGTTCGTGCACGACAAGGAGTATACACTCACAAGCAATGAGATGGGAATGTCAGTATTTTCCAACAGCAAACGATCTTTGCCGATACCTGTATATTTGCCCGGATTGCGCGTGGACAAGTCTGCTCATTTCACCATCGTTTCTCTCGACTCGTTGGGCATGAAATTGAAATGGGATGGTGCCCTGTTACTGCAGATCGAAGCGTCCGAAAGTATGTGGAATAAGACAACCGGTTTGTGTGGTACAATGAATGATGATCAAAACGACGAATTCCTAACAAAAAGCGGAAGTTACGCTAGTAGTATACCAACATTAGCGAATTCTTGGCGCGTCGACGATCTTGGAGGTAAGAAGAAACGACACAAAATCATCTTATATAAATTATACATTTACATTAGTATAAAATCATTAAGTAGCGATAATATAATGTTGAAATTATAAAATTATTTATATTGTTTTGTCTACAATACGTATTTTGAAAATATTGTTATAATAACAGATAGATCTATCATCATTTTGACAATTACATATAGCAACCTGTTTTTCATTTCGCAGAAATATGCGATGATTATCCAAGTACGCGACATGCATGTGAATCGAAAAATGAGTTGACTCGAGACGCTTTCGAATTCTGCAACGAGTTACTTTCTAATCATAAATTCAAGACTTGTGCTAATACTATCAATTTTTCTGAATTAACCGAGTCATGCTTATGGGATTATTGTGCGTGTGAGCACGATGACAAAAGGAAATGCGCTTGCGATACTATGGATGTTTACATTCGCCAATGCGCTCACAAGGGAATCGCGCAATTAACCGCGTGGAGAAATAATGATACTTGTCGTAAGTTAATTTAAAAATGTTTTATATAATCAATAATCTTATGTATAACAATTAAAATCATTTTATTCTATTTATTTATTAGTAAACAAGTACATTATTTTGTAGCAATTTTTTGCGATGGTGGACGAGTGTATCTATCATGCGGCCCGAAAGCGGAAGCCTCCTGTTTTTCCGGCATCGAAGCGAAGCAAGAGATTTCTTCCGAATGCGAGGAAGGTTGTTTCTGTCCAGCAGGTACTTTAGAACACGAGGGCAAGTGCATTTCTCCGGAAGAATGTCCATGCAGATTGAGGGGGAAACTATTTCAACCGGGTACAAGCGTGCAAAAGAAATGTAATACTTGTACATGTATTTCCGGCAAATGGGTCTGCACGCAAATACGTTGCGGTGCCAGATGCGCCATTGTCGGCGATCCACATTACACCACGTTCGATGGCAAGCACTATGATTTTATGGGAAAATGTAAATACTATTTGATGAAAGGAGAGAATTATACGATCGAGAGCGAAAATGTCCCATGTTCCGGAGCGATATCAGAGGTCAGAGAAGTTATCGAAGAAATAAAATTATTTTGTTAATTTTATGAACTACCGCTCATTTTTCTGTATTTCATTATTTTCACTCATTTTTATTTATTTCAGAATTTGGGTTTTACCTTCGTAGGATCTCCATCATGCACCAAAAGTGTTACAATCAATTTTAAAGATACTATTATAAAACTAAAGCAAAATCGTCAGATTACGATAAACGGTGACGAGATAACAAAATTTCCAATACTATTTAATGGTGCACGAATACGAATCGCGAGTAGCATATTCGTGGTGATTCGGTTGCCAAATGCTTTGAAAGTATGGTGGGATGGTGTATCGCGTGTTTACATTAATGCTCCAGCCGAATTCCATGGTAATTTTTTTTGTTTAAATAGCGGCAATATAATAATTTCTTTAAAGAACATTTTTGATTAAACTATTATTATTACAGATCGAACGAAAGGACTTTGTGGAACGTTTACCGAAAATCAAAAGGATGATTTTATAACACCTGATGGCGATACTGAGACTGCGGCGATCGTCTTTGCTAATAAATGGAAAACAAACGAATATTGCATTGATGAACTTGAAAGTGAACCGAAACATCCTTGCGATTTAAATCCTCAAAGAAGAGCGAGGGCGGAAGAATATTGTTCAAAGATACATAGCAATATTTTCTCAGGTATTTGTTGGAATTTTTATATCGCACGCGTGACTTAATTTTATGTTTAAAATAATTTTATAAAAATTTAGATAAAATATAACATATATACTTTGCAACAAGTTATGAAAGAATGTCCGTTGTACTAGGATATAATTTTTAAAAATTTTAAATATGTCAGTTTTTTTTATGGATTGATTACTATATTTTTATTTACTTATAATTAGATATATAAATTTATTCTAAATAGTTTTCATAATTTTATTATTGTTATACTGTCGTTTTAGACTGCCACTGGTATGTTGATCCACAAGAATTTTATCGAGATTGTATGTACGATATGTGCGCATGCGATACCGATGTAACATCGTGCCTTTGCCCGATGTTGGCAGCATATGCGAAAGATTGCGCGACACTAGGTGTGAAGCTTTTGTGGCGTGCCGAGATTGATGAATGCAAGATACACTGTACTGGCGGGCAGACTTATCAAATTTGCGGAAATAGCTGCACCAGGTAGAATATACAACAACCATATTTTTTATTGGATTTTTATTACTCATTTATTGCAGATCGTGCTCGGACGTATCCTTTTATCGAGATTGCAAGCAAGAGTGCGTGGAAGGTTGCAATTGTCCAGAGGATCAAACATTGAATGCAAATGGCGAATGTATCCCGATTGTTCAGTGTCCTTGCTTTTTTGCCGGTCGCGAATACAAGCCTAATCATCGAGAAGTTCGTCCAGGCAACAAGGGACAGGAGTGTTGTTCTTGCATAGGTCAGTATTCAAAGTATGAAAGTTTGTTTTTGACAATATTTTTCAATGCAAAGTCTTATTCTTTTACTAAAGGCGGCGTATGGGAGTGTCGATTAGCAACACCGGATGAAATTCGTGAATATCCACCAGTCACGGATCTATTCTGTCCTGCTAGTAAACATCTGGAGGTGACGGATTGTCAACCTGTGGAGCAGAGAACGTGCAGCAATATGCATATACCGATCGAACAGACACCATCGGTGTGTACGTCCGGTTGCATTTGCAAATCTGGATATGTCTTAGATGTGACAAACGGTATATGTGTCAAAAAAGAGGATTGCCCTTGTCTTCATGGTGGAAAAAGCTACAAAGAAGGTTCGGTTATGCAGGACGGGTGTAACACTTGCACATGCAAAAACACCAAATGGAAGTGCACGGACCGAACTTGCGCAGGTAAGATTTTTCTCTGAAATTCAGTTTAATCATCATCATCATCATTATTATTATTATTATTATTAATATTATTATTATTATTATATGTATATTATATATTTATTGATCAAATTTAAATCATATTATATATTTCTTATTTTATATGAAATACTTCTATATGTGTAAATATAAATAAAATATATTTGAACGCATAATTGCTTCTTTTTTCTTATTTTTTGTTAGTAAATGCATATTGTATTATCTTGAGTGAAAAATAATGATTTATTATATCAACATATTATTCTCTGATATCTTCTTTTGGCAGGAATTTGCTCTGTGTGGGGCGACTCACATTACAAAACATTCGACGGTAAGATGTATTCTTTCCAAGGCATATGCGACTATGTTTTGGCGAAGAGTACGCTGAGCAAAGAAGAATGTTTCGACATCTCGATTCAGAATGTACCTTGCGGAACTAATGGAGTCGCATGTTCAAAATCGATCAAGCTCCTAATTGGAAGCGGTGAACAGCAGGAAGAGCTTATCTTGACGAAAGGAAAAGAGTTACCGAAAGAAACTTACAAGAGAATGACAATAAGGGACGCCGGTCTCTTTGTATTTGTCGATGTGCCGGATTTGGGATTGGTATTACAGTGGGACAAAGGTAAGAAGTCTTTAAAAAAGGTGTAGATTAATTATAATTATTATAATTAATCAGATTTAAATTTTTGAAAGACTATTTTGATAATTTTCGTTTAGGTACCAGAGTTTACGTGAGATTAAATCCGGAATGGAAAAGTCGCACGATGGGTCTGTGCGGTGATTACAATGACAATGCCGAGGATGATTTCAAAACACCGTCCGGTGGAATATCCGAGGTCTCTGTCAATCTATTTGGAGATTCGTGGAAAAAGAACGCGTTCTGTCTTGAACCAAAGGACATGCAGGATGATGTCTGTGAACGGCATCCAGAACGTAAGCTGTGGTCATTACGGCAGTGCAACGTGCTCAAATCACCATTATTTTCATCATGTCACTCGGAAGTGGAAGTCGAACCATATTTGCGCGACTGTATTTTTGACACGTGCAGCTGCGATGCTGGCGGTGATTGCGAATGTCTATGCACAGCATTGGCCGCGTACGCGCATGAATGTAATGTACGAGGTGTTCCCGTGAAATGGCGGACGCAAGAACTTTGTCCGATACAATGCGATGAGAAATGCAGTACATATTCGGCTTGCGTCTCGACCTGTCCACGTGAAACTTGTGACAATTTGATGATTGTGAAACATAGTTCGCATTTATGTACGGAGGATACGTGTGTGGAGGGTTGCCAATTCAAACCTTGTCCCGATGATCATGTGTATCAGAATTCCAGTTACACAGAATGTATACCCAAGTCGATGTGCGCGAAGCCGTTCTGCATTGAAATGAATGGAACAACATATTACGAGGGTGATCGAGTCAGTGGCGACGATTGTCATAGTTGTTTCTGTAGTCGCGGCAAAGTGACTTGTAATGGAGAGGCTTGCACCAGTACTACTATGGCTAATAATGCTACTATACCTTCAACGGAACTACAGAAATGCGTGGATGGTTGGTCATTGTGGATCAATAAGGATCCAGAAGTGAAAGGGAAAAAATTCTTGGACGTGGAAACATTGCCTAATTTAATGGATTTTCCTGATGTGAACGGATTTCCGATTTGCGACAAAGAGCACATGGTCGATATAAGATGTAGATCTGTCAAGGAACATTTGAGTCCGAAAGAAAGCGGTTTGGACGTAGAGTGTAGCCTAGAACGCGGTTTGTATTGTCAATCGCATCTTCCTGATCTTCCTTGCGTGGATTTTGAAATCAGTGTGCTATGTCGTTGCTTTGAACCAACTACACACGGCGTTGAAAATACAACAACGGAAATTGGAAAGGAATGTGATGTAGCGCATCCCAATTCACCTCATCCGACTAATTGTCAATTATTTTATCATTGCATTATCACACCGACGGGGCATGAACTGGTGGAGAAATCATGCGGTCCCGGTACCTTGTATAATTCCAAGACCCAAGTATGCGATTGGCCGGCACAAGTTATACGTATACGACCAGAATGTTTCGAACCTGAGCGAACCACGCAGACTAGTAGCGGTACCGAATGGAGTACTAACTATGAGAACACGACGACAAAGACAGTATCGACTATAAACGTATGTAAGGACGGCGAAATGTGGAATGAATGCGCGATTCAATGCGTCAGGACGTGCCAGTACTATCGTCATATTCTAATGACGCAGGGTCATTGCAACGAAGATACAGATTGCGTTGCTGGATGCGTCTTGATCGATCAACCGATGTGTCACTTTCCCAAATTCTGGCGAGACGGTATTACCTGTGTAGAGGCAAATCACTGCCCTTGTAAATCACATGACGGTAACTCGGTCGCGCCAGGCGCCATCAAGAAGGAATCCGATTGTGAGACCTGCCAGTGCATTAATAATTATTACACATGTGATACAACTTTCTGCTACAACGTATCAAGTCACGAAGAAACAGTAGGAACAGGAAAAGTACCTGAACAAACCGAAACTGTCACTACGCAATCGTCATTCAGTACGATCTCGGGAAGCACTTGGAAAATATCACCAATTACTTCATCTCCTTTAATCGAACATACGATCCTTATACAAAGCACAGTCACACCACCCGAAGAATGCGATGATGCAAATTATGTGCCATTAATACGAAATTTGGGAAAGAAAGTGACTATCCGTGCTAGTAGCAGCAAGAATCCTGTATTGCAATTTGAGGATCTGCTGATATATACAGAAGGAAACTTTCCGTCATCATCCGAGAAATTCTGGGAACCCGAAATAACGAATACGGATCAATGGCTCGACGTCGAATTCGATAGACCTGAACCAGTTTACGGTGTGATCTTACAAGGTGCCGTTACCAAGGATGAGTTCGTAACCAGTTACAAGGTACTCTTTTCGGAAGACGGTCAAAGCTTCTCGTACACGCTCGATCATGAAAAGCAGCCACGCGTATTCAGAGGACCTGCGGACAGAATCCAATCCGTGCAGCAAAGATTTTATCAACCAATCGAAGCAAGGATTATTCGTATCAATCCGCTGACATGGCATAACGGGATCGCTGTTAAAATGGAGGTACTAGGTTGTCAAGATCACATAATATCGGTAATGATGACGTCGACAACCGAACAATCAATAATAAAGACAACCATGTCTGAGAAGATCGTGAGACCAGTATGTGAAGATTCAATGGGATTAAACAATGGGCTAATGACTATTGAACAAATTTCGGTATCGAGTTCACCGCAGTTGATTCAAAATCTTTCATTATCTTCGGAAGGAGTATGGCGTGCCGCTTTAGATAATCCTCATCAGTATATTCAGTTTGATTTTCTAGAGACCCGAAATTTAACCGGAATCATAACCAAGGGAGGAGACAACGCTTGGACAACCGTATACAAAGTATTCTATAGTAATGATGGTCATCATTGGAATCCAGTCATCGATAAGAATGGCAATGAGAAGGAGTTTCTCGGCAATTTCGATGCGGAAAGTCAGCAAACAAACTTCTTCGAAAAACCATTGCACGCGAGATTATTGAGAGTACAACCCATCAAGTGGCACGATCATGTCGCATTAAAGATCGAAATCCTTGGCTGCTATTTGGCGTACCCTTCAATGAAAACATCAGAAATCACATCAACAACGACGTCATCATCGTTTGAGCGAGAATGCAATATATGCGATGGAATGGATAGGACAATATTAAACGATGAAACACGCTGCAAATGCGAAGATCCTTATTGGTGGGATGGAGAATCGTGCGTATCAAAGTGGGAATGTCCCTGCATAATCGGACACGTTTCTTACGCGGTAGGTAGCATCTACGAGACGGAAGATTGTCAACAATGCACATGCGTCTTGGGCGGAACGCCCACGTGTTCACCAAAAAAATGCGAAACTTGTCTGGAACCAGGTCTACAATCTATCGTCAGCAAATTATGCACTTGCCTATGCAAACCTTGTCCAGCAGGCACAAGACACTGTCCCACGAGCGACGTATGTGTAAACGAAACCTCGTGGTGTGACGGTATTCAAGACTGTCCAGATGACGAGAAAGATTGTCCAGAAATAATTTCCACAACGCCTATTGCGGTTGAAATTTCAGAAATAACAAATACGACTGGTCTACAAATTATAACTACTTCCAGTCCTATTCAAATTCCGCTACCATGTGAAAAACCATTTTGTTCACTTGGCTATAGAGTAGTCTTCAAACAATCCCGGTTGCATCATCATAAAACAAACATAAAATCCAATAATCGCAAAGGTTTTACGAAGACAAAGGGACACAAGAAGTACATGTTCCACGAGCATCCGATGAAAAATCAAGAGAATCAACCAATAGTGGAAGATATTCAATGTCCTGAATTTATTTGCATACCCAAACCACCTGTCTTGTCTGACGACAAGAAGCCGCAGACGTGTCCGGAGGCGGCATGTCCACCTCAATACGAGGTAGTGTTTGAGAGAACAAGCATGTACAAGAAGCACAAGTGTCCGAAATACATCTGTCGACCATTGAAACCACAAGAAGCAGTTTGCAACGTTATCGGAAGAACGTTCAATACCTTCGACAACATGGAATACAAATATGATATCTGCAATCATATTCTAGCCCGAGATATGTATGGTAACGAGTGGTACATCACATTAGAAAAACTGTGCTTGGATTCGCATGGGCAGCAACGCTGCACCCGTATCCTAGTAGTGACGCTGAACGAACGTACGATCGTGCTTTACCCGAATCTGCAGGTAGACATCGATGGATATACCTTTACAGCCAAACAGATTGCGCGTTTCGGAAATCGATTTCCCGGTTTTGAGCTTTTGCGCACGGGCGACAGAATTATCTTCCTCTCGCATCACTACGGTTTCTGGGTAATCTGGGACTCGAGTACCAACGTAAAGATCGGTGTCGTCGCGAAACTGGTTGGTCGCGTGGATGGTTTATGTGGATACTTCGACGGTAACGTCGCAAATGATCGTCAGACACCTGAGGGGACACAGGCGAGAAGCATCATTCAGTTCGGAAACAGCTGGGCGATGGAAGGTGCCAAAGAATGTGATCTACATGTGTGCCCGCACGATGTTCAAGAACAGGCTTGGACGATTTGCAGTTCCGTGAAAAGTCCGATGTTGTTAGGTGCCTGCTCCGCGATCGTCGATCTCGACAGGTTAATAGATTTTATTAATTATTTAACAATAAGAATTTGTTGCTATACATAATTATAAAAAATTCAAATAAATTATTACTATAATTCAAATTACTACTAATATTATTACTGCAGATTTGTGTCTCGCTGCGTGGAGAGCGTATGCTCCTGTTTGCATTCTTCCAATACTTCCTACGAGGATTGCCGATGTCGCTTGTTAACGAGCTTCGTCAGCGAATGCGAGGCTGCCGCCGATTATGACACAAATCTATTGACAGATTGGAGAACCGTTTATGACTGTCCCGCAAACTGTCCATCACCGTTTGTTCATCGGGATTGCTTCCGTAGCAAGTGCGAGATTACTTGCGATAATTTACACGAAGTAGAACCGTGTCCACCGATGCGAGATATTTGCTTCCCCGGTTGCTTTTGCCCAGACGGTCTAGTACGTCGAAACGACAATGAGTGCGTACCGCCGGCTCGCTGTCTGGATTGCGTATGTGACGGCCTCGGCGATGCCAAGTTCATCGACTTCAATCGCAAAAACTTTAGATTCACTGACAACTGCACTTATCTGCTATCAGGAAACACTATGGAAAATGCGAAAAATCAGAGGAACGAAACTCGCGCATATCAACTTTTGATCACCAATGGATATTGTGCCACCGGTATATGTACGGAAGTCATCACATTGCTCTACGATGAACATGTGGTGCAAATAAAGCGCGCGGAATTATCGAAAGATCTACAAGTATCGATCGACGATTCCCGAGTGGAAAGATTCCCAACTGATCACACGTGGATTGTATTAAATCAAATGTCAACTGGAGATGTTACTCTATTGGTACCATTCATTCAATTGGAATTTGTTGCTTTTCGACAGAATTTCGCATTTACCTTGAAACTACCTTCACACATCTTCAGCGATGTTACTGAAGGTCTATGCGGTAATTGCAATGCTGATACCGAAGATGGTTTTGAGAAACGCGGCGGAGAAATCACGCAGGATGTCGAAGAGTTTGGTAAATCCTGGTTGATCAAGGATCTGCCGATGCAGTTGGGTCTGAGCGATCGGACATGTTCCAGTAACCGCCAATCTCCATGTACGCCACCACCAGCTGAGGAAGATATCTGCAAGAAGCTTTTGGATTTACCACAATTTATGCAGTGCCATAGCATCGTCGATCCAAAACCATATATGGATTGTTGTTACGATGCGTTATGCACAGGTGGAAGTTATTGCGACAGCTTGGAAATGTATGCAAGAAAATGTCTGGAAGCTGGTTTGTGTCCAGCTTGGAGAACCGATGAAATCTGTCCGTATGAGTGTTCCAAAGGTAAAATCTGATCTCTGAATTTCATTCTAATTGCACAAATATTTATCAGTAAAATGAAAGCAAAATTATACAATACTTTGCATTTCATTTAGTTTATAAAATAATTTTTATGAAGATAATCATTATTATGCCTTTAAAAAAATAAAACTTACTTAAGAGAAAGAAGCTTTAAAACATTTTTAAAAGTCTCAAATGAATTTAATCTTTGTTTAAAACAAGATTCAATAGAAAACTGATCGTTTTTTTGTATCAATTTAATACCAATAATTTATGTAAATATATTTTTTTGATTCGACAAATCTATTTTTTACTTAGATCTTATCTACCAGCCATGCGGCTCTAGTTGCAAGGAAACATGCGACACTTTGAATAAATCAGACAATCCAAAATGTGCATCCGGTCCTGTTGAGGGGTGCTTCTGTCCAGAGAATTATGTATTCCACAATGATTCTTGTGTATTGAAACAAGACTGTTTCATCTGTGACCAAGAGGGTCATGTACAGGGAGATATCTGGTACCCAGATAAATGTACTGAGTGCAACTGTAACAATGGGGTTGTAAATTGTCAGAAGACAGAATGTCCTGTATTGGACACGATCTGCGACGAAAACATGACACCGATACTTGTTAATGGAACGGAGGAGAGATGTTGTGCCAAATATTTATGTGGTGAGTTAATAACATCATTAAAGAATACATTTTTATATATCTTTGTTTATCGAAACTGCTAATAGATAAGTTTTTAACATGTATAATTGTGTGAAAATAGAGAGAAAGAGAAAGAGAAACAGAGATAGAGAGCCTTACAAAATTTATAAATTGTAATAAAAAAGAAATTAGTAATTGTACTTTTTTAATCGATGCGATTTTAATGAATAAGAATATATTTTATTAAACTCATTTATAATTTAATGATTTTTATGCAGCTCCAAAACCAACAGCTCCTACAATATGTATTGAGCCACAAGAGCCGGAATGTGGTTTTGGTCAAATAATGAAAGCAATTATCGACGCTGATGGATGCCATAAATTTATATGTCGTATGTATATATATATACATACGTTTATAAATTATTTATCAGATTCCGTTCGAGATCTTTCTAATAAGCTAAATGGCATTGCGTGATTTATTTCAGAATGTCTTCCTGTAAACGAATGTCCTACTTTCGATGAACTTTCAAACGAAGTCGAACAACTGCAATCCGGTTTCGTACAAGTGATGAATACATCTGGCTGCTGTCCACGACCAGCTAAAATATGCGATCCAAAAACTTGTCCTTCTGCAGCAAAATGTCCAGATTATTTTAATACTACAGTAATTGTGCTCGCAAACAGTTGTTGCCCTACTTATGAATGCGGTATTGTATTTCCTTTTCCTAATTATATATTATATATATTAATATAACTTGTAGAATTGTGTGCGTGTGAATCTGTATTATTATATTTCAAGTAATTCAAAATGATGTGATATAAGAGTCTTTTTTAAGAAGTCGATACTTTTTTAATAACATCTATGAAAGAGATATAAAACGGAAATGTGAATGGAATGTTGATCGATTATTTTAGTGCCTCCAAAAGACGTTTGTCTTTATACAAATGAAAATCAAAGCAGCCAGCCCGTAATAGTGAAACAGATTGGAGAGGAATGGAAAGATGGTAAATGCAAAACGTGCTTGTGCGAGAATTCGCATGACGGTCCTAAGGCAAATTGTTTAATCATGGAATGTCCAAGTATGGATGCACAGTCTGATATGGAATTGTATGTATTGGAAGAAATACAATTGGATGACAAATGCTGCCCAATCTTTGAACGTACTGCTTGCAGATGGGAAGACAAAATATATAATGTATAAGAAGATATATTAACATTTTGTAACCAATTTTGCAATTTTTTAATATGGTTTAAAAACATTTTTTAATATCGAGCATTATTTGTAATAGGTTGGTGAAAACTGGAAGCCTAATATCAAAAATGCTTGTCTTTCGATGTACTGTGACAAAAAATTGGATAGTGTTCAGATATTAACCAAAGTCCAAGAATGTAATACTGTGTGTGACTATGGTTACACATATCAAGCGCCTAATGACACTAGTGTTAATTGTTGTGGTACATGCATCCAAGTTGCATGCATTGCAGACGGCATACTTAAAGAAGTGGGAGAGCATTGGTATTCAGATGATCATTGTGTGACATATTTTTGTGAATCAACGAATGGAAGTGTGAGATTATTAATAAAATTTTCTAAATACATACCGACCTAATCGATGAAAATGTGAATGTTCAATAACTAATATTTATTTTTAGGTATATATACACGCAAATACCGAAACTTGTCCAGAAATCGATCCGCAGTTGGAATCCGAATATGAGGTGGAAGAGCGCAAAATCCCAGAAAAGTGTTGTCCAGAATATGTCAAAACAGCTTGTCGTAGTGATGGACAAATATATAAATCTGGAGAAAAATGGAGATCTCTCACAGATAATTGTGTCATCGAGACATGTGTTGGACCGAATATAACAAAGCGCAAAGAGATTGAAGTGTGTTCAACGCAATGTTCTCCAGTAAGAATATTTATCATATATTCTAGATACGATTTTAATAATTTCGCTTTTATATATTCAAATCGATAATAACATTGCATTGGTCAATTTCTAAGGGATGGTCGTATCACGAATCAGAAGATGGTAAATGTTGTGGAGAATGCAAACAAGAGTTTTGTGTATTCGAAGATATCTTGTATGCACCTGGTTCAACATGGTCATCCGATGACAATTGTACTACTTATACATGCATGGGAAAGGATAAACAGGCAAGTTCTTTTTTAGGAAAAATAATATTTCCACATTTGTTGACGTTTTCAGAAATTTGATATTAGATATTAAAAATATAATCAATTATGCAATAAAAAAATGAATACATATATACAATTACTTTTTATAATTATCTCAGTTTTATTAATCATTTTAGCTATCTCTTGCTGTAAGTCCAGCTGCTTGTCCAGATATAACAGATTGTCCTGCTGAATCAATTTATCATGATCACTGCTGCAAGCGATGTAATTTAACCATCCTTAATATAGAAAAAGAGATTAACAGTAAGTGTGTATAGAAAGAAATTAAAACGAGTATTTTATATATTTATACTATATTCTCTCTCTCTCTCTCTCTTTTCGAGACATTTATTATTTTTTTTCGTGACTATTTTCTAGAAACATGCAACACAGTTTTTGTGGATGCAAATAATACTGTAGGTATGCTGGTTGTAAACCATCTTTTACATGGGAAATGTAAAAATTTAGATGTCGTTGAGGGTATTAAACAGTGCAGTGGAACATGTCAATCTTCAACGTTTTTCGATAGCGGTAACAATACATGCAAAATAAATTTTTCTGCGATACTTTACGGCATTGATTTTAATTTAACCCATTTTTTCTTTTTTACACAGGAAGTTGGAGTCAAGTGAGTAACTGTTATTGTTGCCAAGCAGAGAAATACAGTGGTCTTATTCAAGTCAACTTAACATGCGAAGATGGCGAAATATTAAAAAAGCAACTAGCAATACCAAGTTCTTGTGCTTGTCAAAGTTGTGCTTCTTCGGATGTTAAAAGCGAAAATAGGAAGACAAAGAGCAAAAGTTAATCTGTAAAAACTGTTTCTCAACTATACATTTATTCTTTATTCATATATCTTAATGATGAAATATTTTTATGTTCTAAAATGCCAAAGAAGATATTTTAAGAGAACATGTATGTACATACATACATTTTTTTAATAAAAATGAAAGTTTGAATTATTTTAAAGCAAATATAAATTTTTAAAGTGAATATTTTTATTCAAAAATATATATACATATATATTTTTTTAAATTAAAAATATATATATTCTAGAATATACATATATATGTTTTCGCTTATTTATTAAAATAAATCTCAACACTAGAGATAAATTCTTCGGAATGAACGGTGAAAAGATGCTATATTCACTTTTAAAACTTTTATATTTTCCTATATTTCATTTCATTAAATTTCGACTTGAAATCTTAAGAGACTATTAAAACATGAAAAATGAGAAAAATATAATTGAAAAATCTATTCAATTCTGATTTTTTTACACTCCTTGGATGTGTATATTTTAATATCTATAATTTTTCTTTTATTGCTATTACGCGAATGATTTCTTTACTAACTTAATGAAAAAATCTACGATATAAATGAATATAAAAAAATAAGTCTTTCTTTAATTCATCAATTGATAAGTTCCCGCTATTTGCAACAAAATGTTGAGAAAATAATACGAAAGATAAACTATTTTACCGACATATTTTTCCAAGAGTACGTTCGGTAATTCTCTTTGAATAGCATTGAATTGATCAATCAGGGAAACGTCTGATTAACTAACAGCCAATTATATCAACCTGTGCCTAGGGTAACCAGCAACGATTGACCAATCAGAGAGTCCTATTTTGAATTGACCAATCAGCACAAAGAAATCTTTTTGTTCTGATTGGTCAATTAAACGCCACTTTACGATATTTATTATTTAGTATTACGAACGCACCGGAATTCTCTTTTTTTCTCTCTGCCAATGGATTATATGTGTACAAAAGTCGCACATGTATACAAAATAATTTTTGAAATGAAATCGAAGTTTGTACTTAATGAGAGAGAATGAGAAGCAGAAGAGAGGTAAAAGAGTGTGATACTGCAAATGAATTATCAAAGAAGAAAACAGAAAGATCTCATTTATATTTCTGCTTATCTTTCTAAGGTATGTACATACTAGGATGCGATGAAATAGATTCGTTGCAAGTGAAATGAATATATAGACGATTTGGAATGTAGAGAAATCTTAATTTGCATTTAATCACACCCTAGATTCACAACATATTGCCAATTATATTCTATATTTTTTACATAATATTTCACGCGCATGGTTTTCAATATATTTACTTTTCACTTTTCGTCATGACTGATTTTATTTAAATTTGAAAACAGGCAATCATAGACGGTGTTGAAGCTGTTAAATTTTAATAGAGTCTGTATCTCATAATATCACATCCATAAAGAAGAAAAAGAATTTATATACTTTGGGATACAATGGTTATCTGCAAATATTATCGACAAGGCATTTGCCGTTACGGGCAATATTGTCAATTTGAACATATAAATAATTTTGGTAAGATACTTGTTAACAATATCTTCATCATTTAGGTGATCTAAAATTCACTGCTAGTACTGAAAATCTATAGTGTAAGTCATGTAAGCTATAGATTTTTAGTACTGGCAGTGAATTTTAGAACGCAGTCTTAATATCGAATAACATCATTATTATTTTTTCAAATAGGCAACACCAAAGCTGAGCATAATGAGGATGACATTGCGTAAGAACTATATCAAAATGCTATTATTCAAGTTATTTTATATAATGTAAATTCCATTTTTATTTACTTTTCATTTGTTTATGTAATATTAGTGTCACGGTAGCCAAGGAAGTGCTTCTTGCGGAGAGAGGTGGGCAATGGCTATTATCATGTTTTGGACCATTCAGAGATCGTCCTATCATCCCAGGCATGCAAGATTTATCTCCCGAAGAGGTTCGATATGAGATGTATGAGGCACAGAAAAATGGTTTAGTTGAACAAGCAGTTAGTAGAATTATGTCTTTATATTATTCAAAAACAAAGTATCTAAAAGATTCTTGAAGGATTGTTTCAACATCTTGTCAATATTTAGATACTTTGTACAAATGCATGTTTTCTTGTAACTTTTCAGATATTAAATTATTTTTGAAAATTATTTTTAGAAATTACATTTTCAACAATTGTGCCAAGATATGAAGGCGAAAAGAGAAGCGTTAAAAAACCCCACTCGAGAGACAATCACAATGTTGGTATGTCTCAACTGATACAATTTTCTTTATATAATCACTTTGATTAATCGATGAGAATCTTTCAAACTAATATAGGAATACAATTGTGTTTCAGAAAAGGATTTTGGGAAGCAGCCAAAAAGGTAAGTTGAACATAAGTAGTAACACAGCTGAAAAATCATTTATTTTCTCCTTTACAGCTCCTCATTTGGGCCTAGTCAATAGCGCATCGACTAATAATGTGTTTGGAAATAAAACATTTGGTGTTCAAAATAATAATCCATTTGGTGGAGGAGGGTTTACTTCTTCGAGTAACACATCGTCAATATTCGGAAAGAGTAATAATAATTCAACAGTGTTTGGTAGTACGGCGCCCTTTGGAAACAATCTCGGTGGATTCACTACCGCGACAAATACCAATTCCTTCTTTGGTGGAACAGCCAATACCTCGACATCGTTTAACAATGTACAAAACAACACTCCCCCGTTTGGAACACCTCAGAATAATTCAATCTTTGGCACATCGACACCTCAAACCGTATTTGGCCAAAATAATAATGTATTCGGCTCCACGAATCAGCTCGGCAATGCATCTTCCACTTCACTGTTCAACAATCCGATGACTTCGCAAGCAAACACTTCTTTATTTGGTGGAGCGACAACCACTACGGCTAACTTATTTGGCACCTCATCATCTGGCTTACAGACAAACTCGGTATTCGGTGCTTCTACTACCTCATCTGGTTCATCTTTCAGCGGTGGTTTATTCAATCAATCGAAAACGCAGATGCCTGCGTTTGGCGGAGCGCCAGTTTTCGGTGGGGTAACTTCCAACTACGCCAACAATTCTAGTGGTAATTCCATCTTTGGCGTTAATCAAACATTCGGTGCTACTACGAGCGGTATTTTTGGTGGATCCACAACCGCTACAGCACCAGCTTTCGGAGTATCTACCACTACGACGACGTCGGTTTTCGGCACATCTATTGCTACCACAACGGCACCGGCTTTCGGTACATCCGTTACTACAACGCCGGCTTTTGATCTGAACCAACAGCACGGTAATAATACTTTTGGAACGACGGTATCTGCCCCGAATGTCTTTGGTAGTACACAAAATACTGATAGCACAATGTCAGGCAACAGTAATGCACCGTTTGGAACATCGATCACTGCTGGTCCATTTGTCACCGTTAATTCGCAGCAATACGATTCTGCGAACGCGAGCTCGACATCGTTTACCGGCACGGGATTTGGTATTGCAGTCGCAAGTACAAATAATACGTTTGGCACCACAGAAACGTCTTCCAATTCGATATTCGCAAACGCGGGAACTACCTTTGCAACCTCCAATGCGACAATTCCGAATCCTGCGTTTCCTACGTCGACATTTGGCAATATTAATGTTTCCTCGTCGACTAGTAGCACAACTCTCACTACAACCACAAATCCATTTGCACCTCGAACGCAGCAAGGCACGCCGTTCGGAAGTGTCGCACAAGTTCAATCTAACGCTATTGATCTCTCCTCTCCATTCGGAAAATCACCATTTAACGCCACAACCAACACTGTCATCGATGATACAGTTTACAGCGTGGAAGGTGTATTAACGGATGATGAAAAGAGCATGTATTTGGCTGAGAAATTTATTATCGGTAAAATACCACTCAAACCTCCTACCAAAGATATAAGGTAATTCCATTCAGAGATTTATATAACGATACGTTTGTAAAGCATGTGCTGTGATAAGAACGCGTTTCTGTTGCTTGTAAATATCAAAATCTTTTCATGACTCAATGTACATAAAATCAGATTTTTAATATAAATTATGATAATTAAAAACTTTTACTACTAGCTAGCTACAACTAGCTTAACTTTAATTTGACAGTTTGAAATGTACAATTCAAAGAATAATTTGAAAAATTAATGCGGTAATGTATCAAAAGCATAAAATGTATAAAAGTGATTTTGGTTTGAGAACTGCGATTCAATATATGTATTTCTTTTGTACTAAAGTCTTTTGATTTATTGAAATAAAATCATTATTGGTAAGTCGACAGTCCATTATGTTTGACAATTAAATAATCAATATAAGTTAAATGTACAATTTTGAATGAATAATATACATAATATTATTTACATGATGTGTTAAATAATACACATTATTTACATTATATACAAATGCCGATTGATCGTATTACAAACTATGATAGATTGATAGATTTTTATATTTATTCCATATATGTGTATGTGTATATATGTATGTGTGTGTGTATGTGTGTGTATGTGTGTGTCGGAAGATAGAGGCAAAAAAGAAAACAGAAAGTAAACGTTATTGGTAAATCGCGTACTTTCCAGTACTTACAAATAATACATATACATATTATTCCTCAGAACCATATGTAATCGGGTCATATTAAGTGTAGAAACTCTATAAACATGGTTGCGGCAAATGACACAGAGAATTCGACGGATAATTAGTTCGTTGCGTATAGGTTGCAGTCTGATTGGATGCAGTCTGCGATAGGCCGGATGGTATACCATTTGAAGATTTATATCCGGTGACCTACAAGAAAGATTTTAAAAATAATAAAAATCTTGCAACGATCGAAGACATCGATAATACATGGCTCGAGCTTGTATCGGATGTACTATCATATCATACCTTATCATTCATTTCAGGAAATATTGTGGTTAAATTGAAATTGGTGAGACTGGTGCCTCCAGAGGGATGATGCGGCATAGCCATCGGATTGCTCGAGACGATTCCTCCGCGCACCATATTGGAATTCATCGAGAAACTAGTCGCGGCACCTTGAGCACTCATGGCCGACGGTGGAGGTGGAGGAAGACCATTGACAGTCTTAGCGTATACATTCGTTTGCGGATGATTCTGATAAAGTGGATTGGCGTGGGGCGGTGGCGGAGGCGGCGGCGCCAAGAACGTTGCCGAATGATGATGGTAGTCTTCCAATGGAGAATTGATGCCAGACAGTGGGAATTCTGCAAGATTCTGCATCGGACCAGCTTCAATAGCGCTCTTACGTTTGCCCTTTTTCGCAGCAGTGGAGTATGAACGTTTGTCGCAATTCGGATGTTTTCCATAGTGCTGAGGATTCTTTCCATTAGCATTCGTCGAGGTGGAAATTGTATTTGCACTGGATGTATTCGCGGTGCTGGACGAGCTCGTTCCTCCCATGTTTGGCAACAAGAAGCTGTTGGTCTCTTGCACGTAATCGGCGGTATTGTCATGCAGTTGCATACCCATATAACTGTTGGACGTGTTGGTAGAAATACTGGTGATAAAGTTACCGGTAGGATATATAGAATTGGCAGAGTTGGACGAATATGCGTACGTGTTAAAATTCTGATTGACCACTGATTGACCGTAACCGGCTGCGGCGCCATCGTCTGGCGGGGGCGCACTGGAAAAGTAATTAATCGGCATTACCGTAGCATCCATGGCAGCAGCAGCAGACAAACCATTCTGGAATTTATTCTGCGGATAGTTGGTTGTAAACTTGATCGACGCGTGCTTGTCCTGATGATGGCTACCAGCATCGTGAACGCTGGTTCCAATTAGCGCTTCCGCGGTGTAATTGCTCTTACAGTTCCTGCTTCTCCAATGAACGTTATTCTGCTGGTATTTTTGTTGCTGTTGCGGCTGATAATTCTGTTCCGTAAACACAGGTCCAGAAGATTTTTGTTCTTCGTGCCTTTGATGCAAGTTGTCATTGGTCGTAGTAGACTTGCGAATATCCATTTGTCGTTTACTTGTTGTTCTAGGACTTGTGTTACTCTTCCTTTGATGTTTTCTAGCCTGCTGTTGTTGTTGCTGCTGCGAATGCTGATGTGGATGATGATGTTGATGATGCTGCTGATGGTTCTTCTCTGCCTTTTCATGCTCCACCAACTGACTCACTGATAAAAAGGTGGAAGCCGAATGTTGCGCATTTTGAGTGTTCAGTATTGCATGCAAATCTCGCCCCGACACATTGTTTGTCTCTTTCTCCTTTATCGACGTATCTTTACCCTGCTCTGTGGAGATCCTTGATGAGGGAGTTGCAGTGGCGAACAAGAAATTCTGCTTCTCCGTTAGATTGGCGCTCAGATCAAGATCACTCACCAGAGATTGTAGACTTGATGGTACGATATGTTGATCGATACATTTGATCGATGATTGGCCAATTACATGTTCGACACTATTGTGCACGCTATTTTTCGTCGGCGACCATGGAAACGGTTGTTCCTCGGAATAAAAAGTTTCCGTAGACCTCTTTGGATCACTTTGTAGAACTGGCAAATTCGGGAAGCTATGAGCGGCGGCTGCGTCATAATTATTATAAAATTGATTCGGAGTGCTCTGATTGTACGTAGACGTCTGAGTAAACAAATTGTTTTGACAAAATTCCAGCTCCTTGCCAATTGGTGGTAAAATATCGGCAATGCTTGCAGAGTTATGTTTCACTTCCGGCGTCATCATCCAGTTAACTGGCGCCTTGACTGCGTGCTGTGGATGCTGATTACTCTTAGATTTGCTGCCGCTATTATTGTTACCGCTGTGCGACTGTTGTTGTTGTTGCTGCTGCTGCTGCTGGTTATGCTTTACGTCACTGCTATTGTAACTACCGTTGTCGTGTGGCAGAACAGAAATTTGTCCTTGGACAAGAGTCTGATACTTGTGCTGACTTGGTTGTTGCGTAGTTTTTTCCGCATATTTAAAATTCGTACCAGTGTAAGCCTCGATTGAGTATTTCATCTGTACATTACTTTCCGCCAAATCAAAGTTATGTGGTTCGTAGGTGTAGATCATTTTTTCCTGCTTGGACGACAGACTCTGATGATTCTTCGAACCATGCTGTTGAGACTGCTGTTGACTCATGCCAGTGCTATACTCGTTCTGCATATTGTAGTCCGAATCCATACTGTATTTATTCTTGCTTTTATTGCCATCGCCGAATTTATAGTCATTGTCAGTTTGTTGACTCTGCATCCTATTTTGTTGCTTCGATGGGTCATTCCTGGTTTTTGAAGTATCGACAAAAGACTGCTTCTGTGGCTCAATCTTTCCCTGTCGCAACTTGTCGATTCCAGTTGACACGGTTGGATAATCGTCGTTAATCAATACTTGATTGGAGAAATTCGTATTCTCTTTGTGTAACGGTACATAATTGTAACTTTCACAAATAGCCTTTGCCTCGGTATTATCGTTCGGATGTGGCTGTACTTGTTCAAAGTGCATCAAATTATTATTGTTGTTGTGGTTGTTGTTGTTGCTACCGCCACCACCGCTGCCGCTGACCGGTGAAAATGTCGTCCACGAGAGAATGCTAAAGTTGGACGAGTTGTGAGCAACAGTGGTAGTGGATTTGGCGTGATTCTCCGTCATCGTATTCTGTTCATAGTTGGACGACGTATGTTGCGAATAGCGTGGAACGATGTTTTGTTGTACAGCCGTTAATTTGCTGTTGGCCATAGCGTTTGTTGAAGCAACAGCATTCGTCTTCTTGCTATTCTTGTTATTCGTATAAGAAACATAATTATTATGCGTGTCATTGGTATTTAAAACATTTGTTCGTTCGCTCGAATTACTCATTGTCTCCTTAACGTCGTACTGGAACGATTGGACAAACGAATCTACGTCCACTTTCTTGGCGGGAACATAAGTCGAGTCGCGTATGTGATTGTGCCGCTGTTGCTGTTCCTGAGATTTGGAGCTGAGCATACTGTTCAATTTTGTCTTCTGATCCGTCTGATTCGGATTGTCTGACGTGTCTGTGCTTTTGCTCAGCTTGTTGTAATTTCGTTGGAAAGGATTTTCCTGATTTACGGTCTTTGTGATGTAATCTTGGTTCCGCGATGAAGCGCTCGTAGTCTCGTTTGTCTCGCCATTTGTGTATGTTATCGAGTCCTTCTGCGACATCGTTTTCGTTTGCGCATAATTATTATGAGAGCTCGCAATGATATGTTCTTGTTTTTTGTGAACATCAAACGTTTGTTGAGAATCATTTAAATCTAAGAGAACGTGGTTATCCTTAGATTGATTGTACATGGGTTGCATGTCCTGAGAAGGAAAAGTTGGAAGAGGACACTCCTTGGTTGTCGCAGAATAATTGGGCAAAGATGTCGCCGGAAGACTTCTATCTATCTGATTGTTGTAATCGACACGATGATCGGAAACAATGCCGCCAGAATCAATAAGCGCGACCTTGTTGTGCGATGGATAGGTAACATGCGATGAACTTTGCGAGCCTTTATCCTTCCCCTGGTCTGAATAATCCACTTGGAAAGATCGCAAAGTCGTAGATGATGAATTCGTGGTCACTGTCGCACAATCGAGGCGAGTGTCCAACAAATTCTGAGAGCTGTCAGTGGTTTCGATGCGCGAAACGACTGATGTAGAATTCGGATTCTGAGTTGTCGTCATGGCGTCCTTGTATACAGATAAGCTCGGTGTTTGTTGCGACGTTCCCACGCTATTATTTACCGTCGAATAGTTTGGCAAAAAGTTTGGCGCTCCGGAATATGCTATGTCAGAATTACGATTCGTTGTTTCTTGGGTCACGCAATTCATAATATCGCTTTTATCCGTAGATGCAGAAATGTTCACTTGAGAAGTTTGAGATGAGACGACATTGACGTTATTCAGCGCGTTCGTTGTCATCAGTTGACTCGAGCGACTTTGACTTGCTGCTAAACTTGAAGAGATGCACGAGGAATCCACAGCGGAGAAACTAACTGAGGAATGAGAAAAAAATGCATTGGTAGTTGTCACAGGTTTTTCCAAACTCGATGTTAAGACAGTTTGAACTATTTTATACGGTTCCCGCAATGTCTCCTCGCTCATCACTTTTGGTAATGATTTTGTCGTGGAGCACTCTACAGGAGCAATTATGCCTGTGTTCGTCGATGCGACTGATTTTTCTTCGCAAGACGCCTTTAATCGTTTCTCTGCAATTGCGTGAGACGGAGAGGACGTCTTAATTTTAAAACTATTCGGCTCTATGGTGCCGATTTGTAACAGCATCGGTGGAGTCTGACTGTGATACTTGAAGTCTTCTTTCATCTCCTCATCCAAGACTTCAGTCTTGCCGTTCAAAGACGACACCAACGGAAAAGACATCAAGAACGCTGCTGTAGGCGATATCGATTCCGAATTATGCGAACTAGACGGAACTTGCAACGATGCAAATATATCATTAGATAAATCCGAGTGTAATCCATCAGTTCTGTTACTGATCGGTACAAATGTATTTTCACTGGTATATGATAATGATTTTGACATCTCATCCTTCGAAGTTTTTGTCAATTTAGTCTCATCGTTAATTACATTGCTAGATAGCAACGAAGACGATGACGATGTTGATGATGATATTGATGACGATGATGAAGATATCGGTACCGATGCTACTGCATCGACAACATTCGCACTCGCGTCGGATTTCATAGTTGTCGTAGTATTTGTATCTAAATTTAGAATGATCTTGTTACTATCTGCGGTGCACATTGTGTCACATTGCGTCTGTTGCTTCTCCTTGGCTGTCGTCGCGCGTAAAAGATTATCGAAACGTTTGCCTAAATTGCACTCATTTTTTGATTCATTTGAACCTACAGCCTTTTCCGCCACATCAATATCAGTCAAGGTCGATTTCGCACCTAAATTCTCCGTGTTTTCATCATTCTTCTCCGCTATATTGTCTATCGACATGTTAAAATTGTTGGACGATTGATCGGCCGTATCCGTCTCATGCAATTCGTTGGGAAACTTGTCCGAAACAGTCCGCGACGTCACAGTATCGGTTGTTTCCTTGTCCATATCGAGGCAATTTGTCTCCACGATATTTATCATTTTGTCTGTTTTGGACGTATTTTCATGACTCGCATCATTCGCTACCTCCATAATTGCATCGTTTGATTCCGTAACGCCAGATTCTTTTTCGTTACTCGTAGTCACATGCTTATTTGGGATATCTTCTCCTATTTTCTCTATAACATACTTTAAACTTTCGATAGATTTGCAAGTGATGTTAAAATCTGACGCTTTCGAAATGATCGGTTGAGCGGTATTTATCTCGCTGTTTGTGTTCTTTCGCTTTTTGTCTTCCGGTTCATTTGCTGAATCGGATTCTGCGGATAAAGTGCGTTTAAGAGCGGCTTTTCGCACAGTGGTTACATCTTCTTGAACCTTGATAGTATTTTCTTTCGACGATTTCCTCTCGATATTTTCCTCAATCACTTCCGGCGTATTTAAAACACTTTTAGAGTTTTTGGAGTGATTTTTGCAACTTTTTTTCACTTCCAATTCTTTTTTCGCACTGTCTTTTGGCTTTTCCAGTTTTTCCTTGTGTATCGCCGGAATAGGCATTTTGTAAGTCATGGTCGTCTTTGTAGTATCTTTGCTTTTCGGCAAGATGCCCTTATGCCCACCGATTTTCGTAGCGTTGATTATATTCTTCACATTGGACACCGAACTGTGAGAATCGACAACCATGTTTGCGTGAATAGCCGCCGGTAGAGTGTTCAGAGTGACTTTTTGTACAGTGTTGATCAAAGCGTGATTACATATAGAGACGACAGAATTTTGAACGCGATTTGCCAAAGGCTGCATCACAATCATCTGATTCTGCTGCGTGCTACTGAGTATAATTGGATTAGTTGGCGCTTGCTGTGTATTTACAATGATATTCGATGTCATCGGAGCTACCAAGGGCATCAACTTTCCATCGGAGAAAATGAGGGTATTGGGAGTTAAATTGGTGACAGTACTGACTGCAGGTGGTAATGCCGCTTTTTTCTTATCTTTACGTTTACTTTTCTTCTTCAACGTTTTTTGGGATTTAATTTTCTTTTCCACTGGAAGGAAAACAATAATCCACATTAACTATTGATAATATTTGTTGAAAGTGTATTAATTTTTTTAAACTCACCACGTTTCTTTTTTGTATTTATTGTATTATCCGTAGCAGTGGCTCCATTAATAGAATCTAAATTAAGACAGAATTGATGAGTTGATGCGCTTATTCAACATCAATACAAGAGAAATTTTATGGAACATTATATACATGCAATTTATTATTCTGCATCTATCTGTACCATTTTGACAATGTTCTGTTTCTTTTGATCCAGTTTCAGCTACTGCTACACTATTCGTATTATCGGAATTATAATTTTTGCTATTGGTGCAATTCACCCGATTCTCCTGATTCTCTATCGAATTACAGACATTCTTATCAACAGCAGTTTCTTCAGACAGCTTTTTCGAAGCTGATGATGTCACAGATTTTCTCTTAGAAGGCACTTTATTTTCCACAGATTTTTCCTTCTTTTTTGTTCCTACAGTTTTTTCTATAAACATCAAGAGTAATATATATATATATATATATATATATATATATATATATATATATATATATAGAGTTGAAAATTTCCAACTATTGCAAACTTTATCATGCAACATACTTACTTTCTTCAATCTTATCAAAATATTTATCTATATCATCAACATTAATTTTGTTGGACCATTTTAAAGGGGATATTTTTTCAAGAGCTGGTTCAGTTGGTATAGAAATTCCTGCTTCTTTGAGAAGAGTAGATAGTAATTGAGTACGAGACATTAGTTGAGTCACGAGCTTTTTCAAACGAATCAATTCTTCCTCTGAAAGATTAAACCGTTATATTATATATAAAGACCATTATATTTAAAGAAATTTCAATGTCATAGCAAATCACAACAAATCACATACTATGTGCCTCAGTTGCACGATTAGAGAACAACTCTTCGGTACGACTATGCAGGTCTTTTATATATTTTGTAGCGTGAATTAGAATGTCGACTTTGTTGAGTTTGCGACCTTCCTGATGGGGCGGTAAAAGATCCGCCAATGTTTTGAAATATGTGTTCATACGTTTTCTTCTGTCTCGCTCCCATGTTTTCGCTTTGCTGCAAAGAGATTTAAATTTAATAAGAAGAAAAACCAATGTGTTGCGAAAGCGCGATTCGTGATACATTCCTTCATCGCGCACAATTGTCATCCGTTCGAAATAAAAGGGTGTTAATTGCGAATAACTCTTTTGCGAGATGACAGGTTGGGGCAGAAGACAAGAGGTTAGCCAGTTTATAAATCCAAACTCACGTGTTCTCTTTTCGTGGCATAATTTATCCGCTTGACATCATCTTATGGAAATAGCCTGCCGCGAAAAATTCCGGTGCGTTACTTGTCCCTGACATTGTGCTACGATTGTGAAAATCGTCTTCGCATCTCCGACATTTCTCGAGACAGGTACTCTCGCAAAACATAAAAACTACGAAACACACAGCTGTGTGAGCCGAGAGTAGAAAGAAACAAAAAGGCAGAGAGACAACGAAATTTGAGTCTATTAAAGATCAATGTCGGTAACTTGAAAACAACGGAATCTACTTTATGGACAGTGATAATGTCATCGTACTTAGTAGTTTGACAAATGAACGCGGATTTAAACAGTGCGCCTCGCGCTCTCAATCGTTAGAAATATCGATACGACTATCTTTCTTTTTTCTCTCTTTTCTGGCCAATGGCGTGTCAAGAGGGCGCGAAATTGTTTCTTTTTCCAACTTTATTTCGCGCAATTTTACATCATCGTTCTGTCGGCTCTTGTTCAAATAATCGAGCGCGTATCTCATTTTTCACGAGCTGGGTGATCAAACATGATTGGAGATATTTTTAAAAGTGTGGGATAAAGCTATTTCCTGATCCTTCTCTCGACCTTCGACGAATCGAGGGAAATCAAAGATCCGACAATTTGCGTAAACCACCTTCGGAGATGGCACGAATGACGTGATCTCTCATAAAAAAGGATGCAAGGGAGAGAGGTACTTTTCACGTGGATTATTCATGGATCGCGTGTCGACCAATTAAGATGTAAATTTTCCAGAGAATGCGATGCCCTAAGAAACTTGTTTACTTAACTGATATTTAAGATGCAGATGTGTTTCTTTTTTTAAGTGACATTTAAGACGCGGATATTCCTGGCTGCGAATACACGTATGTATATAATAGATTCCTATTACGATCTAATTAATATACAACGCTTTGAAATATGCAGAAACATTTATATTGTTTTTAATTTGTACTCATAATTAAATTTTCTGATATAAACAAATTTAACGTATCAAATATTGATATTCTTATATACATCATTTTTATATATTTTATTATTTATATTTTACTCTATATTTAAATATTTCAAAATTTATTATTTTCTATTTAGACATTTTATTATTTATATACATAATAATCACGTAATTTTAATTTTTCTAATATTAACGATTTTAATGTAAAATATCGATATTCTTTTCTCCTTGTTTTTTTCATTCTATATTAAATTATACGAAAGCTAGAAGGAGGGGAGGAATCAATCAAATCGCTATACGTCAATTCCGATATCTGGAGCCGTGGGATCTACTCTCGTAACTTTACTCCCTGCACCTTCGTGCGCGGAAATATTTCTCCTTTTTTCCGCTTCAGCGTCCGAGCAGAAAGTGATCTGAAAAGAATGGAATGCCGCGCATCCTGTCTTGCGCACAAGTGATCTTTCGTCGGCGCGGGCGGCGAAGCGTGGAAGGGATGGATGGAGGGGGAGGGGGGCAGCGAATAATCGGTGCGCGCGTGGTGGGAGGTGGGAGGTGAAACCGTGTTCGCGGGGATCGGCGGCGAAGGGCTCGCTCCTCGCTCGCTCGCTGAAGGAAAACAAGTTCGTCAAAGTTCGCGGAATAACGGCCATACGGTTCTCGTAATAGTCGAGCGAGATCTCGCGGATCTTCCACTCAGTCACTACCTTCCTTCCCTCGCCAATCTGGTACGTTCTTGTTTAATCGTTTGACGTCTGATTGATTCCCGACTCGATTTGACGTACGCGAGAGAAACCGTCGACGGAGAATGTCGAGCGCGGAAAGACGCGAGTGTAGATAGGATTCGCGAACGCAAATACCCGGAGGGCAATCAATTCTGTGTAATTCTGTATGCTTGCGTAGATGTATACATACATGCGTATGTGTCTGTATTGTTCATTGAAACGTCGTCGTTAGCGATCGCCAGCTGAGATCACGACCGACTTTGGGAATCTCGCGTGGCGTTCGAAATCTGAAGTGAAGCGTGATTTATCGGGGACTTTGAGGATTGGCCGATCGAGGTGCTCGCTGTCAGCTCTGCCTGCCTTGCCGCGTGAAAGGAGAGACAGCGCGGAAGTCCAGCAAGGGCACATCGAGCGTATGCTGCAATATCTGGAGTGGACCTTGCGAATGGGGACACGGGTATGTTGCTGAAACACGATAAGAGAGAGAAGGAAATTCGCGTTCGATTCTCCGTACCGTGTTTGTCATCTCGTCTTGTATGTATTATTTGCGTATTTTTATGCTAAAGAGCCTCGCGTTTGTTTGCGACACCGCGTAAAGGTCTTGTTTATTTATTTTTTTTCCGCATAACGGCCGTGTCAAAACCTAAAACTGTTGCGCGGAAATCTTACCGTGGTATATACATATATATCGATTTATGCGAGCATCGCTCGTGCAATCTCGTTTACGCGATTCGCACGCGCTTTCTTTCTCCCTTCCCCCCTACCAAACGCCCACCCACTCCTCCCTTTTACCTCCCTCGCGTTCGAGATTACGCGTTGCGATGATTCCTCAAGTCGATCACGTCGAATCGATTTGTCGTAAACATCATTTGTCGCTCCATGATCGCGGAAGTGTGCAACTGTCAATATCTTTGCTTTGTTATCAGCAGGTTGACGTATGAATGTAGTCACAGGGACACGCGCCTCGTTCGTAAATATTTCGGACAAGATGTCAACGACCACCGATGTCAGTGACTTGGTGGATGTCCCCAAGGAAGGAACGCCAATCTTTTTGCAAACGCGCGCGGCCCAAGTCATCGCTGGTATATTCGTGTGGATAGCGCTTTTCCTTACTTGCCAACAGGTATCTGTCATCGATAGAATTCGACATCTTCTTTTGTAACCAATATCATACTTACCTTCTTTCTGTCGTTTGTAGATTTATCAGCATCTAAGGTGGTACACAAATCCCACCGAGCAGAGATGGATAGTGCGAATTCTCTTCATCGTGCCCATCTATGCCATATATTCCTGGGTCTCGCTACTGTTCTTCAACAGCGAAAGCTACTATGTTTATTTCTTCACGGTGCGAGATTGTTACGAGGCGTTTGTTATATATAACTTTCTATCGCTGTGCTACGAGTACCTAGGTGGTGAAGGCAACATTATGTCAGAAATTAGAGGCAAACCGATACGTTCCAATTGTCTCTATGGCACTTGTTGTCTCGTCGGCAAGACATACACCATCGGCTTTCTGAGATTCTGCAAACAAGCCACCCTACAGTTTTGCTTAATTAAACCGGTGATGGCGTTTGTCATTATATTTTTGCAAGCCTTTGGCCATTACAGAGACGGAGATTGGTCCCCTGATGGTGGTTATATTTACATCACTATAATTTATAACATCAGTGTATCACTTGCGCTTTATGGGCTATTTCTATTTTATTTCGCTACAAGAGACCTGCTGACACCGTTTGAGCCAGTGCTCAAGTTTTGCACGGTGAAGAGTGTAATTTTCCTGTCATTCTGGCAAGGTAATGTTGTTGAAAAATTTTACTTGTTTTATGAAGAAAAAAATAAACACACGGATATGTATCAAATATAAATAACAATCTAAGAAAAATTTTTCTTCATACAGGTGTTTTACTAGCTATTTTGGAAAAAGCAAATGTTATTTCACCCGTTATAAATAGTTTGGGTCAGTCGACAAGCGCTGGTACAGTCTCTGCTGGCTACCAAAATTTCCTGATTTGTATCGAAATGCTATTTGCTGCTATAGCTTTACGTTACGCATTCCCGTATCAAATATACGCAGCTGGCTGTGTTACTGATTCCAGGGGTAGAAGCGTAACGATGCAAAGTATCAGTAGTAGTCTAAAGGTACATATGAAATATATTTCTCAATCTTTTACATGGAAATATAACTTTTTTTATGATGACCTGATATATATACTACTGTCAATTTTGCAGGAAACGATGAATCCAAAAGATATTATGACCGATGCCATCCATAATTTCCATCCACAATATCAACAGTATACGCAATATAGTGCCGGTATGTATATAATTTTTATATTACAACTTTAGTTTTTCATACATATATGACTTTAGTTTCTTTTTTATGTATTAATGTGCATAATTATTTAGTATATGTATACATATATATATTTATTTATTTTTATCATGTCAATATTATATACATTTATAAATTGCTCAATCTTCGTATAGCATGACAGTATGTAATAAAATTGACTTATAAGTTTTTATATCTCATACCAAAGATTATTTTTTCTCATACATTGACAAAAAAATTTTAATTAAAAATTTATATTATAAAAGCACAATTACTGAATGTTCTAATTATAGAGCAAGATTATTTGGTATATAATGCTAATAATACATAATTATGCAAGATATTTTCGAGGTTGCAAATGCTTGAATTACACACACGCTTTAGCTTTTGTATATAATTTATATTTCACTTTTATCCAACTCTCTGACACTTGACTGCTGGTCGATGCGGGTACTAATTGGCGAATATATTATTAATATAATATTCACTCGCACATTTATGTAATTTTTTTACACAAGCAAGTTTAAAATCACAAATAGTATAGAATATCACTTTCAAAAATGTTTGTCGTTTTACTTAAATAGAAAAGATTATACAAGTTTTCCCTATGTGCCAGTTAATTAGATTCAGCAATTACTTTGAAGGCACTTTTGTTTGATATTTTTCAGACGTTAATACCAACTTGCCGTACGAAAAGATATGACACAATGAGGCGTCACTTTTTTAATTTCAAGAAATTGGACATCGAGCTTTGCGCGCGACTTTAAGTGAAGATTGAAAGATATTCGATACAGCACTATACTTTACTTATGGGATTACACAATCTCTTAAAAATTGTCCATAAGGGGTTGATCAATGAATTCTCTACTGAAATTATAAAATAAGGGTTGTACTTAAACTATCATTGATATAATACGTATTACATGCATATATGACTCATTTATATTTTATATAGATTAATAAATATCTATTAAAGTAGAAATTAAGCGCTTGATATAAGAGCATTTATATATATATAAGAAAGAGAAAAGAGAAAGAAAGAATAAAAAGAGAGAGATATTGTACTTTTATAGTATTGCTCTATAATAAATGTAAAAGATGTTTAGGCTTTGGTTGATGTTTATTTTTTTTTGTTTTCTTTTTTTTTCTTTTTCGAACATTGTAACTCTGTCACAACTTTAATATTAATTTTATTGCTTTTATTTTATATTTCTATCACATGGTATGTAGCATGCGAATGTACAATGTGAAGCGGCTGAGCATGCAAGCACATTATGTCCTCTTCCCAAGATATGTACACCTATAATGATAAAATTATCACGGTCCTAGCTGCTTCTTGCGGTTGTTTTATTTCTTATTTCGATAATTTGCATGATTTGTTAATATTGCAATTTTATCATATTAATATATTTCTTTTTGCACTCGTCGCGTCAAATTGTTGCTCTGATAAAGCCTTTCGAGCAGCTTGTCCTCGCTATACGTTATCGATGCAATTTGTATTTGCGCTACTTAAATTTTCTCGTACGAAGCATCATTTTTATGTAGAAAAATTGGCATAGTTTCACCGAGTTTAGAATTGAATATTTGCAAATAAATAAACTTATTATAGAATATTAGCTTAATTAAAATGAGGAAATTATGCTGATTTCAATTCTTGATTTCGCAAGTATAAAGCAAGATCGTTAACGAAATATGTAAATGTGACATTTCGGCGAGAATACCGTCCGCTAGATTTTATCATAATTTTACTGTTAAAATTTAAAAGAGGAAAGTGTACTACTACACGGCAGTTTATATTTACGTGTGACAAATTAGCCAATTTTAGCGCATTATATCGGTCTCTCCGAAATCGACGCATATTTTATGTATTTCTCAATCGTATAATGTATAACGTGATGAAACAATTAGGAGGCCCGAAAGGACAACGTGGTATGCGAGTATCCAGCTTCGATCCGGACGATCCGCAAAATATGCCGGTACCACCGCCGCAAAGGCGAAACGCTTCTCATCAGCGCGTCGCCACGATTTCGCAAAACTATAACGAGAAAACAATGTTGCTGAGTAGCGACGATGAATTTCAATAAGGCATATGTGATTTAAGTTCGACTCTCGTACCAATCAACGTTGCATTACAATGCGCGGGACTTCCATAAACTTTTAGAGAATCTGCTTTTGGAGAAGAAGAAAAAAAGGATATGCTTTAAGCGAAGCGAATTTAATCAAGTAGGAACGTAAGGTTTACAGAAAACAAACGGGCTGAGATTAAAAAAAAAAAAAAAAGAGGAGACGAAAGAATAAAAAAAAATTAAAATCGCGCGGGGATGTAAGAACGTATTACGCCGCACACAGTAATAGAGTTCCATAATGTTACATCCATGTTAATATATGTATTATGTTATGACATATGAGTAAATGGTATATAGAAGATATTTATTTTACTATGCTGATGTATCTGAGGCAATGTGTTATCTATATACCTGTGGCTCTATACTACGATACTGTAAAGGATATATTATCTGCACGATAAAACTTACATCTTGTGAATAAGCAAATGTAATTGTGTATAGTACTTAATTTTATGTAAAATCACATTTTTTCATTATAATTGTTCATGATACATCTATATGTAAGTGTCGACGCTTCTTTATACTTTTGTATCCTTTTTTTTATTTACGTAATGCGTTTAACAAATTTTGACTTTTTTGTAATCTCGCATTTGTACAAGAAGCCTCGAGCCACACAAAAATCTTTGCGTCCTTGTCCTGTGAAATTCCTTTTTTGATCTTACGATATTCTCGTACGTGTATATATCATTAAAATAGATTATATCTAAAAATGCAAAAAAGTTGACGAGTTTTCTTTCAATGGAAGCCTTTCGAGATACAAGAAAAAGAGATAATAATACTATATGTGAGAGAAAGTGCAAAGACAATTAACGGGTATCGTATCGAGCATGAATAAACATTTGGTATTTGGTGTCTTAAATGTGTACACAAATTGTGTATAATCCTTATATTTTTTTTAAAGAATAACAGACGATCAAAGTTAAGAAACAAAAATCTATTTTATACCAAAAACACTGTGTCGAAAAGATTTTGTCGCCGCTTAAAAAGAAAGAGAACAAGTAAATCTGTGAAGAAATTTTATCGTCTTATTACATCTTGTAATAAAGATGAAAGACAATTATATGAATACAACATTATTTATTTACAAGTAACACATTTGTTAATAATAATACCTCACTTGTAGAAAATATACATATATAGATATATATATATATAAGCAATTTTTTTAATTATACAATAATAATCTGTCAATGTTTTCTTAAAAATATGTTAGTCAACTCGAATATCGTATTATTATTGTTAGAAAAATAATTTAAAATGTTATCAACAGCCTTCAATTTTTGGCAAAAAAGAAGAATAAAGATACAAAATATTGTACACACGTTTGGATGAAACATGTTCATTTTTCTGATTGCAGTGAAGAAGCATTTATACAACAACAATTTACAACTACTACCAGCCGATCCAATACGATCGATTGTTCGCCACAATCTTTTTCCAACCGTGCCACGGAGATTCCAAGTTTTCCGGAAACACATTGTTCTTTGATCGTACTTTCGATTTCATCATGTTTGCCGATGCTTTATCGTTATCCTCCTCCTCGTCTTCCTCCTCGTCTTCCTCCTCCTGCTCCTCCTCCTCCTCTTCTTCTTCTTCTTCTTCTTCCTCCTCCTCCTCCTCCTCCTCCTCTTCCTCGATATCTCGATATTGCAATTCATCATCCATGTAAATGACCGCATTATCGTCTTCACTGGCGTACTTGTCGTATCTCTCGGCAACATCTCGCTTCGTTACTTTGCTCGTAGTCACGAAGGTAGGATTTTGGTCAAGCTCGGAATCGTACGCGACAATTTCAAGCGGGGACCTTGGTTCAATAATAGGCTTGAAGCCGATCGACCTGAGCCGTGCGATTCGCAAATCAGTGTCAAACGCGTTCGTCACAGGCACAAAGGCCGACGTTCTATCCTGGGAGAAATCCGTCTGTTCTTCGTTGCGCTTCACGTTATTCTTCTTTGCAGAAGCAGCAAGTCGTGCTGTTTGACAAATTTGGAATACTCGATCGTTGTCTGTTGCATCGCATATAGATTCCGATCTCATCATCTTCTTGTATTTGTCCAACTCCATCTTCAAGATAGCCTTTTGATCGTTCAGCTGTCCGATAACAAAGACCTCTGGGTTCTCGGAGACGAGTTTGCATTGCGTCGTCGCGTCCATTGTTCTGGGTTTCTGAGCCTGTTTCTTATGAAAATAGTGTAAGAGTGGCGTTTGAGCAGCGCGATGCGATAAAGGGATCGTCAGTTTCTTTCGAAGGCCTCTGTCGAAGGAAGCCTTGGAGATGTTACGATCATCGTCGCCAACCGTTGCAACTCTATTCTCCTTCCTTTTGCTGACATTATTACGATTGTAATCTTTATTCGCACTATCGTTGTTGGCGGCAGCCTCGAAATTTTTCTGCTTTTCGGTCGTATCGTTCATATCTTTAACATTTGTATGCAAAGCGTCAGATATCCTATCTCTGCTCTTAGCTTGTCCATCACTGGTACGTTTTACCTTAGTCAATTTGCTCTTTCGTTTAAAGCTAGACTTGCATCGTTTGCTAGGCGAATAAATCACGGTATTGAAAGTGCTACAACATCTCTTGTTTGCGTACGTAGTGTTTTTGCATCGTAATCTCCTATTTCTTGGTCCGCGAGTTATAGGACTAAAATTGGCGTCTATCGACAAGTTGGCGATTTCTCTATCTCGTTTCTTATATCTGCTCTTTTTAGTCGACGAATCGGAAAACTTTTGTTTCATCGAGCCCATCGCGCCTTTATCGGTCCTAAGACGAGTCTTTATGTCATACGAACTACGAGTATGTTGGGCGATAGTCTGAAGCGAAGCTTGTACGCGAAACGGTGATAAATACTCGTTGCTCTTCTTGGGTATATCGCTCTTCCTTGTATTATTGTTACATTTCTGATTTGCATCGTTGCATGATTGGCGATCCACGCTAGGTAAAGTCTTGTCAAATTTTCCCGCATCCGATTGCACCTTCCAAGATAATCTCTTGGATTTGGAATATTTACAGTATCTTCTGTTGTCCAGACACGCGACATTTTCTTTTATATTATCTCCTTTTTTGCGTCTTTTCTTAAGATTTACCTTTGACGATATATGCATCTTGCTCTTGGAATCCAAGTTTATCTTTGATTCATCCAACATTGCACATTCTTCACTAGTTATTCCTATCACATTTCCAATCAATAACTTGGATAGAGGATGATGCTTCTCCTTATTAATCAAGTTCAAGATCTTATCTGGTGTCAAAGAATCCAAGGATTTTATGTTTTGCGCGCAAAGCGATTCATTCGATATATCCAAAATATCATGGTGTTTGGAAACTTTTTCGTGCATTGTGATCAAGTTCCTCGAAATTGATTCGTCTAGGGGGGGACTAGGGTTTGACATCTGTATATCCAATTCATTACTGGAATTTAAATTTGGTGAATCTAAATATTGCTGAATATTTTCAAGTTGTTCTTTATGCTCGATAACGTTTGCATCATTTTCGAGACTATTTAGCGATGTAGACAAGACGGAGGAATGCAAATGTTCCGAGTTTAAAATTTGCAAATTTTTGCGTTTCTTCAATGGGCAAATAATTTCGTTTGCGTTCTCAGTCACGATATATCCATTACAAGATACATTTTCATTTAGTTGAGGACTATTCAGCGGTTTATCCGCATCTAGCCTCGTGAAGAGTTTATTATCCTCTTTCGATGTCAAACGAATGTTCTCCATATCCAATGCCGTACGAATAGCGATATCGATCGACTTGGACGGCTTGTGCAACATTGTCGAAACATTCTTCTTTGCGTCTTGAGCGTTATGCGACGATTCGTATAAACCCATGCGTATCGAGATATTTGTACTGTGAGTTTTAGCAGCTGACGTACCCATGCACGTTAATGTCTTTTGATCGGATAGGATGGTCGACGTTGTGTTTTCCGCATTACTCGGTTGTTTCTTAAAAACATGACGCGTGACGATAAAACTTTCAGGTACAGATTTTCGACCGATATCTACAAACGAAGCCATTTTCGCAACTGATAAATCATCTCTGTGGCTGAGTTTTCGCTTGCCGCAAATACCGCTAATGTTATACGAACATTTTCTCAAATCATACGCATTCGAGTGGTTTGATTTCGATAACGGATCGCATTGTCGCGCGGAAATTAAATCTTCCGAGTTTGATTTGTTCCAGCTTGGCGGGTCTTGGTCGGCCAAACGCATTAGAGCAAACTTATTGTACTTGGTTCCATTCGAAGCTACGCCTATCCAACAGCCTATAACTATATAGAGTCCGTCATATCTATAACCTGTGTTTGGCGCGATGTCGTCTTGCAGACTGTAGCTTCTGATTAATCTTAACGGTATCTGATTCTTGTAGTTGCGAATGAAGGGATCGGCGCCAGGTTGCTCCTCGCGATACATCTGACCTGTGAGCGTGAGAAAATCACCAAGATCCACATCCTCGTTCATATTGGTATGAGAAGTGCAAACTGAAACAACACCAAACGATCCTTCGTGTACGTCGGCATCAAACGGATCGTGCATATGATCCCTAGAGCAGTCCATGCGTATGCCCCACCAAGATCCAGGTGGAAAACCCAGAACTGGACCGTACCAACATTTTGCAGTAACCTAAACAAAGTACACGAATCTATATCGTTATGTATTTCGTTGCAAAGATCGATGAGAACAATTATACTCACGCTCGTACTGTAACATGGCAGGTTAAACTTTTCTGACGTTTTCACCAAGTTTGTCCCCACAGTCTGATTGAGTTTGCTAAACAATTTGTTCAGGTCCTGCCTAGCTCGGTTCTTTCCCTAAAAGACGAATCGATATATGTCAAATAACATTAATAAGTATATGTAAAATTCGCAAACATTCGTCTACAATAACATAAACACAATAGATCGAACGGTACCCTACGGACACTAGATATGCTTTCTCGATTCCTAGAGTTCAGTATAGATAAAATTACCTTATGGGGCAATACCTGATTCTTAATTCGCGCCTCGAGCAGCCTCTTCTTGTTCTCCTGAATGATATTCGCGCACACGATCCTCGATACGTCATTACTCGCCCTCGCCATTTTACAAACGGCAAAAAGATGCAGCGCGTACGCCAAGATGCGTTCCACAATCGGGACAATCCGTTCTCCATTCGGACGGAGAGTCCGTCCCGCGAATGCAAATGGCCGCTGCGGTTGTTTCGTCGATCGCTCGCGCGATAACTTTGTGATGTAAACACACGACTAAATTAAGTTTGTTCATTTTAGCTGCACTTTCCACGCACCCTCGTTCAATGTCAAAGTATGATACATACGTATGTATATCTATATATATTTTATTTTAAATGCAAAATAAAGTGCAAGAACAAATTTCTCGTGCATTGAAGTATCGCGACGAAGCAGTTGCAGCAGGGTATCAGAAAAAATGTTGAAAAATTGCTCGATTCGGAATATTAGATTTGTTTCTGCCTCTCGTAGTTGACTTTCGCGTTCTCTTCTACCTTAAAATGATGTACGTATCTAGATTATCTTGGGAAGAAAAGGAGAGATGGAAACAAAAATGGAGAGATTTATTCGCACGAATGAATCTAGGTAACCGTAAACGTGTAAATGCTCGGACACTAATACAGGACAGCGTCGCGAATGCCTTTGAAGCTCAGATAGCTACTTCCGGGTCAAAGTAGTCGACATCGCATGCAGATGTATTCGTACACGAGGGCCATCAATTTTGACAATTTCGTTCAACGAAATTTTCGATAGTTTGACAGCTGCTTGATTGAAAATGCGAGATTAACGGAACGTAACGTAATCTTCCGCTTCGCGTTCCCTGGCTGACGATAACGCGCGATAACATTGCCAATTCTTCTCGGAAGCAACAGTCACGAACGCGCGAATAGATCTAGATGCGACGCGTTCGATCGGAAAGTCGAGGCGCAAAACTGCCGTTGCAAAGTCGAATATAAATGAACGAAGAGCAAATAAATAAATAATAACGAAGGAATAATTGGAAACGAGCGATGGCGAAACGATAAAGTTGCGAGTCGAGGTGGAAAAGTTGGGAAAAGATTGGAAACGGGGCTTGCTTTCGGGGACTCAGGGAACGGAGCGCGATTGGAAACGGCGGCCTTTGGATTCTCAGGCGATTCGACTCGAGGAGGCTCGACTGGCCTCGCGGCCGCGAGATGGCGTACGACATGCGACGCTGCTTTTGACGTTCGCGGACGAGTTTTTTTTTGGTTGGCCGTCCTTTGAGAGCGCGAGGAAGCGATATCGGGCGATCTCGGCGCTGAATCAAGACGCGGACGATCGAGAATGTTCAGGGAGGCGGTTGCCGCGACGCGAGCCGTTCGACTAATCGGTATTTCGATTTCGAGTACGTAGTACTTGGCCCGAGGCGCGCACGAGGTCCCGCGATTGGCCAGTTTACGAAAACGACGATGGCTCCGTGAGGTGAGGAGAGAACATGGCTGCGACGCAAGCCGAGAGCCAACAAAACGATGTGAAGCTGAACGAGTCTGTGAAATGCGCACAGAAGCGTACGCAAGTAGGTGGTGCGAATAGTGCGAGTGCCAGTGCGAAGCAGCAGCTGGATTCTGAGTCGGACGATAAAGTGTCCCGGGGCGCGGCCCAGCTGCTTAAATATGTGAATCGCGGCGGCGGCGGCGGGGACACGACGACGGGCTACGAGATGAGTCAATACCGCGAGGACATTGGCGGACACGGTGCCGCCGGTGTCGGTGTCGGTGTCGGTGAGGTCAAGTCGCCGCGCGAGGCGCCCCAGGAGCCCGTCGGCAAACAGGAGGCGCACGACGCGCCCGGCCATCCCGGCGCCCACCCGGGACATCCGTTCGCGCCAAACGTTAACGTTATGCGCGACTACGCCGACGAATACAGCAACAACAAATCTGCCAGCGAGGCCTTCGCCGCGACCAAATCGCTCGCGGCCGCGGCCGCGGCCGACTATCCGCCCGGCAAGCAGCTACCGGAGTACGTCACCAAGCACGCGGACTTTCCCGGCAAGCAGCTCGATTATGGTAAACACTTGATGCACGAGAGCGAGCGGGCGCACCGGGCCGAGATGGAGGAGCACTATCCCGGCTCCAAGATCGAGTCGCGCCTCGCCTACGCCAGCCCAGGAAACTTCTCCGGCCAGCCGAGGAGTCCGTTTCTCTCCGGACAGGGTATGTCCCCGACCGCTGGTCCCACCCCGACGTTGAATCAGTTGCTGCAGGCCTCCACTCCGTCGATGCATCGGTTTCACGGCAATTATCCCGGAATGGGCTCCGAGCCGTATCAGCAACCGTGGCCTATGCAGAGGCCACCGGTCGTGCCACCGGTGTATCCGCAACCTAGCCAGCGTCCTCCGCAAACGGTAAATTTACGCCTTTTCGCGCGACCGACCAGTCGTGGTCAAACCTAGCTCTAGTCTTCTTTGCGAGTCTTTGCTCTCCCCAAACACGTAGCACGTGAGTCTAATTCGACTGTCTGCTTCCCAAATTGACAGGGTTCGCCGAGATTGCACGCGGGCCCAGGAGGACAGAGCTCTCCGACATCTATGCAGTATCAACAATATGCCCAACGATATTCCTCTCCTACGAGACCTCACGCACCTTATAGTCATCATCAGGTAAACCGTTTTATCGAATCTAATTGGTGACTTTTAATTTAAAAATACTAAAAAATATTAAAATAAGTTGCTGCTTTTACGAGATGTTTGACATACGTATATATATATATATATTTTCTTTTTTAGCTAAACTCTTATACGACGCAAACCAGTCATCCCTCAAGCTTATACACGGAACAAAGGGGATGGAATCAAGGTGGTCCGCCAAATCCACCTCCACCACCGAGTAATCAGGTCACTCCATCCGGTCAATCGCCGCAACGAGCTCTGTCTCAGTCCCCGGCTCCACCACCAGCTGCATCGCCACAACCACAAGCTACCGGTCAATCTCAGGTGAATGTTGCTAAAATTTATATAATTCGAAGTCATCGATACACCCTCTATGTCTAATTTCATTGGAAATGTTACCAAAATTTTAGATAATTATTAACGTACACCACATTCTACGACAAATAATTACATGTGATAATTTAAATGTAAAAAATGGTGTATTTGTGAAAATAATGTATTTCTTTATAAAATCAAGAAAAATATCTTGATGTGAATTATCTGTTGCAAGTAAACTTGATTTAATAATTGTTGACACGAAACAATATTTGCCTAATAGATTTTTTAATCACTACATACAAATATTTTATAATGCAAATATATATTAATGATATATATGAATTATGGAAATGTTAATGTATGCACATATATGCGTAGACGTTTCATATCAACAAATCTAATCTCTTGTTGCGTTTTATTATACAAATTTATAATGCAACACGAATTTTATAAAGTTTATTCGAAATGTGTATTTAAGAAAGCACATATGTATGACAAAGACAGAGAGGAAAAAGTAATTGATTTGTTAATAATTTGCAAGAGAGGAGTTATTTTAAAATTAAAAAAAAGAACCACGATGACATGACTTAATATTAAGAATCTATATGCTTGTTAGAATATTTTCATAATGTAACAATAAATAAATTTACAACATGGCGTTTTTTTTTTAGGCTTTCCACAATCTGCAACAGCGAGCTACGACACCAAATACTCAAGGAATTGATTCTGGGGTGAGTTTTTGTATATGTATATATATATATATATATATATATGTACGTACATGTTTTTAAAAATAATTTTATTTCAATGCTAAAGAAACAAGTGCCATCGACACTACATTTAAAGCGCCTCTTTCTCAAGGTTCAAATACGCGTGCAGTAAAAAAGCTTAAAGTACCGAGAACGTGGCAAACAAGTTTTTGCCGGCAATTGCATAATCCCCGTCATGACAAGAATGAAATCGCGTCACAGGAAACTCGTATACGACTCGAATCTATTCTATTCCTCCATCGCAGAAGCGATTCTACACTGATGCGAAATTTAATACCGCATATATCTAAGTTACATGCACGTGCGTGTATGTGTGTGTGTGTGCCTGTACATCGTCCGTTTAACGTAAGGACGCCAATCTCCTGCGACGGAATCATTTAATGACGGGACCAATGATCGATCATCGACCAGTTCTCTGTCTTATGAAATATCATTTGATTTTTGACACGGTATCTCGACGCAGACCCTCGGCCAAGTATCTCCCCGACGAAAAGAGCAAGCGAGAGTGAGCGAAAGGGATGCCTCTCGCTTCGCAGCGCGCGAGGATTAGGTTGCGAGGAGAAGTGACAACGAAGGAGGAGGAGGAGGAGGAAGGGGGAGGATGAGCAAGGAGCGGAAGAGCGCGAGGGGAGGAAGAGTAGCACGACGGTGGGGGACGGAGAGTAGCGGCGACTCGTGGAGTTCGATTAGGGCGCGAGTTGCGCGGCCGCCGGAGCCCCAGATATTAGCGGCTTCCCCTCCGTTCTCCCGCTCCTATCCCTCGCCCCGGGTTTCCCTCCTCCTCCCCCTCCCGGTCCCCCACCACTTCGTCGCGTTTACATGGGCGGGTGAGCGAAAGAACCGAGCGGGATACGACGCAAGGGCGAGCGCGATTGGTCGAAATCGACGACAGCGACAGCCGTGGGTAATCCCTCCTCTCTTTCTCTCTCTCCCTCCCTCCCTCCCCCTCCCGCCCCCCTTTCCTCCCCCTCGTGAAAGACGTGACGTTTTGCGTCGTGCTCGGCTATATTCGGTTCGCCGGATCATGCGACTGTCACTCTGCGACACGCTATCGAACTTCTTGCGCTCCCACGGCGCGGTTTCGAGGCGTCGAACTAGTAATTGAAATGTATCTACCACGCGGATATATCAAGGAAGGAGCGAAAGGAAGCGATATTATTGCAGGATTATCGCTGCGTCCGCACCCCGATGAAGAGTTTTCGGACGCCCGTGGCTGTCGCGGCAACGGAAGCCATCCCCTGGTTCTTTCTCTCTCTCTCTCTCTCGGAGCGAGAGCGTCGCGAGAGAGATACTCTCCTCGAAATAATATTCCGCGCGTTGCGTTCCAAGGGGAATAGAACGATCGTCGGCTCGATCGTCAGGGTGGCGGGAGCTCGCGATCTTTAAGTTAATCGCGCGAATCGTTCGCGGAGTACATGCGCTCTCGGCGGGTGCCCGCCATGTTACTTTTAGCGCGACTCGATTCCCCAGCTCGTTGTGCAACGAGGAAAAGGATTTTTCTTTCTCGCGAGCGAAATTCAAATTTGCAGCCCAAATAAACCCGGGGAATTTTTACTCGAGAGATGAAAAATTGCGCTTCATTCCCACTATTAATTTTGTACACATCTTTCGATAAAATTGTAGGGATGGAAAAATAGACATATATATTTTATTTTTTTTTTTTTAGTTTTCGATGTTTGTTATGAAAAAAAAACCATAAGCTTTGCGAAACGACGTTAGCGGCGGGAAGGGACGCATTTTTCCCCGTGGAAAAATTCCTCTCCGTTTCTCTTCAAAGTTAGAAGACTGTCGCGAGGAAAGGGACTGAATTCGTAAGGAAAGGGAGTAAAGTTTGGAAAAATTGTTCTCGATGGCATAAAAACGGCCATAAACGGTAGATGCTTTATGTACGGTCACGGTGTGTGGTATACGGTCAATAAACGTCAATGTGCATCGAGTAGCGGAGCTCCAACTCGCGACGCGTAAAACTAATCCGTGAACGAGTAGTAGCAGACGATCCAATGTAAACACGTCTGATGGGAACACATGGTATTTAGTCTGCTACAGGTGATCTTTGAGCGGGTTGTAATCTTCGGGTTCGATCTTGCGTTTCGTAAGCAAATAGGAAGAAAAAAAAGACTGTTTACGCTAATCACATGTATCGCGAACAAGGATAAGAATCTCCCAAACGGAATTTAAAAGGAAATTATCGCGCCTTCGATAACCGACTTCGATATCGGCTCTTGATGTACGCTACTCTTCTCTCTCCCTCTCTCTCTCTCTCTCTCTCTCTCTCGATAGAGTTGAATGAACCTCGAGGATTCAGTTATTGTCGCAGTTGACGGGATAATAACATTACGGCGACTGGCAGATAAAAATAATGTTACGTAACCTTTGCGATTCGCGCTCCTCCCTCGCGAGAGAGAACACGGGTAAATAGCCGTGTACCCCCTCGCGCCCCCCGTTATTTACGTTTTCATTCACGCACATCTCGCTCAGCGGGCCGAGAAAGAGAGATACCGATCGGGACCTCTTTCTAACACGCACACTCGCGCACTCGTTACATATCGCTCAAGTTCAGCGCGCGTATCGAACGGATTAACTTTAGTCATCCGATAACGTAAACATTCCCGCGGATGCCGTGGACTTTTTGTGACAATGGATTTGTGTGAATCAAACGCTTTTGGTTCACTTGGACTCGGATCGATTTTCGTTTTTGAAATATTTCGTACAAATATATAAAATAATTTGGAAATCGGATGTAAAATAACGAGCTAAAAAATTCGTGGAAATTGTATATTATTCTTGCATTTCGTTTTTGGTTGAATTTTTAGAGAATCATATTTTCCAAAGATTCAATGCTACTTTTGACAGTTATTTGGAAAAGCCACGTGCGGGGTAAAAAAATTTGAAAAAATTCACGGAAATTGTATATTATTCTTGCATTTCGTTTTTGGTTGAATTTTTAAAGAATCATATTTTTCAAAAGATTCAATGTATACTTTTGACAGTTACTTGGAAAAGCCACGTGCGAGTAAAAAAACGCTTTTGATTCACTTGGACTCGAATCGATTTTCGTTCTTTGAAATGTTTCGTACAAATATATAAAATAATTTGGAAATCGGATGTGAAATAACGAGTCAAAAAATTCGCGGAAATTGTATGTTATTCTTGCATTTCGTTTTTGGTTGAATTTTTAGAGAATCATATTTTCAAAAGATTCAATGCTATTTTTGACATAGTTAGATAAGCCACGTGCGGGGCAAAAAAACGCTTTTGATTCGCTTGAACTCGGATCGACCTTTGTTCTTTGAAATGTTTCATACAAATATAATATAATTTGAAAGTCAGATATAAAATAACGGGTCAAAAATTTACGGAAATTCTCAAAAGATTCAATGTTACTTTTGACAGTTACATGGAAAAGCCACGTGCGGGGTAAAAAAATTTGAAAAAAATTTAGGAAGGATTAGAGAACCTTTTTACATTCATCTGGACCGATCGATTTCATCCGAATCGAACGCGCTAAAAACGGAATAAGAGCTTTCGCTTTTCGTCCTAAAAAACAAGAGCAGTGAATTTCCATATTTTTAGCATCAAACGTCCAAATAATATCAAGATTGTCATATTACAGACTCGAAAATAACTGCATATATTTAGCGTTATAAATATCGCCTGTTACTCTTACATAAAAATAGATGAATTTTAACATGTTACATTCCCTTTTGCGAGATCCGCTTTTATTTTATTCGATACTCCAATTTACACGAATGACATTGTATATTTTCCATTTTCACGCGCGCTCGGGAGATTTTGCGCTAGAATATGGAAAACGTTTATTTTGCATAGAACACGACGAGATGGCATATAGACACGAACCCCTCGATGTTCGAGCTTTACTGGGGCACACACGAACACGAATTCGCCGATCGAAAAGCGCCGAAGTCGCGCGACGCTCGCCGATCGCTTGCCGCCAACCACACGAGCGGCTGCGCTCCTACGGGCTCGCACGTACATACGTGTGCGTCCCAACACTCATCCCCGACACGGCGATCTATGTACCGTGCATTCGATGAATTCGCGACAGAGTCGACGACGAGTCGGCGTCCCGCGATCTCTCCGAGGGAAAATGACGAGACGCGAGGACGAGTCAAAATGTATGAAAGGACGATGGAAAATTTCAACGGGGACAAATACGATGGGATCCGAGCGTATATACGTTATACGTCATACGTACATGTACGCGTATATACACGTGTATACGTATATATACGAGAATATCGACTTGGATAGAGTTCCCGAGACACAGTCGGGCTTTTGGGAACGATTCGCTGGCATACGGTCGAAGCTCGGTCGAGGCGGAAACGACCGAGCGGCGCCGAGCGAGCGCTTGCCGCGCCACGAAAGAACGCCCTCCAACAAGCCAGCGACGAGCCGAGCCAGCTAGCTAGACGCGAAATCTGTAAACCGAAGTCTCAACGACGAGGCCGACCCCGATCGAGGAATCTCTCGTCGCCGAACGCGACACGTTCGTTACTGTGCATCGCGCGCCTTTGCATCGCTCGTCGCGGCCCCGAGCGCGGATTATAACCTGTTTGACGCGTGTAGCACGCGCGCACGCACGCACGCACGCACGCACGCACGCACGCACGTAGAGACAGACGGACGATCGAGCAGGCAGGCAAGGCAGGCACACACGCATGCACGCACAGATACGGGGACGAGGACGAGGACGCGCGCGCGAGCGAGAGATATTATACCACTACGTAATCCTACGTGTCCCTCCGAAGTTGCACCAGCCGCGTCCCGTGACACCGAGCTCGTTGGGAGAATTATTGACACGACATGCGACGCTCGAGGAGAGCTAGGACACACGGCGGAAAAGCGACGACGGAATAGGCAGCGTCCGACCCACCAGGAATATAATGCTCTCGTTTGATCGGTACGCCAGCGGCGCACTGGTGCGATAATTCTCGCTCGTGGCAGCGAATATCTTTGACAACATTTTCTCTCTCTCTCTCTCTCTCTCTCTCTCTCTTTCTTTCTTTCTCTCTCTTGCGCGTGCATTACTCCACGCAGTTTGACAAACATGTGAAAGCGCAACTATATACGGAGCAAAATACGTTTCCGCTTCTCTTTCTTACTCGCTCTCTCTCTCTCTTTCTCTCTCTCTCTCTCTCTCTCGCTCTCGCTCTCTCGGTTGCTACTCGTCGTGCTTTAAGTGGAGAGCCGGGTAACGCCTCTCCTTCGATCTCTCGCGTCATGCCGAGAGTCCTTGTACCGGACGGCCTATGTACCGTACGTTCGCTCGTACGCCCGAGGAAGTGTTTAATCGCCATCCGCACGGAGCAGCTATACGCGGCCTGGTAGGTGTAACGATGTGCCTGAATTTTCTTTCGTTCTCCTCGGCCTCGCTCCGCTCCCTTTGCCTCTTTCTCCGTCTCTCTCTCTCTCTCTCTCTTTCTCTCTATCCCTTCCCGTCTAATCTATCCGCTTCTCTCTTTCCTTCCCTCGGGTTCCACATCCATCCTCTTCCGTCTCTTCCGTTCCACTCTCTTTCTCCTACCTATCCCTCCTCAGCGCGCATACACACACACGCGCGCGCGCGCTCGCGCGTATTCACGCACACGCAGCAGCCGCTCGTTGCGATGCTCGTTGTGTGACGGACAGATCCGTAAGAAGTGCGTATACACGCGGGCACATGCATACGCGATTTCGACCGGGGATATACACGGTGTGTGTTGTGTATTTCGTGTATTGTGAATCGAGAACGACGCCGCGTGCCATCGTTGCAACGATGACGACGACGACAACGACGACGATCATCGTCGTATACCACCACCGAGCGTTTCGCCTTCCACCTTCGTTCGCAACACGGGACGTGATAGTGTGACAAGAGCATTTGTGAGCGATATTAACCGCTGCGCGCGCGAATAACACGAGCGACATCGTCGCTGTCATCGTCATCGTCGTCGTCGTTGTTCTCGTTCTCGTCGTAATATCGGCATCGATTGATTTTTCAAACGCACGCGATTATCCGAGCACCGCCCGATGCACAAAGTCACCTTCGTGGCAACGAAGATGAATCGCGTTAAAAGAACTAGCATGACGATGAACATGAAGCGGACTCCTCGTGAGTCTCCCTCGTTTGCGCGCTGAGCAATCGAGAGGTGATCCTTGTGGGTTTTCTCTCGGTAGCTCCTCGTTTTCACACGATTCGAGTGTAGACTACGATTGTAATCTGTCTATATCAAAAAGTGCTTCTCGTTTTCTCTGTATATCGTAATGCATGAATAAATTGTTGCCATAGTCTTATGAGAGTGGATTCTGTTACAAAACAATGACCTACTTTACAAAGCTGCAATTGATATTTACAGATTAATCATGTGCACCAAGTGTGGAATAGTGTAAAAGTTGTATTTCTATAAATTATATATTAGCTGTTTAAACTTGTCATATGTACATAAGTACGCAAGAGACAGTTTACCGTATTTATTGTTGTAGGCTAAACACAGTTAAAGATGCGGTGAAATTCCTACTAAAATTTGCTACACTTTATTTCTGCGATTGACAGTTTCGTGTCACTTCTTTTTTCAATCTCTAAATAATTAATCTTTTTTTCTATCATAAACTATTGTTACATGATTTAATTTGATTTGCAGGAATTATCAGGACAGAATAGTAACGATAGTTCGAATGGACCAGCTTGCCCAGGGACACCGAATTCTCAGGGGATGAGACCTACCCCGTCGCCTACAGGATCCACAGGTTCTCGCTCGATGTCCCCTGCTGTTGGTCGGTCTTTTTTACGTCTGTCTCTCTTTTCACTCGCATTTGTATTTAGTGATAAAATTTATAATTACAGATATTATGCGATGCGGAATGTTCCATATAGATCATAGACGTGTTTCCTTGATTACACATTGCGATAAATTAAGAATCAATTTTTGTCATAGAGTATCTCACTGTTATATCTCACAGTTTTTATTGGAATATTCCGCATAGCATATATTTTAATGTAATACTCGAGAGTAAATTATCTCAGTGTTTTTTCTCAATAGAGTGATATTGAAAAGAAGAAAATTTGGATGTTATTGCAAAAGTTATTTTATATCGTCATTTTTCTCTTCTTTCTATATTACATGTATATATGATATTGCAGAGAGTATTTATTTAAATTATATAAATTTATCCTTGAATGTACAGGCCAACAAAACGTTCAGATGCCTCCACGTCCGTCGAGTAGCCAGTCGGATGGTAGTGGACCAGCACCACGCATGAGTCATTCTCCCATGACCACTCAAGGTATCATTTCCATTCTTTTTCTGGCACTTATTTCTTCTTGTGAAAATTGATTAATTTTCAAGCAGATTCAAGTATTTTAATGCAGATTGTCTCATATTATAAAAATCAATAATAATAGTAAAATTGTCATTGATTTCAGGGGCGTACCAACAACCATTGGGTCCTTCGCCACACATGCACAGCTACAAAATGAACAACACTGGTCCTGGCGTAGTCCAACCGGGACCCGGCTCGACGGCTCTCGGTGGGATCAGCCCAATGGGTGGCGGGATGAGCTATGCAGCTGGTGGAACAGCTGCGGGTCAACCTGGGGGTTATCACGCGCAATCTACGTATCCACCACCGCGTCCTCATATGCAGTTTCCACAAGGATATCCGACACCTGCAAACTCACAACCGCCACCCAATAATCAGTATCAACCCCCCAATAGACCCAATAACTTGGTACAATATCCACCATACACGGTAATAAACAGTTTCTTAATAACATAATAACGATAATGTTTTATATTATTGTACAAGCTAACATTCTTTATTGGTTTGCAGCATAAAATGGGCTTCAACAGTGTACCACCAGGAATGCCACCGAGTCCAGGACCACCGCAGGTTTATGGAGCCGGTGGTGCATCCGCGATGGTGCCGCCAGGTGCTCCAGGTGTGCCCGTCATCGGTAATATGGGACCGCCAGCAAGTTCCATGGGCCCACCACCGCCGTCTCCTAATCATATACCTAGCAACCAACCACCACCGCCTACTAGCTCGGCGGTACCGCACTTACACACTCCAGCGGCCACACCGCCGCTCAATCATGAAGGCAGTCCGATGCCACCGCCAAGTACCACACCAAATTCACATCAAACTGCATCAACACCGACGCCAATCAGCCACAACTCTGCAGATCTCACGGCTGAAACTTCCAACGACAGCGGTATAACTACGACCGCTTCAGGTACGCGAGAATATCTCGAGTTGTATAGTTTTTGTTTTTATCATATCATGCAATGCCAAATAACTAAAAATTGTACGATTACATGTAGGTACGTCAGCTATAAATGTCATATCTACTTCGAGTGGTACTGTGACATCTGTAATAACGACAGGTCCAGATGGCACATCTCTAGATGAAGGTTCACAACAGTCAACGTTATCCAATGCATCAGCTGGTTAGTATTATTTTTCAATTCACATATTTCATATTTTGATCTTTTTTTTTAATTTTGCAAATTTTCATTCATTGTAAGCAATATCGCGAGTACAAATAAATATAATAACTATATAATATATTTTGTAAACAGCTTCTGGTGAAGATCCAACATTTACGCCAAAAGTACGAAAGGAAATGATGGGAGGATACCACAGCCATCCTACAACACCACAGAGTACAGTTCCGTCTCCTGGTGCTGCGAGTATTAATTCGATTCATGAGGAATATTCAGACATGAACAGTCCTGGTTGGCCGCGTACTCCTGCTAGTCCTGTACGTATGATAATATTACCCATGTATTTATTTTATTGTGTTAAATAAGTATAAGTTTATTATGTAGATTTCAGATAAAATTGCAACATAATTATATATAAATTTTCAATATTTTAATATTTTACAGGTATTTAACAGTCATGTGCCTCAAGACCCATACAGATCTAAGGTTATTGTTTTTTTTTACTAAATATTTGTTACATTGTCGAAATCCCTTTTCCATGCTTTAGGCATTTTTATCCTATACTAAAATTTTTCATGCTTGACACATATATAAGACGATATATGTATATATATATATATATTTTCTTATTAATCTGCAAGTATCATGTCATTATCCATAAAAGTTACATGTAATGTATTTAAAACTGTTATTTTAATAGGACATAGAAATAATAGTATAATATATTAATTTTCTTATTACATTTCTAATTTAGAAAAAAACTTTTTAATTTATTTAAATTATCTTTTTTTTTTTTAATTTACAGAGTAATATTTTCTGTGTTACTTGTCAATATTATTTATATTAACTTTTAATTACATATTTTGATCAGATAGAATATTGGAACAATGGAATAAGTTGACTATACTTTTGTAAGATTGCAAAATCTTCTTGATATAGTGCACAATTTAACATACAATAATTATATACAATAATTTTATCATATATAATATTTTATAACAGATTATCAATATTACATAAACTACACAATGTAGAGTTGTCACACACAACTATTTATTAAGACAATTTATTTATTGATACATTTATTTCTTGCACTCAATATTTTACAAATTCTTTGCCAACTTTATTTCTGTTACTTGCATAATAACAGTGTTATTTGCATTACATTTTTTACTAAATGCATGTATCAAATTACTATGCTACATATATTGCTCTATTCATCTTAATTTTTTAAACTTAATATTGTTTAAATTAAATAAGAATGTTTTAATCATGCGTTAAAGGGAAAAATAATTCCTTGTAAACTTTTTAAAAATGCTAATACTTCTTGTTACGATCTGTGGATTTATTTGGTATATGTGTCTCACTAATGGTAATAAAAGATATGTTAACAACTGTTGTCACACAATCATCAAACGAAAAAAAAAAAGATATACAAGTATTGAAAATTATGTTTATGCATGTTAGATAATATGGCTACAATTGGGATTACGTTCGCAGCTTTGCAAGAATTTGCAATAATTGTTTTATATTTTAATATATAGTTGGATCAATAATATACACGAAACATTTCTATTAAATCTATATGTTAGTAACATTTTCATTTAAGATCATGATAAAACATGAAAATTGTGTGCGACTTTCAGAAGCCAGATAGTCTGGCAAAGTTATATGAAATGGATGATTCGATGGAGCGGAGAACCTGGTTGGATAAGCTGGTCAATTTCATGGAAGATCGAAGAACACCCATCACTAGTTGTCCCACCATCTCCAAGAACCCCCTCGATCTATTTCGGCTATATCTCTACGTGAAGGAGAGGGGGGGCTTCATGGAGGTATGCAAGGTGCAGTGTAGTTCCATCTAGCCCTCGGTGTCTTACATAGTTTCTATATTGTTTTTATGTATTTTTGCATTCTTTACATATATGGTTGTTATTCTGTGCACATTGTATTTTTGAGGTGTCTTACGTCGAGTTCCAAGTACTCAACGATTGAAAGTAAATGTTTTGAAGTTAAAATCTCTAAAACATAAATTGTCTAATATATGATAAAGTTTTGATTGACAATTTGTATCAGTTAAAAAATTTTAAATTTAATACTTAAATATATATATATATATATGTATATATATATAGATAATGACTGAATATATGTATATATATAATACCAAAACACCTCAGAACATGCTTCATTTTTATATCTATGTTTAATTGTGCATGATATATGTATAATTTCTATTTTTGCTATTAGTATCCCTTTCTTATATTCTACGTCTATGTCATGAGAAAACAAAAAAAAACAGAAAAGCTTAACATATCTTTTCTTAAAGTAGTCATTCAACAGTCGAATATGGAAACACCCTGATCTACAAACCTTGGTGCTATATGGAATTATTCTAATAGTCACACAGCGAAGATAAACTTTTAATATCGAAATGTAACAATAACGGTAATTCGTTCCGATTGTATATCTCTCGTTTGTTTTTGTTTTATTTTTTTTAAATTTGCATGTATTTAGAAACTGCTAATTTGTACCAATATCATTTTTTTGTTAATTTCTTCAATTTTATTATTATTATTATTTTTAAGATTAATATCTTGAGCTATGGAACATCGGCAATATCTTCCGTATTATATTGTACATTTTTCTTTTTCTTTTGGACATGCAGATCTTTTTTGTCTGTATGTGGGTGTGTGCGTGTATGTGAGATTCAACGTAAAATTGTTCTCGTGTGAGCGTAGTAAGGAACGCGTGTGCGTAATCTTTTTCTGTAGGTGACGAAAAACAAAACATGGAAGGATATAGCCGGCTTGTTGGGCATCGGCGCGAGCAGCAGCGCAGCTTATACATTGCGTAAGCACTATACAAAGCACCTGCTGGCATACGAATGTCATTTTGATCGCGGGGGAGTGGATCCTCAACCCATTATTAATCAAGTCGAAGCGGGGTCGAAGAAGAAGGGATCCAAGGGAACTGCTTCCGTACCATCGCCGGGTAAAAACTACTCTCTTTTTTTTCGAAATTTCCTTGTTTGTTCCAAAAGAATCTGTAAAAACCTCTTGTTGCAGGTTCTTCCAATTCTCAAGACTCTTTTCCCGCTGGCGGATCGAGTAACGCTTCCATGGATGGCTATGGAAGTTATCAGGGTAGTTACGCGGGTGGTACACCTGGTGGTCCGTCGTCAGAATATACGCCACCGCCACCTAGGCCACCCAGTCAAAGCAGCGCACCTTCCGCTCATCAGGGTATGTCTCGCAATTTGCAAACACATTAATAAAGTATATATATTGTTATGAATTTTATGACAATATTATTTTTCTCGTTAACTTTTTAAGGAATACAACAAGGTAGTTACCAGAATACGGGTTCCTATCAAAATTATCCGCAAGATCAATACATACGGCCGCAGACAAACACGCTGTCCCAGCAAGCGGAATTTAATCAACCATACTCGCCAAGATCGCATTATCCTCCATATGTACCGGATGTCGACAGGTAAGAAAATATCATCTTTATCTTTGTTTCACAATAATGAATCTGTTATTCAATATATTTTCGTCATGTGTACAGGGGATACCCGAGTGGTAACATGCCGCCGAGCAACGCTACTGGACAAGACATGTACAACAGATATACTAGTAATCAGCAGGGACCTACCAGCTATCCCACAGGAACGCCTCCCAACGCGCGGAGTAACAGCTATCCATCGGGACCGCAGACTCATCCGGCCACCGTGCAACAGCAAACGGTGACCAGTCAGCCTTCTTCACCTTCGCAACCACCAGCCGCATCGTCATATTCGTGTCCACAAGATTACTATCGACAGGAACAAGTTAATACTCATTATACTTGGTTAACATAAATAATTACATCATTATACACTCTTACGTGTATATATTATACTTTTGTATTTGTAAGCTAGTTGATTTGATTCTTAATTCTCATTATTTCTTAAAATTTAAGAAAATCTTTCTCTATATACAAAAAGAAAGATGTTAAAGTCAATAATTTTAAATATCTCGTATATTGCAGAGTGGGTATGGTGCGCCTGCTGGAACACAAATATATAGCACGAGTGGATCGGCTAACAAGAATATGCCACCGCCTCCTCCGGGACCCAGCCAACCTAGACGTCACCCAGATTTTGCCAAAGACCAACAGTATCCCCAGTATAATCAGCAACGACCACCGTATTCAGGTCAGATATTTAAAAGTATAAATTATATTTTGTAAGAGTAAATTTGAAAAAAAAAATTTAACTTCAAAGAAGATAAGAGAGCATGATTAACGGAGAAATGCAATCTCTTTCTACAGGATGGCCAAATACAACTAATCAATACAATAGTAATAGTGGAAATAATAGAGTTCAGTACCCAAGTCAGCCGACACAACCGCCATCACAACAACAGCAACAACAACAACAGCAACAGGCATCACAAGTCGGTTCCACCGCACCAGCACCCACGCCAGTCAGTGCTATGACCAGTAGTCAGCAGTGGGCCAGCCAACCACCAAACAGGTCTTCGACTCAACCTTCTTTAAACGCTATAGCACACGCGCCTCCGCCGCCGTGGGATCATCGTTACACGAATCAACCGTCCCCTTCTTTATATCCGACACCAGGAAATCATCCGGTATGTTTTTAATTCTCGTGCCAACACAATACATTATTCACGACTAAATTTATCACATAGCATCGTTTGTGTTAAATGATATATACATATATTTTTTTCACAATTAAAGTATCTTGCAGATAAAACAAAGTATCATTTTATTTCACGCAGAATCTCGGAGTAAATCCTATGATCAGCCAGCAACCAACGTCAAAGAGAGAAATGACATTCCCTCCTGACAGTGTAGAAGCGATTACGCCTCTTTTGTACAAGCGACGAAAATTGACGCGCGCTGACGTGGCGCCAACAGAAGCTTGGCGCATTATGATGTCTTTGCGATCGGGCCTCCTCGCCGAAAGCTGTTGGGCTCTTGACGTATTAAACATTTTGTTATTCGATGACTCTTCTGTAAGTATATCTTCTTGTTGCAATTATTTTAAAATTTTAAAAATCTATAAATTTTTTAAAAAAATTTTCTTTTAAAATTTTAAAAGAAAGAGAAAATATATATAATAAGGAATATTTCTGCCTATGTGATAATAAAAGATAAAAAGTATAAGATACTTTATTTAAATTTAATTTATTGATATTAAATTTTGCGTTTGTAGGTAAGTTACTTCGGGTTAGCGCACTTACCTGGATTATTGGATGTTTTGCTGGAACATTTTTCTCGTTCTCTATCCGACATGTTCGAATCGTGCGTGAATGACGACGACCGCTATTGCCAGGCCACAAATGGTCCGGAGGTGGATCTTGGCGCAGTGACGCGCCCAATCGATCCAGAGGATCGGACAAAACTGCTCTCGACATCGAATTACACGTATCTCTCGAGAAGAGGTCGACCCGTCAAGATCGTTCCTCGGGATGAGGATTTATTTGTTCTAGATACTCGGAGACCTTGGGATCATCAAGAGTGCGAATCGGAGACCGAGCCGTGGCAAGTCGATACGAACGCGACCAAATATATCGTGACGTGTTTTCAGTCCGAAGTGGGCTCGGTGCCTTTTGCTCGTTTGCTGAGGGACGAGAAACCACCGTTGCTGCAGAAGGAGGTCGACAGCACGGATTTAAAGGACGAAGCTAAAGCGGACAGCTTCAGTGGTAGTGTTCATGAGACACTAGATTTTACTTACAAATCCGGCGAGCTCGGCGATAAGCAGTCTAGCAAGGAGAGCGGTGAACGTAAACAGCAGTTGGACAAGAAAAAAAAGACAAAGACTCTGAGCGACGTATTGTCGAGGATTAAGAAAGAACCCGTAGAAATGAATGATCTCACGAGGGAGCTATTCGAGAAGAAAAATGATGGCTTTAAGAAAGATTGCGACAGCGAGACGACGAAACCGAACAACAATATGGGCGAGCACTTTGGCAGCGATATGTCAAAGGTGAACGACGAGGATTCTCTGCCCACGCAAAATGGGTTGAACGATCCGACAGCAACGACGACAGCGAGTAACGTCGACAATACCATAGACAAAGCTGAGATCAAGACAGAGACATTGGAAGAGCACGAACTAGAAAACATGACGAGAGATGACAAGGAGGGACCAAGTTTAAAGATAAGAGATCCGGCAGGAACGCTGAAACGACGGAGGATAAGCGACTACGAGGACGAGAGTTACTCTAGAGACGAGGCGAGCCTTTACCTGGTAACGGAGACGCAGGACAACTTGGCCCGCCGTTGCGTGTGCCTGTCGACGATCTTGAGGAATCTCACCTTTATCCCTGGCAACGAGGTTGAGTTTGCAAAGAACGTCACGTTTCTCAGCTTACTTGGCAAATTGTTGCTACTACACCACGAACACCCGGTACGGGCGCAAAAGACACGCAACTACGATCGCGAAGAAGACGCCGATTTTGCAGATTCATGCAGTAGTCTGCAGGGTGAGAGCGAGTGGTGGTGGGACTTTCTGCATCACGTGAGGGAGAATGTTCTCGTGATGGCCGCCAACATATCCGGCCACATGGATCTGAGCCAGCATCCGGAGGAAATCTCGCGGCCGGTGCTCGACGGCCTCTTACATTGGGCCGTATGCCCGGCCGCGCACGGTCAAGATCCGTTCCCGACGGTCAGCCCAAACTCGTCGTTATCGCCGCAAAGACTCGCGCTTGAGGCATTGTGCAAATTATGCGTGACCGAGTGTAACGTTGACCTGGTGGTGGCGACGCCGCCCTATTCTCGATTACAGAGATTATGTTCCGTACTGACCAGGCTCCTCTGTCGCAGCGAGGAGCAAGTGCTGCGCGAGTTCGGCGTGAATCTACTACACTTTCTGTCAGCCGCGGACAGCGGCGTCGCGCGTACCATTGCCCTGCAGACGCCGTGCGTGGCGTTGCTCGTCGCGTTCATCGAGCAGGCGGAATCGAGCGCGCTTGGTGTCGCCAATCAACACGGTCTCGCGGCCTTGCGCGACAATCCCGAATCGATGGGCACCAGCCTCGACATGTTGCGACGTGCGGCTGGCACGCTGCTCAATCTCGCCAGGCATCCGGATAACCGGACTCTCCTTCTACAACACGAGTCTCGCCTGCTCGCATTGGTGATGAGCCAGATCCTGGATCAGCAAGTCGCCGCGATAGTCGCACGCGTGTTGTTTCAATGCTCGAGGGGCACGTAACTTTCTATCGTTTGTCGGGACACTATGCGATATATTATTATTAACGGTGCCGACAATGATTAATAAAATATACACGACGTTGTGATGGTAATATGTGTATGAACGGATGTAGAGTGCGTGGAAAGCGGAAATGAAAAAGTAAAAAACTTTAAAAGAAAGATAGAAAAACAGATGTAATTGACAAAACAAATGAAAGAGAGAGAGAGAGAGAGAGAAAGACACGCGCATAGCGAGAGAGCGCATACGAGTGAAGGAACAAAAGTGCTGATGAAAACCATGGCAGCGCAATTGTAGTTTTATATCGATTAAACAAGAAATAAGAAAGTTTAATTATTGGTGTTAGCGTGTAGGTATACCCGATGCGATCTCCGCCTATCGGTATACCTTCCCCTTCGTGAATTGGAATAATATCGATAGTGTAAGATATTTCATAGTTAATGAAAGAAAAAAGATACATATACACACACACACCATACAACACATGCAAACACATACCAGACACACACACACTCACATATAGAAAATACACGTACACACAGATTCATGTACACACCAGGCACATACAACGTAATCCGTGTACTTGTAGCAGATACACGCGCGCAAACGCGAACGCGTATATGCAGATACACAAGCACACACGCAGTATAAAGGGAAAAAAACGAACTTTCATACACAAGAGACAACGGTCAACTGCATAATAGTATATATATATATATAGCATGCTTGGTATATATATATATATATATATATACCAAGAAGTATATCGGCGAACCTTAAATGGTGCGATGTGGGACGATATATATATATCGGATGATGATTATATATAAATATTAAACGATAATATAATGCAAATTTTTATATTTGCATGTTTTGTGCTGTAATTAGCGAGTAATTAAGATATTTTGTAGATAACACACACTTCCATTGAATCTTATTCGATTTTTGTGCTACGGCTACGGTGGCGCAAATATACGTTTGCGGTCGTAGGACCGCATAAAAGTCTCGACTTTTAGGAGCACAGGCAGAACTAGAACTGAAGAAAGACATTGCTAGAAGAGAAAAAATAATGTGACATGTGTGATAAAACCGCTGATTGAAGTGAAAGGGAGAGAAAGAGAATGCGAGAGAGCGAGAAGGAAAAAAGGAGCATGCGTGCGTGCGCGTGTGTGTTTATGTATTGCGTGTAATATTTGCGTGTGTGCATGCGTGTATGTATGTATGTATGTATATATATATAATGTTGAGATTCAGAAAAAGAGAATGAGAGAGAGAGAGAGAAAGGAACGCAAAAATATAGAGAAAGAAAGTGAAAGAATGAGAGGAAATATTTGAGATAAAATGTAGAGACCGGAGATACATGTTCGCCTACATTCGCGCATTCGAAAAATGCTTGTGTACGAATGCATATGCGACACGTGCATACAATGCACACTTTGGAACGTATGCATATATATATGCGTGCGCTAATGTAAAAGATGGCTTTAGAGAAAAAAGAAAAATGCGGGAATGCGTGCATGCGAGTGTGCGTGCATGTATGCGTGCGTATGTATGCACGGAGGATGGGGGTGCCGGTAGAAAAAGGGGTGGGGATAGTGTCTGTGAAAAAGAGAAAGAAAATATGCAGCTTGCGACATTAAGTAATTGATTCATTTAAATAATTACTTAAATTATTAATTTTACAAATGGTTATTTAAATAGTAGGAGATTTTACAGTTTCAATAAAATTTTTTCCTTCGTTTCTTTTTTTTTTTTTTTTTTAAAGATGACTTCTTGTAAAAGAGAGAGTTGAAAGTAGCAGATCCAATTAAAACTGCAGTCTTTTTGGAAAATAAACGTATTTATTAAAATGCCGTTGTGATAACGAAGAAAAAAAAGACAAAAAAAGAAGCAGAAAGAAGAGAAAGCCGGAAGATGAGCCGGAAAAAACCAACCATTGTAGAAACAGACAGAAACTGGACGATAATGTAGAAACGAATATATTAAAATGGATGAAAAAAAAAAAGAAAAAGAATTTTTAAATTTAAGCTCGATCGTGCCATTAACGATTCTAATGGAAATAATATATTTATAACCAAGATTTTATGCTTTTTCAAAGCGCGCATACGTTATTGTAAAATTAACAAATACCGATATATTGTCAGCTTGCACATATTTTGATGATTCTTACAATACGTACATTTATCTGTAATTGTAAAATCCCACTCTTGCGCAAGAGAAAGTTGCAGAAAAGAAGAAAAAAAAAGAAAAGACGCATTCGCGAACTCGTCGCACACCTTCCACTGATATATTTCCTCGTTTCGTAGAGAGAATGAATTTATAAGAGACGGAATGAGGTTTAGTTTTCACGCGACGTGTTGTAGCCGTTTAAAAAACGACTCGAATTCTCGTCGGAGATACGATTAGAAACGATTCTATTGAAATAATAAGTTAAACAGAACACTTTCCCTGGTCCCAGCTTCTCCCCGACCCCAAAGTATCCTATTCTATAGATATCTAAATACATGTAGTTCTTAAATTATTTACTTTAGTTCGAGTGGAGATGCCTGTAAGTGTAATTTACTAAGACTTTTTGTAAATAAATTATGAAATAAACTAGACGTACTTTATCCAAGATGAAGATGCGATCTGACTTAAGGCATAAAATATAACGATAATAAAACAAGTGTAGGGCATTAGAGAAAGAGAAAGAGAGACATCGTTTTTCTTTTTCTTTGCATTCATCATATATAGACCTTTTATTACGCCAAACTAAATATGTAAATACACTGATCTCTTCATCCTTTGTTCCTTGCTCTTGATTTTCTCAACGGCTTCGTCAACGCATTAGAGTTTCTCTCACTTGGAACAAATGCTGCTTTCCATATTCAGGATCATTACGCTGTTGATTTTACGACACAGCCATTCCAGAATATCCGCGGCTTTGCTCTCCACGTACCAGTCTACCATTGACGATGACGTCTCTTCCTCTTCCTGCGCGTGTAACATTTAATGTAATTTTTAATCATGTGTTCAACGCTTTGTCGATCGAGTAATATTAGAATGTTAGCCTTGATATAATGATTTTGATTCTTTTTATTATATCATTCCTATTTATTTCATGTGATTCAGACAAAACGTTTTTCGTTAAAAGATAACTTTAATTATTTTTACACCGAAAAATTATCAATGACTGATTTCAAAAAGAAATCGACCACTACTTTATGATGTTATTCAATTGCTCGCCACTGTTGAGCATTCTATTGTTAATTTTTAAAAAATCGAGAAACTGAATTACCATTATTTTTTAACAATTAATTTTCGTTAAACCTGAATATTTCATTCTTTAAAAAGGCATGTTCGAATGTATCAAATCATTGTCTCTTTTTCACGATTGTAATATTTTAGTAATATGAATTAAATATATGTCGCATCGGACGTACAAATTACCTCTGTTACATGTAAAATGAGTTTATTTTTAGCGACAGTTGGCGGTGACAGCAATTGATTAGTTTCTAAAGTCCATTTCACGTTCCATGATCCCCAAGCATTTCCCTTCTCGATATAATGTATTCGCCTAAAAATTCATCCAGAATTGATTTTCCAGGACATGTTCTTACATTTCACAAAAGAATTAATATAGCTTTATATTCTTAAAATCTTTTAGCTGTCAAATACGCGAGCATTGAGAAATGCGACTTTTTATAATTGCCATACTTACTGCAAGGATACTAGTGTAATATATTTTCCATCATTGTAGAGCGTAGCGTGTCCCCAATAAGAATCATTCTGAACGCAATGGCCTTTACTTATAACGTTCAGTAAGTACACTCCCTTTGCTTTGTGCGTCGAAAACAACTCCACACCCTACATAAGGATACAATTAACGATATAAAGGATATTACACTTGAAACATGATGGACGGTACTTACGAAATGTGGATTGATATATCGTGGCAATCGCACTCTGGATACAAAATTATGTCCTACTTCCTGTGCTCTGTAAAATGAGCAATTCGCTTTTAAAATAAACTATGATCTTATGATGCACGGAAGAAAGAAAATAGTATTAACGTTGATACCTTTTTATTATGTCTGGTATTACTTTCGAATGAGTTTTTAAACAAGAGCTTTCTGTGTTAAAAAACACGGATATTTTTTTCCCCAATGTTTTGAAGAAATATCTCAACTCTTCTCGATAAATGCCTGCCACATTTTTAATAAGATTTAATAAACGTGCCGAGAGATGAAAATAAAATAATAACGTTCGAATTAATATTACATGCACAATTATATACGATTTCAATTTATGTCGACTCTTGTTCATATTATAATTTACTCACTATTTGTTGACGTGGTAATCAAGCCGGCGGTTTCCAAATCGATTTCTGTAGCGAATGAATGATCGACTAGAAATACTAAAGGCGGTACATCCGGATTCTGATAATTCACATCCTTTATCTGGAACGAAACACGAATATGTATTATTTCCTATATTTTCATACTATAAGATATTTCCCGTATAATCAATGAATTTCAATTATATAAATATGTGAAGATAAATAAGGACCAACTTGGAGTTTTGTTTTTTAAGCAAATAATTTAATTTTAATTGGATGTGTGCTTGACAGAGACGAAAAGTTTAATCGTGTCATATTTTAAAAACTGCCACATATTAAATTTCCTATCAAAGATTCGGAGAAATATCCACTGATTAAACAATCATTATGTACATATAACAGAATATGTTTAGCTTTACAGTTTTATTTACCTTAAAATGAGATGCATGGCTATCTAAAATCGATGCTTGTATACCATCAGGCGTAGCATATCCCAGTTCACATGCCACTTCATATGCCAATCTCTCCGCAGCTTCGTCACCGCATAGCAGTAACTGCAAATTTTCCGCCTGATTAGCACATTTCAATATAGAAACAAAAAAAGAGAATCTTATTCGTTTTATACACTTACTGAATCTGGCTCGCAAAAGTTGCTTCCTGGCGATTTAAAGTTGTAGCCATACTGATTTCCCAAAACGGTAACTAATCGCACCAATACGTGAAACTGTTCCATAATCTGCGCTACATAAGTTCGCAAAAGGTGCGAGAAAAATTGCTTCTTATTGACCACGATGAAATTCTTTTGATAACTGGGCAATCTAAACAATGGGAGTAATATAATACTTGTTCTATTGTACATTTGCATCATTACAATTCAAAGTTAATCACTCACCTGAATTCAGCCTCCCTTTCAAATGCGCCCTTTTCCGCGTAATCAAAAATGAATCGAAGAATATTGCGATAATCGAGCATGATGCTGAAATTACGCGCGTTAGATCCGTCTGTATTGGCCAATAATCTCAGGCGCAATGCCATGGGAGAAATATATATCTGCTCTATTAAATCTGTTTTCTTATTGTTCTGCAATTTTATATACGCAAATCGGTCAAATCCCTGCTTGTTCTTTGTATATATGCATAAATTAATATGATAGCTTGTATGATCATACGTTACTAATTTTGTGAAACGAAGGAACGCGCATATTGGACACGTCTCTCCTGAGTTTGGCGGCAATTGAGTGTTTGGTTTCCGGGTTCTTGGGTATTAGATTAATCAAGGAGCAGAGAAAAGTCTCTTCTAAATTTAAATTAAATTCCCTGACGATGACACATATACCTCTAAAAAAATATCATTTGAAAATTAATATACTAGCTACTTATCGTAAATAATAACATTATATAATAATATAGTAATTAATAAAACAATAATATATAATTTATAATATAATAAAATGTTATATAGTTATTATATAGTTAATATATAATGTATAATAATATTATATAATATTAATATATTAACATAATAATATATTAATATAATACTATATTAATACAGGATGTCCGCAAAACCATCCGCAGTATTTCGGGAAGTGATTCGGGACCCAAAAAGAAATTTAAAAAACTACATAAACATAGATCCGTAAATAAGTCATTTCCGTGTTATAATCACTTTTATATTTAAAAAATTGGTATTTATAGTCTGCTTGGCATCCCTCTTTTTAAAATTTCTTTTAAATTTTTAATTTTTAAATTTAAATTTTACATTTAAAAATTTAAATTTAAAAAAAAATGTTAAAAAGAGGGATGCTAAGCGATCTATAAATTACTTTTAACAAAAGTAGCTATAACTCGGAAATGATTATTTCCGGACCTATATTTATATAGCTTTTTTTCCTTCTTTTTGGATCTCAAATCACTTCCGGAAGTACTGCGGGCGATTTTTCGGATACCCTGTATAATATTTATAATAGATTACACAATATTATGTTATTAATATTATTATTTATATTATAATTAATATATTATTTATGTACGCAAGCTGTACTTGTAAATAGTGTTCTTCAATTTGCGTTGCTTCAGATATGAGAATTCTAAGCAGTGTTTCATTCTGCGGCTTCCAGCGTAATTCACAAAAGTCTTTTGCAAATTGGAATATAGAACCACCGGAAAGACAGCTTCACTCAGTTGATTGTCGATCTGTGCAAGATAGATAAGAAAAGTTATTATCGCGAATTGTAATTATAAATATAATTAATACCTGTATCCTATGAATGTATCCTTGCAGATAACAAAGCGTGGTGGATTCCCTGCAATGAAACCAGATACCTGGCGAATATGTCCTTCGTAGCTTGCCAAAAAATGGTTTGGTCATCTGCATTTTTGTCAAGTCAACCTGAAATATTTGAAAAAGAATATTTTAAAGATTCATTTATTTATGCAATACATCACAATTACAGCAAATACATGCAAATATATTAATGATTTTTGTATAATAAACATACCAATGAAACATACTTTATATTCAATACTCTACACATTTTTAATTTTTATAGCTAGAAATGTCGTATTTATTAATAAATCTAATGTTCTAATCAGTTATATTTTATAAAATAAAACTAAATAAAATCAAGAGCAAAAGTGGTGATATTCATAAACATTTACAATTTAAGAGATTACGTTAGGCAAATCGTACATCAATAAAATTCTCCAACTGCGCCGTTTTTGCGGAATTCGTATACTTGTTTTCCAGCCAAGCGCTCAATTCTAACGATAAGCTCCTCCATCGTTTGCTGAAGTAAAGCTCCCAATGCGCGGCGGAATCGATCACACTGGCGTACAGTAATTCCCGTCTAGTATTGTGAAGATTGGATTCCTGTACAACCTGTATGGGAAAAAAAGTCAATCGATTTTCAGTTTATCACAGCTGAACGATTTATGCAAAATCGCCTTAATATGTCTTTACTTACAATGCTAACTCCGATAGCCGCGATCGACAGAAATATTTCCCTTTTGCTCGCCTCAGGATCGATGATGCTTTTCGCCTTCAAATACACACTTTCGTGCTGCGTAAACAATAATACACGTTGCTCACCTTCCATGTAACTCACCCAGTAAACCTCCGTTTCATCTTGTCGCGCGTGTTCCAACACTTGCGGCTTTGTGTCGGATTCTGTATTAGGAGAAGAATGAGCAATACTTGCGCTCGTATCTTCTGACCACGACTTTGCATTTGCTAGTGATTTGGGAGCGACTTGGGAGGAATGAGACGCGCTGTCACGCCGTTCGACGGTTACGAAAGTTACAGTTTCGTGCCCACAGCCATCCTATAACAAACTAAATATTAGTGTCAA